CCAGTGTACCAATTGCTTATAATTTGGTTGGCTTTCAAATACTTAGGGCCTCTGTAACACCAAGATTTATCTACATTGAAGAGCTGAGCAAGGGTACACTTGCTAAGTTTGAGCGGAAGGTTGGTGACTCCTACAGCCAACCGAATCATAGTCCAATGGCCCCAAGCCAGAAACTCGTGTCACCGAGCAGAATACTACGGTATTTTGGTCTGAGGGCTGAGATTGCCAAAATTGGTAATTCCTGCTATAATCTAACAACTTAGTCGTTGATTCCCCATATTGCTTCTTCCTGCATTTTGGGCGATGAGATGAGCGTCGAGTGTGGGGTCAATGCTCCGGTGATCTTCAACACCATATGAACAATGGACGAGGAAGCACCTTTAATGGGTGTATTTTGGAGTTTCCTGGGGTAGCCGCTGACAAATTCAACTGCAACGCTAGTATATTTTTGCTCAGTCATCACCACGCAGACCACACTATTGGACTTCGAAATCGAACATTTAACAGACGAGTTTATTGCTCCAAAGGAACCAAGAAACTTTTGGAGAGCAACGAGTCATACAACCACATACAGCATCTAATAAGAGCCTTGGATTACAATCGCCAGTATACTTTGAACGTGGAACAAGACAAGGAGATTACTCTGGTCGTTGTGACTTTGATCCCGTCTTACCATTGTCCTGGATCTTGCATGTTTTTGATAGAGCAAGACGAGAAGGCTGTTATTTATACTGGCGACATCAGAGCAGAAGACTGGTGGATTAAGGGCCTTCCGTACAATCAATTCTTGTACCCTTATACATCTTCCAAGCAGCTAGAAAACATCTATATCGATACCACATTTGCTTATCGAGGAGAACCATACGCCAAGTACGCTACGAATTCAGATGCTTTGAAAATATTAGCTGGAATACTTGCTTTGTACCCGAAAGATGATCCTGAAATTCAATTTTATTTCAACGATAGCGTTTCTGGATTGGACGAATGCTGGATCAAACTAGCATATGAATTTGGGCTCGAAATACATGCTGAAGCAACAAACAGCAAGATCCTAAATGTCGTTGAAGTCACGGAAACATTACCCTCGTACGGTGGTCGGCACACTTTCACTCATACTATAGAAGGCACAAAAGCTCCACAAAAATCAAAGCTACATGCCTGTGGAAGATACTGGAAATGCACTGAACCCAAGGCGAAGTTTCCCGTCTCAATTTGCCAATACTCGGACTTCAATGTGGTAGATTTTGCTGCGGCTTCTATGCCAATCAGAATAGACTCGATACATGGAGTCGACATAGAAGGCTTGAAAAAAATTGATACAACCGCAAAAGGGAACAAAATTTACAACTTCAAGAATCGAGTGTGGCTTCTTTCACAGGATGGTACGGAGCTTCTTCCTGATAATTTGAAACTCTTGTTCAGTCGCCATTCGTCTTACGAAGAGACTGTCAATTTCATGAGTATATTCAAGCCGAAACAGGTCTTTCCGTGTTGCGAATCCAGACAAACATGGCTCAATGGGTTTACCGTCAAGCGTATATTTGGCAGCGTATGTTCGCCTGGAATGGAATCTTCCTACGATCAGATGATGGAGAGAGAACACGGAATGCCTCTTTCTCAAATTACTGATCGAGAAGTGAAACAAGTCAATCGATGGTCAGTGGCAGAATGTGAACAAGAGCGGAAGTTTGTAGCTGGTTTCTACTCAAAGCTTGACCAGAACCCTGGAAATGGAAAGCTGTTAGCATTGGAGTATGCGAAAGATTACAGAACCAATACTTATACTGGTGAAGTCGCCAAAGATGCCAAAAACTATGACTATAAGGTTCAGGATTTGGTTGCGGGCCGAAGAGAAAAGTGGTATTCCAACTTTATTGAAAACTGCCAAAACGAATACTTCGAAATGCTTCAATATGGCGAGCTGTCGGGAAGCAAGAAAGATGTTCACTCATCCAGCATTTTCATGCCCAGCTCCTCTGATAACGACCTGATCCCTAGTTCTGCGGTGAAAGAATCCATGAGAAACTTAAGCGAATTACTGAACATGAAAAAACGACAGCCTTATTTAGTCCGAAAGCCCAACTGTCGCAATCTCGATATGCGAACCAGGTCGATGGTGTTTTCCAGCTTTGACTCTTTCGAGATGTCTTTTGCAGAGAATACGACAACCAATAACAATGGCAACCAGGTTCTTTTCAGGTCAGGTAATAAGTTCGACGCCGAGAGTGTTGCGTCAATCAATGCCAAATTACGAGGAAACCCCGACCTATGGAGCCTGACTCCTCTGACTAAACTCACCTTGAAACCTTGATCGTATCCTCATTACTACTTTCTATTTAACAAACTTGCAAGTCAATACCACAGTATCATCTCGATACTAAATTTTAGGGCCACATAGCTTTAGAATCACCTAATACTATGGATTATCACTCCAACACTTTTTGATATCTCAGTACTTTAAAATACCATTTCACTTCTCCGAAGTATTACTTCAACTCTTTCAATAAATCCTTTCCCTCTTCTCCTTTCCTTCTCCTTCCCTTCCTTCTCAATTCTCTCTCCACTGGTGATTACACTTGACACATTTGTAGAAAGTCGTCATCGGCTCATCAGCAGATCGTATTTGCAATTGGAAAAAGTATGCCTTGTCTCCGCCACAGCTGTCAACAGGACATTGTGCCGCGGTCTGGTCCACATTCTCCCACGCTCCATCTCCTCCAAGAACATCATCAACCTGCTTTCTTGACAAATTCTTGCGATCGTACATCTGTAATCCATTGATCTTGAACTCATATGGACATGTCGTGCAATACAAGCGATTGCAGCCATCTTCACTCAGCCCCACAAGCAACATGTTCGAGCAGTATGGGCAAAAAGAAAGCATGGCAAGACCGGGGATCAACTACAAACGGTGCAACAGTCGCAGGCTGCGATGGGCATCGGCAGTTGAGCTTGGTCTGTGTACAGGATTTTTCATAGCGACCAGTTCGCGGTTGGATAGTTGGAGACTTGCAACGCGACGACAAGGTGCTTGACCCATTCCTATGCCATCATCTGAGAACAATGGAACCTCCCAGGATGCTACGGATGTACATTTGAACACACCCACCAAACAAAAGCGCACCAATGCTAATATAGAGGGCAGATATTTCTCTTCACCAACCAGTGCTCGTCGAGGAATCCTTCGTTCTGGTACAAAGAGCCAAGGTGATGTGCTGATACTGCCTCGAAACGGCTCCAGCGGCCGCTCCGAGTCCAGGTCCCCGAGAAAGAGGAGCTCTAAACTTGAATTGGAACAGATATATGATGAACAAGACGACCTTGAAGAAGCAGAACGAATAATTAACGAGTCTCGAAACGAAGAATTACACGAAGAGAATAATGAAGAGGCCGCAAAACACCCCAAAGAATACAAAGACTTTCATTTCGAGGAAGATCTCGCGGATGTTGAAGAAAAAGAGTACGGTCTGAACGAGGACAATGATAAAAACGATGAACACAAAAATGACGAAAATGACGAAAATGAGACGGAGGAAATCCCTCAAAGCGGGCCAGGGATACGCCGAAGACCCCGTAGAGCAGCGAAAAAAGCGCTTGAAGCGGCACGAAATGCATATTCAGATGACTATATGGACTCGAGTGAAGAAGCAGAATTCAACAGCAGTGAAGCCAGTGACGACAGCAACATGTCAGACGTAAATGAGGGTAGCGATGACTCTACTGTGGAAACGGCAAGTGACGACGAGGCTGTGTACCAAGAACCGATAAAACATAAAAGAGGACGACCACCCAAACGAAGACGAGAGAGTGCAGAAGAAACCGAGGTAGATGTGATGGAGACCGAGCTTACGCCTAAAAGACGAGTTGGACGTCCGTCCAAAAATATCATTACGGCCAAAATTAAGAGCATATTTGAGCAGGATGATGAGATGCTAGGTGTTGAAAAGTCGCCTTTGAAGCCTATTGCTACAACAATTGCATCACCACAGAACCGTAAAAGGGACACAGATATATGGGCAGAATTTGACAAAATAAAGACCGAAGAGGACAAAACTCCGTTTGTGATTAGTGGCATTGAGAGCACAGAGTCTGAGACGAAAAAAGACCCTAAAAAATTTGTTCCATTTCCCGAACCCAAAGTCAACGCCAAAGGGAAGATAGACCCAGATTATCTTCGCAAGCATCTACCTAATATCGATTTCGAAGCCAGAGGAGCAGATTTAATGGACGATCGGTCTTTCTTCATGGAAGGCACCGAAGGCTATTTTGAACAGCATAGCATGCGCCCAAAGTTGGGGCGAAGTTCATTGGCTCTGCTTGCTCCAAATGTGGAATACAGTGACTTCATATTGTATAACAAACTTCCCCAGCTCATCAAGCAGAGTGCTATACAACAATTGGAAGACATGCACAGGGCCCTATATCACCAGTGGTGTTTTGAGCTCTCGGAAGGATACAGCATAAACTTTTTCGGATTTGGTTCTAAACGGCAGATGATCATTGATTTCGTCCAAAACTATCTTCTTGAGTGGATTGCAGGTCATTTCGACACAGAAGAGACGAAGGAAATCGAAGCTTTCATCGTCAACGGCTACAATCCAAATACTCAACTCAAGCAACTTGTGTACGAGATTCAGTCAATACTCGTCCCGAAAGAAGTACAAAAGAAGCTCAAGTTTTCGAAACATATTTTTGAAACGATTCCATTGATGCTTAAGTACCTTGGTTCAGTCAGACCAGAAAAGGTTATTCCCCGAGCAGTTGTTGCAATTCACAACGTCGATGGCCCAGCTTTTCTGGATGAAAAAACCCAGAGTTTACTCTCGCAACTAGCATCTCTCCCAGAAATCTGGCTCATTACCTCGACTGACAATATCAATGCATCGCTCTTGTGGGATCTGTTCAAGCTCAAGAATTTCAACTTCGTTTGGCATGACCTAACCACGTATCAGCCATATACCGTGGAACTTTCATTTAAAGACTTACTTAACACGGGCAAATCGACCAAGTTTGTTGGTACTCGAGGTGCTAAATATGTCTTGAGCTCATTGACTGTAAATGCGCGGAACTTATACCGAACTCTCTTAGAGTTGCAAATTGAAAATCTCACCAAAAATGCAGCCAGCGAAGCTGCCAAGGCAAATCTCAAGGGAAATCTCAAGTTGGCAGTTGGTTTCAAACAGCTATATGACGCTTGTAGCGAGCAATTTATCACCTCCAATGAGATCAGTTTCCGCACCATGTTGGGTGAATTCGTCGAGCACAAAATGTGCAATTTGAAAAAAAATTCATCTGGAGGAGAGGTGGTGTTTGTTCCGTTCAGCTACGACGAGATGAGAAAGCTACTTTCCGAAGAATTTTCGGTGTCCATAGATTAGCTTACTGTGCCATAGCCTTGTAAAACCGCAGCCGCACACCCAGCCGTCTGCGACAATCGCACTCGCATTTCAATTCGTGCCCCCAAGATTCACCATGAGTGGCTTTCCCAAGCTCCCAGATGGAGCACAGCTTTCTGTGGGATCCCACAAGGTGACAATCGTGCGATATTTGTCCGAGGGAGGCTTCGCTCACATTTATGAGGTTCAAATAGCAACGGACGATAAAAAAGGAAGGGTCGGCTGCTTGAAGCGTGTCATTGTTCCGGATAAAGGAGGTTTAAACCAGCTCCGAAAAGAAGTGGATGTGATGAAAACACTCCGCAAATCACGTAGTATTGTCCAGTACTACGATTCCCATGCCGAAAGGCTTGATAATGGCACATACCAGGTATTGGTTCTCATGGAACTTTGCCCCAACAAATCGCTTCTCGATTATATGAATGCCAAGATTAAAACCAAGCTCACGGAGCCGGAAATCCTCAAGATCATGAAGGATATTGGCATTGGTGTGTTTGAAATGCATAAAAAGTACTTGATCCACCGAGACATCAAGATCGAGAACGTGCTTATAGACGCCAAGCACAACTTCAAGTTGTGTGATTTCGGCTCCACGTCTCCCCCTATCCCTCCTCCGGCCGACCAGAATCAAATGAGAGTGCTAGCACACGATATCATGTACCAAACGACGCCCCAGTACCGTTCTCCCGAGATGATCGATCTCTATCGAGGATTTCCCATAGACCAAAAAGCGGATATCTGGGCCCTTGGTTGTTTTCTTTACAAACTATGTTACTACACTACTCCCTTTGAGGCCCACGGCGACATCGCCATATTGCATGCGTCGTTTCAATTCCCCCCTGCTCCAGCTTACTCAGGTGACTTAAAGAACCTCATTATCATTATGCTTCAGGAAAACCCTGTCATGCGCCCTACTATAGTCCAAGTCCTCATGTTAGTGGCCAAAATGCTTCACGTAGACTTTACCGAGTGGAAAATCGAGGACATTTATGCTACTGGAGAATACAACTTCCACGCACTCAGCGAATACCAGAGACAGCGCCAAGAGGAGATGATGAAGCAACAACAAATGTACTACCAGCAGCAAAGCTGGAAACCAGACCAACACAACCAACAACAGTTGAACCATTACAATCAATACAAACCGAGCCAACCAGCACAAAAGGTGCACGGTCACCTTATCCCACAAAAGTCAAGATTACCCAGCCAAGAAGAACCCAGCCAAGTCAGTGAGGCAATGCCAGATACTGTGGGATCATTGGACAAGCAGCATTCATCATCCAGCTCAGACGGCTTTCCTGAAATTGCAGATCTCGATAACATCAACGAAAGATATCCATCAGTCGAAAATCTTCTTGCAGATATTAACTCTGAGAAACCTTTGGAGAGGTCCAGTAGAGAAGGGACCGATAAGACAGGAGAACTGCACAAGAGCTACGGATCAAGGGCACTGTCCAAGCACAGTGTAGAGGATAGTAGAAGCCATATACCAACCGTCAGTCCTTCAGAGCCTCACTCCAATTTATATCAAGAACCCTCGCAGACGAAACCAAAACATAAACTCGACAACAAGGAAGCATGGGAGACTCATAAGTCGTATATTGATAAAAATGCCGAACAATTGGCTGATGATATCTTTGCTCGTCCCCATTCTACAATTCCTAATCAAGAGTCCAGAAAGAGCACCGAGCTTCAACGTACAGTTTCTGAAGGAGCTGCTGTCCAGGCGTCAAACTACGACCTTGAAAATGATTTCGTTAACGATTATGTTGACCAAGAGCCGGAACCTGAAGAGAAGAAAGTCCAAGGATCAGTTCAAGGTCAAGTTCAAAATCAAGGACAAGCTCCAGGTCCGAAGACAGAGGAAAAACAGCCCGAATTGGGTGCTGGATTTCTGCCATCATTGGTACCAAACACCGTTTCAGTGAAGCCTGTGCCCGTACCGAACAACATGGCTCCATTACAAGCTAGTCCTGAGATGCATGCTATGAACTATTTCAGTCCCGCTCAAGAACCATCTCGAGTCCCCAGTCTTTCACGCCACCGTCATTCCAGCAGCAATATTGGATCTAGCTATGAAAAGGATGCACCACCGCTTCCTACTCGCAAAAGCGCCAACCCATGGGGCAGCTATACGCTTCCCAAAGTTGACAAACCAGATGAAACACAGTTTGAAGCATTGCAAATAAGCACGCCCAAGGAGCACGAAATAAGACTGGCAAAGCATCAGAGCAAGAATTCTGCCGCGGATTCCAATTTAATCGATTTAGAAGTTGGGTTGGAATCGTCTAGTTCAAGCATAAGCGGTCCAGAAGTAATGGATGGAAGAGACTTGCACCTTGCCCAGGGACCTTCATTAATTGATCTCGATATCGAGGAAACGCCATTGCCCGATAAACCACATTTCAAAAAGAGGATCTCTTCTGCCCAGGCTCCTGCTTCGATGAGTCTTCAAGAAGAGGTGATTGATTTTGCGTCTGACGACGAGAACCCCGATAACCAGTCGAACATGAACCGGTTGTCCATTAGAAACTCTCTTTCAAAGAAAAAGGCCAAGGAACACAGAAAGAGCTAAGTAGAGTTACCTTTCCTATTCTTATAGACTCGAAAGCGTAGTTTCGCGCGAATCGATGCTCATCGAAATTTTATTTGTAGTTGGTGAGCAGAATTAAAGGCTATGGCAGAATTTTATAGACACCTTCTTTCCCAGCTCTTATTGTTGGTGCCTGCCTCCAAGTTCCAGCCGCCCTCTTCAGATGACCCAGACCCTCACACAGAGGTTATTGACGTAGTTAGTGCAATTCTCGCTGGCAACTCGGGTTCCATTTTCACAGATACTAGGTATAAAGGAGTGTTTTACAATGCTAATGCTTTACGTGTGTTATCCCAGTATCCCAATATAAGCTTGAAGAGTGCATTACACGGCTATGTGGACGAAATTATCAAGTCTGTGGAACAGAGCTCTTCGACCGATTCTCGACTTTTAGTGCAATTAACTGCAATTGTTGCATTGCAATTATTCATCCAGCTCAATTTTACTGGACCAAATGTTGACTTTAAGGCTCACGAGCTCTTAATGCCCCATGCTGACTACGAAAATTTGCACTTGGACCTCATAGACTTGCTCACCGTTGAGGGCCAACAGGCATATGAGCTTATGAATGAACCATTGCTTTTCATTATAGCCAGTTTGATGTTTGAAAGATTGATGAATGTGGGACCACAGTACTCGTTTATTGGCAAAGATATGAACGTAGAGCTTGACCAAATGGTAGAAGCCACTAGACCTTTGGTCGCCAATCCAAGCATAGAAGACGCTTCGCTTTTCTGGTGGAGATCACGAGCGTTGCAAATCCACATCTCGCTCCTATCAGAACCTCCAAGTGTTTTGACGAGTATATCGGCACTTTTGCTCGGTCCTTCCACGGCAGAAGTTTTGGCTCATGGAAATGACACTCTTCTGTCACTTGTCAAATACGAGTTTCTCATAGAAACCGCTCGAGCCAGCATTCATTCATACACAGAACATTTGGCTACCTCACTTTTGGCGAGAGCATCAGAGGTTACTGAGTTGCAATTTGTGTTGACTGGAGCTAAGGCTAAACGAACAAAGTTCCAAACATTCACCACATCTTCGTTGGTATTGCTAGCAAAGAGCAAAGGGTCTACTTTACTCGATGAAGACACGGCCGAGGAACCAGCAAAGTTCAATTTGGATTCAGACCTTCTTCTCGAACGTCCACAGTACGATGCTCTCGAAGACATAAAAGAACCCGTTTCTAAAAAGACCAAATTTGAAGATGAGGACCAGAAAAACGAAGTTCCGCTCTTGCCTATAGCACGTCACCAAGACCAAATTCCTTTGGAGCTTTCAGCCTTGGATCCCAACGATCAACCCGCATTGAACGACTTGGACAACCTTCAGCTTTTGCTCCGTTTGATGGTGCTTCGCCAATCTTCGCCAGCTAGCAATTCGCTTGTCGAAGAAGAGCTCATGGCAATTGTGAGCAGAGTCATATATCAACCATCGAAATCTGTCAACTGGGCCATTTTTGGAAGGGCGTTATGGGAGAGATCACTATTGGAAACAAGCAAGGCTCGGACCGTGGAAAGAGGAATATTACAGATGACATCGTTAGTTGAAGAAATCGGTCTCAAGATTAAAACCAGGCTTTTGCCTCAGGAAATGGAAGCGAACAACTCTTCCCCAGCTGCTTCTCGGCTCCGGTTCATCCACCAACTTCCGTTGATGCCACAGTGGACCATGGACGTTAAGTTGGCAGAAAAGTACATGTCTTTGGGAGTGTTGAAGTCTGCGTTGGAAATCTACGAAAGACTTCATTTGGAATGCGAAGTGGCACTTTGTCATGCTGCGGTTGACAACGAAACTGAGGCGGAAAACGTCCTCTTACGTCGTTTAGAACAGCACCCCAACGATGCCAGAGCCACATCAATTCTCGGTGATATTCGCCAGGACCCTCAGCTCTGGGAACGAGCCTGGGAAATTGGAAGGTACTCAAAAGCAAAGAACTCGTTATCGAGGTATTACTATAACCCTCCAGCAAATTCTGGACTTTCCAAAGACTTGGAAGCAGCACTTTTACATATGAGTGATTGTTTGAGGGCCGACCCACTTAATTTTGAAAATTGGTTCTTTTACGGCTGTTGTGGACTCGAAACTGCAAACTACGAATTAGCATCGGAGGCATTTACTCGTTGTGTTTCGTTAGATGACTCGAATTCGCATGCTTGGTCCAACTTGGCTACGGCGCTTCTAAGATTAGACAAGACCAGACCAGCATTCAATGCTTTGAAAAAGGCAATGGTGAGTTCAAAAGAAGGTAAGCGGTCTTGGAGAATTCATGAAAACTTTGTCATTGTTGCCATGAAACTCAATGAATGGTCTGATGTCTTACAAGCGACCAGAGAATTGATAGACATGAAAGAAGGTGGAGAGTCAAGTATCGATATTCCTGTCATTGAAAAGTTGGTGGAAATTCTCGTGGCCACAGATTATCCTAAGGAGGGAGAGAGATTGACTCATTATCAGAACTCGTGTATTGATTTGGTGTGCAATATGCTTCCTAATGTAATTACCAACTCTGGTAGATGTTGGAGAATTGTTGCTCGAGTTCATATCTGGAGAAAGAAGCCATGGGAGGCATTGGAATGCTACGAGAAAGCTTATCGAGCGGTATCCCAAAAGCATGATTTGAGTACCAACGAAACCATTTGGAATGAAGCTGTAGAGGCTTGTGAAGACTTGGTCGCAGCATATGAGTCTCTTGGAGAGCTTCCAGGCAAACATGGAGCCGACGATTTAGTGTGCAAGGACTGGAAATACAAAAGCAAAACGACAATCAGATCGTTAATGTCGAAGGGAAAGCTGATGTGGGAAGATAGTCAAGGCTGGGATCGCTTAATGGCGCTCAAAGAAAACTTATGAGTTAGTTGAGATCATTGATAACCTCGATAGTATCTAAAGCGAAAGAGGCCAATCTGATACTTGGTTCTGGTGATTGAGGTTTTCTCTTTTTGCGGCTAAGTTTTGGCATTGGGGGAGGAACATCAACTGCCGGCTCGAGAGACATGGCTAAGAAATTCTTGACATTTGACCAGTGTTGATAGATACTCGAGTTCAAGTTGAGGAAAATGCGGTCAATGAAAAGGACAAGATACCAAAGTGATTTTCGACTAGGATTAGAGTGTTCAAGTTTCAACACGAAAATCATGGAATAAATTGCAGCCAACGTATAAGAACTTCCAACCAATGAAACACAGATACACATATCTGCATAAGCTTCCACCATTTTCACCGGCACTCGAAGATAGTCGTAAAGAGGTCTAACGGCAACACAAATTTGGACTTCTGGACTTAAGTGATTGAGCAAGTAGTGACTCAAATCTAGCAATGAATGGAGCATTACTGGAATCACAAACCATGGTTGCAAACCGGCATGGACTAGCACCAAGCTCTTCATAATGTAAAGGCATGGACTCATGGCCACAGGGGTCATTATACAATGTTGTGGAGGCTCATCGGGTAGATTGTGCTGTTCTAGGAAGTAATACTTGGTAAGGACCATGGCATTTGTGCTGAAATAAAGGTGGTACACAATCCCACTAAAGTTCTTACTCAAGAGAGTTGTCACCGAGAGAATGATAAGTAGCACATTTAATGCAAGGAACAACCGCTGGAAGAGTATATTCGATTGACTCTTCCATTTTTCAAGGGTCTGCTGTCTAATCAGACTCCGTATACATTTGGCACACAGGTCAAGTTGACGGAAAAGCCAACGGCAGAATACAAACAAACTTTCAAGTTCAGGCGCAAATCTCATAACATCTTTCATGGTTGGACTGTGGAGAGGATAAACCCTTGGCATAGTAGAAAAAATGTTTGGATCACAAATGCAATTTGCACCCATGCTGCACAATGCGGCTCAGATTGTCGAGGTGCATCGAGAGGAAGTAAACGAAGTTAAACAAGGTTTACTTCCATGCAGTAGTCAGTATACAGAAACGATCAAGTTGAATTATGGAGTCTTGAAGTAACATGTTACAAATTGTAAAATGTTGCATTCATTACTGATTGTTTCAGATGCCTTACTAGGCTCGAGCCGCAGACTACACAGCCGCGCTAGACCTTTGTAACATGAAATTGGTGTCTGGGTTGTGATTCAGGGGTATTGTTTGAAGAACTTCAAGAGAGATCTGGTTCTAATTTGACTGCATTGTTTGGTAGAATAGAATAAAACTACAAAAAATTATTCTATATAATCTTTCAAATCTGTTTCTTCCAATATTTCCAGTAGAACCTTTTTGGCCAAAGTTTGCCATTGCCGCTTCCAGCCTCAAACTCCTTCTCTTAACTCTAATATCACCACCGTAAAACCATCAGCTTTCCTCTCACACTTTTACCTGTTTCATCTGTCTTCTCTGCCCCATCTCATTCGTCCCGATTTGGCAGGTGCCATTAGTGCGCACAAAATCGCGATCCCGCGAACAAAACCTCGACACCTGTTTACTACTTGTCCCAGCTGTTTACACCTTTACCCAAGTCTTGCGGTGTCTTTTATTCCAATAACATACACTCGCGTACTCTCTCTAATCACAACCTTCGCAAATGAGAATGGTGGACGACAAATATATCGGATTAGCTTTGGCCATGTCTTCTTCCTTGGCCATAGGAACATCTTTCATCATAACAAAAAAGGGCCTTATGGACTCCAGTGCCCGAAACGGGTCCGATATGAACCAGGGCCATGAATACTTGCAAAATCCCATCTGGTGGGCCGGAATGATCACCATGGCTATCGGAGAAATCGCCAACTTTGCCGCGTACACTTTTGCTCCTGCCATTTTGGTGACTCCCTTGGGAGCCCTCTCTGTCATTATTGGAGCTGTGCTCGCTGCTGTGTTCCTCAAGGAAGAATTGGGGACATTGGGAAAAATGGGATGTGCAATTTGCTTGATGGGTTCGGTGATCATTGTGTTGCACGCACCGCCCGACAAAGACATTCAAACTGTCGACGAAATTTTGGGATACGCTACTCGTCCAGGATTTCTCTTCTACTGCTTTCTTGTGACTGTCTACTCCCTTTTCGTCATCTACAAAATCGTGCCTAAATACGGTGAAACAAACCCCATGATTTACATTTCCATTTGCTCATCGGTGGGCTCTATCTCTGTGATGTCCATCAAGGCGTTTGGCATTGCTCTCAAACTCACGTTGCTGGGTAATAATCAGTTCACACACGTTTCTACCTACCTTTTCATCATGGTGGTGGTGGTGTGTATTCTCACACAAATGAATTACTTCAATAAGGCTTTGGACCAGTTTGATACCTCGATTGTCAATCCGTTGTACTACGTGACATTCACCACATTCACGCTTCTCGCGTCGTTCATTCTCTTCCGTGGATTCAATACCGCGTCTGCCATCAACATTATCTCGTTACTTATCGGTTTCCTTATCATTTTCTCTGGAGTGTATCTTCTCAACATCTCACGCAAAGATAACGAGGGAAGAACAAGAGAAATCTTTGGTATCCACTCGTCGAAGGACATGGCTCCATTAGACAATGGAGTAGGCGGTTTTTCGTCGATGAGAAGGTCGATGCAACAGAGTCGTGATTATGACGAAGAGACGGTTGGATTACGCCGGTTTGATAGTTTTGAAATTGGAAGCGACGAGGATGTTAGTCACAGGAGATAGACACTATGAACAGTGTAAAATAAGAATTCATGGAAACAAAGTAGTTCACGAAAGATATATCAGAATAAACTATAGATTTATAAAGATGTTATCCAATATACTTTCCACCAAATCGAAATCTCTCCAAATACGCGGTATTAAATGTCATCTATGTCCAACTCGTCGTCGTCTTCATCATCATCGCTATCCTCCGCACCAAACTCAAAGTTCACTTCCTCGTCGTCATCGGCACCAAACGTATCGGTTTCGTTAATCTTGGCGTTCTCTGGTAATTCTCCTACATTCTTCAACGTACGAGCTTCGTCCGAGTTATACTTGTGTACCACATCACATTGATCATCCTGGAAATCTCTCAACGAAACAAGAATGATATCTCCTTGTCCCATCCACACACGCTTTCTCAACTTACCTCTAATGTGACCCATACGTTTTATTCCGTCGAAACAACTGACTTCAATACGTCCATTTCCAAGCATCTTTGTAATTTGTGCATATTCTTGGCCGTCTTCTCTGTAGATCAACTCACGCTTTTGTCCTCCGTTAAAGTTCTTTCCTCTTCTTCTGTTTTTGCCTCCTTTTCCTTTACCTGTTTTACCCATGTTTGTGAAGCGTTGGTACTGAAAATTTTATCTTTGCACTGATTGTCCCTGCAGACAACCCGTTCCCACCTAAATTCCTGCAGACAATCCACACATCTATCGTTTCTCTTCTTGTTACTATGGACTCATTCGAAGCCACCAGCCAGTTTTCCCAGGTGTTGAGGACACTCACGCTGTCGGTTCAGAGTCTTACTCGAGCAGCACACTTTGCCTTAAAAAACAGTGATTCGGAAGATTATTTATTTCGTGCAATATTAGATGTTATCGACTCTCCAGATGTCGACTTGAACTGCAAATGTTCAGTTTTCCAGCTAGTTGATGTGTTGTTGCACGAGTCATACTTTTATTCGCAGCTGCCGAAGTCCAGTTATAACTATCCTTACGTTCACAGTCTCAAAAACGCCGTTCCTTCTTTGATCCTCAAGGTGCTTCCTGGCTCCAATAATCAGAATCTTTATAATGTGTTCACCAGCTTGAAAAATATCCTGAAAACCCTCAAATTGGTTTATGAGGACTACGAGAAACAGTACATGTCGGGAAAGGACCTTTTGACCGAAGAAGATATGCAGAATATTGAACAAGATGTTCCATTCAACGAGGACAATTTTGTGGTTGACGAGTCCGCCGTGGACCCCATAATAAAGGCTTGGACTTTGCTCGTTATGAAGAAAAAACAAGGTCATTATGAACGTCTCCGCCTTCTTAAACATAAACTACACTCAAATGATAACGAAAACGACGAGGTGATGTTTGGTGTTCGAGGACCGCAAAATGACGACAAGCAATTACTCACGAAAAAGCAGATTCTCATGCGAATGGAGGACGACCGAGAATCCCACAAACGGTCCAAAGAGAGCCTTTGGCTTGTCAATCGTCCTCGAGACACCAATGTAATTACTGAAGACGAATTTTTCACCCAATACTGGACCAAGATCAAACCTTTCGACGACGGTGAAAAGGCATCTTTTCTCCAAAACTTGGACGACCTCAACAAAATGGTGGCTGCAAGCTACAAAGACAAGCAGTTCTGATAGCTCTCATCTGTGTCATATCTATCTCATGTAATATATTCTATAACTCTTTACCTACTTTGGACAACATAACAAGAACCTCGTTCTTTCCTCCCACGCAATATCTAGCCGACGACTTCAAGTTCGCCTCAGCCCCAAACGAGGTAACTGTTTGCACTTCGTAGCCATCACCAGCCAAAGAATTGGCATACTCGAAACATGGCTCGTCGATCTGGGTTGTACCACCGATTACGAACAAAGACTTGACCTCTTCTGCCTCCAACGCCTGCATCATCGATGAAGTACTTTGTACTGGCGACAAGGTTCCTGGGGAAATCGCCAACTTTGCCTTAAACTGGTCAATGATGTCGGCTGGACTTACGCCTTTTTGGGTATGATTGTGGAATTGAACCAAAAATTCAAGTGCTCGCAATGAGAGCAAATTCTGCTGAACAATCACCACATTTTTGCTGATAAAAGCATGAACACCGTCCAGTTCTTGAAACAAATCATTTACATGCTGGATGCAATCTCCCATCATGTCGATACTCCGCTCTCTATCCTCCATGAATGCTTTACCTGGACGGAAGCTAACAGTGCAATCTTCAACTTCCATGAACGAACCAGGCAACCGCTCCACCTTGGACTGAATCAACAGGCGAACCTGGGGCATCCAGGCTCCAACTTCGTTTTCATCAGTCAATGTTAACCACTGTTTCGAGTCGACTATCTTGATATAGCCACCATTCTCTGCAACAAGACCCAAACGAGGTATACCTCCGTAGAATCTATCCAAGTCCAGTCGGCGAAGAACACTCACAAGGTAAACCCTGTTGGAAGTGTCACTCAATAAACCTTCAAGAAGCTTGGAAATGGTGGATGGTTCAGAAAATGAAGCTGATTTGCCGGCTACTGCTGCAGCATTGGTAACAGACTTCATAGCCGCGACCACTGTATTGGGGTCTTGACCGCCAATGACGGTTGCAGTCTCCAAATTCAAGAAGAATAAACGATTGGCTTGGTTTTTGCGGTAAAATTGTTGGAAAATCTCCTCTGTAAAACGAATCATCTTACCATTATGTCTGGCTTCTTCGCGAGCCCATGCTTGGTTGATATCCTTCAAGCAAGAAGCTATCCAAGTATTGGAGTCGTGAGTGAGAATCATGTCGTACATGTTCTTCCACCTGCGCTCTTTTTCCTCCTTGGACATGGTTAACAGTTGCTTGAATGTCTCTGCAAATGCCTTCAAACTCCAAGGATTGAGCAACAAGGCTCCTTGTCCCCTACAGTCCAAAATCTGAGACGAACCAGCAAACTCGGAGATCATCAATGGTGACTTCTTTTCACTGGTTGCAATCACAAACTCGTGGCACGTCAAGTTCAAACCTTCACGCATAGACGATACAACGAAAACATCCGCTTCGCATTGTAAGGCAACGTACTGGTCAAAGTCAATGTCTTGCTGAAGAAAAACCACAGGCTGGCTGATGGAGATGTTCTCAGGAAGCGAGTTGATACGAGAAACAATGCCCAAAAGCTCACTTTCATAGTCTGGATCGTGTGAGGTGCCAATACAGATCTGGATCAACACTGTGTTATCAATGTATTCTGGGTTTGAGAGAAGAAATCTCTCGTACGCAAGAAGTTTCTGCTTGATTCCTCGAAGCTTATCGAGCTTATCTCTACTCACAATGAGCTTCTGATCTCCCCATCTTTCGCGGATCATCTGTCTCCAGTCCGTGACATCTTCCGTTCGAGTAACTGGACCAAACTTCTCAGCATCAATGCCAATTGGTATGGTGGAAGTCATTACAAAATTCTTGTCATACGTCAACCCCAACTCATTGGTATCTGCCAAAAGCAACCGAGAGCAGGTTTGCAAAAAGTGACGAACGTACTCTTCCGTTTGAAACGAAATACAATTGGCGCCAAGCATGCCCTCCAAAAGACTCTTACGCTGGGCGAAGCATCGGAAAACTTCTGACAGAGGAAACGAAACGTGAAGGAAAAACCCAATTTTGGCGTCAGGAAGCTGTTCACGAACCATTTTTGGTGCAAGCAAAAGGTGGTAATCATGGATCCAAATGATGTTTTCGGGATCATTGGGGTCCTTTCCAGCATTTTCTCTCTTGTAAGTCTCCACCAATTTGTCTGCAATGAGCTGGTTTAAAGCCTTGTATTGCTCCCATGAATGCTCTTCAAATGCCTTCGATTTGGGGTCGTCTGGAATCTGGTAGTGGAGAGTGGGCCACAAGATTTGCTTGCAAAACGACTTATAGTGGCCCTGGAAGATATCATCGTTTGGAAAAACCGCTTCGCTATCATAGTCGTCATGGAGAGTTTTCGTAATATCGTCTATAACTTTTTGGGGAACCGCATCGCTGGGCATGGCAATGGTACCTACCCACTTTCGTTTGTGAATTTTTCCATCACGAAGAGCCTGGTCCACTGCCTTGATCAACGACCCATTGCCCTTTCTGTAACTTGCTACACTCCAAGGAGCAGTCTCAAAGATATTCGAGTGGGAAAGTATTCCGTCTTCAAGCGAAGGTTTGGAAAAACCGCCATAAGGAGCCAACTTTGACGACGACCGGGCGTGCGAAATATCATTAAAGTCATTGGCCCAGTCGTCCTTGCCGTCAAGATGAACCGAACCAAGATTTGAGGCCTCCTCGTGGATGGAACTGGTGCTATTGTTGCCATGAAGAGTGAACGGAGAAGGACGGTTTATAGTACGTCTAGCAGTTGGGGCGGAAGTATTGGTTTGGTTACTGAGTGCTGCCAAGTTGGTGTACGAGCTCAGAGTCGAACTGCCCATTCCAGCAAGATTGCTTGAAGAACGGTTGATTTTGAGAGACGGCAAGCCGACATCGTCCACCTGTTTTTTCACATCAACCACCAGTTTTTGTGGCTGTGGCCCCGCAGGACGAGCTCTTGGCTGGATATACTGCGGAGTAGGCGACTGGCTTTGGGCTGATCTCTGGAGATTACCTACAAGTGGATTGTTCTGCAGCGGCTGCTGGCCCCCACCACGACCATCGTAAGACAAGCCACGGTTCAATTTTTTCTCGTAGAAAAACAGCTCCGCAGACTCCTTGGTTTGGTCGCTTGTCGCTGGGTTGTTGGCATTATTGGTTTTGTGGGGATTGGAACCAAATTCGGGAGCCTGTGCTAAGGAAGGAAGAATAGATGCAGAATTATCTTGAGCTAAACCGTCTTTTATCTCCAGTTTTGCTTTCTCCGACGAAAGTAGACTGTGTTTCCGTACCTCTCGTGCCTCTTTTTGGGCGTGTTGGGCCGAAGAACCTTCTTGAGTGACTTCGATCTCGTAGGCAGCCAGATCGGCTACCTCGAATTGAACGGTATGGGGAAGAAAACTTTGGTTAGTTGATGTTTGTGGAGGTGTACAGACGGGCTAGTTTGCCCAAAATGGCTTTTTTTTGCTTGGAATTGTACTTACAGTGATCCTACGATAATTGTCATGATGGTTATCTGTGGTGAACAGAGACTTTAGTTAGTTGCTTGTCACGTGACGCGCCGAGCAATCTAGTCCGAGATGACAATGCGAGAAATAGAAGGCAATAGAACTTTCTGAAGAAGCGATATAGTAGATGTAAAATCACGGAAGTGGGCGACTTTAACGTAGTGCATTAGACTGTGTTAGTCAATTTTGCGAATTGTGGATTGGTCCCAATTGAAAATGCATCAATGCACCAACTACAGTATAAAAGTTGCTATACGAAGAGTTGCTAATCCAAAGGGATTTCCTGATGTAGAAACAGTTCTCGACCGAATTGCGGAACCTCCATTTCCTGCCGTGAATACACGTGTAGGCGGTACCGGACGATACAAAGACATCCAGTACACCAATTCAACAGCCATGTTTCTGGCAATTTCTTCAGCCAGTGTGCAGTTTAGCAACGTCAAACTGGTTGACGATCCCATAATGTGAGATTGTTGGCAGTACGTGATTACGGTAAGCTGGTGGAAGTGCTTTGTCTAATAGAAAACAATTGGTAATTGTAAAAGCTGCAAAATTATGAAAAATTGAAAATAAGTGTAAAAAGAATCAAAGCTGACAACCGCTTCTCATCAGTTAAACAGATTATCCTTGAATTTTAGTCACTTATCTTGTATTATGCAATCGAAAAAGTTATTTATAAGAGAAGTTGTTCAGAAGAATTAGTCAGTGAGCATGTAATATAGCCATCACAGACTTATAATTCACCCTGAAAAAGTTCTCAGCTTGAGAAATTGTCGCTCATAATCTCGGTTTCCTTCGTTTGCAATTTCTAGCCTACTTAAACGGGCGAAAGGGGAGGTCTTAAAGTAGTTGGTTCACGGCATCTGGCTGCGAATTCCTGCACTTGCCCTTCGCAAGTGGTTGTGTCTCCTTGCACCCGCTGCACCAGTTCCCCAGATCATCATGTTTTCAAAAGTAGCAGATAACCACTGTCATATCGATGTAAATTGCACGAAAGAAGACATCATGGAAACTGCAGATGCAATTGCGCTATCTCCAGAACTCCGAGATGGATTTTTCAGCATAATGACAACGTATGAACGAGATATGCATTTGCTTCAAATTTTATTTCACCGTCTAGGAAAAACTCAGAATAAATTGATGCCTTATTGGGGTGTCCATCCTTGGTATTCTCACCTATTCACGTTCTGTGAGCGCGATGGTGAAAGTTTGGCTTCGTGGAAAGAGAAACATTACCGACAAGTGTTAGAGCCAGAGCCAACCAACGAGATGATGAGGGTACTTCCTGACCCAATTGATATGAATCTGTACTTGAAGACACTTCAAGACACAATACAGCGGTGCAAACCACCTCACGGCAAGTTTGGAATAGGAGAAATTGGCCTTGATAAATTATTTAGGGTTCCCTCAGCAGGCTACTATGGCAGTCTCGCGACTATAGACTCCAATTCTCCTCGTCTTTCGCCCTGCAAAGTGACTATGGAGCATCAAGAACGGATCTTGCAGAGCCAGCTTCTACTAGCGGAAGAACTCCAGGCTCCAATCTCGGTCCATTGCGTCAAGGCTCATGGTCGGCTATACGCGGCTATTGAAAAATTCCGCGGTCCAACTATCATACTCCATTCATATACGGGATCAACCGACCAGGCGCAGATGTGGATTCGAAAAACCGACAAGCTCAATCAGCAGATCTTCTTCTCTTTTTCACAGTGGATAAATGGAGAGAAAGCTGCTCAATTGCGGGCATTAATGGAAATTCTTCGAGACGAGCATATACTAGTGGAGAGCGATGTCAGTATAGACAGATACGATCTTGAAACTTATAAGCTGGAACATATACAGCAAATAGTGGAAACTGTGAAAGCAATACGAAAATGGGACAGTTTGGAGATTTTGAGCCAAAATATAGAGAGGGCTATCGGGGTCAAAGAGATAGAAAATTTATACTGATGAAGAATTGATATGACCGGCAAGACAGATGAAGCATTATAAGCATGCCGATTCACCATTGCCTTCTCTTCGTTATTCTGGTACTACTTCCTTGGTCTTACTTCCTCTTGGTCTACTTCCTCTTCTCATTATCTCTCATTGATTGTCTATCTACAATCTGGACTTGATAATGTCCACAAACTCAGGCTTCAACGAGGCTCCTCCAACCAAAAATCCATCGACATCTGGTTTGTCTTTGAACTCACCAGCGTTCTTGCCGTTAACCGATCCTCCGTACAAGATTCTCACCTTCTTAGCTTGGTCAGCACCAATGGTCTTTTCCAAGTGAGCTCTGATTCCCTTGTGGGTCTCTTGGGCATCGTCAGGAGTGGCAGCCAATCCGGTTCCAATTGCCCACACTGGCTCGTAAGCGACAACTATGTTGGACCAGTCGCTGACAATCTTGGAAACGGCATCCAATTGTCTGGCACAAACATCCAAAGTCACGTTGGCCTTTCTCTCATCCAAGGTCTCTCCGATACACAAGATAACCTTCAAGCCTTGTTCCAAGGCAAACTTGGTCTTGGCAGCGATAAAATCATCAGATTCCTTGATAATGGTTCTTCTCTCAGAGTGACCAGTCAATGTCCATTTAGCTCCCAAATCCTTGACTTGTTCAGGAGAAATCTCTCCAGTGTAGGCACCAGAAGCTTTGTCGAACACATTTTGGGCTCCAACTTCAACAGTTTTTTGCTTATTTTCAGAAACGGCCAATGCAAGATATGGAGCTGGAGGAGCAATTACCACTTCCACATTTTCTGGAAGGTCTGATTTGTTCAAGCCGTCCACGATTTTGGTAATGGACTCCTTGGTACCATTCATTTTAAAGTTTCCACCTACGAAAAATTGACGAGACATGGTTAATTGATGGTTGGGAAAGGAGCAAAGGTGTGCGCTTTATATGGTGCCGGGTGGACGGATGTGCCCCGACGTGGCCCGGGTGTCGGCCGTGGCCGTGGGGTGGGGTCATGGTGTACGGATGCGTGGGGCTAGATGTTCCGAGACAAAGACTTCTGAGTTTGCATAGTTGATGGTATTGATTGTGTTTTGGTTTAGGTGACTAAAATTGAATAAATTGATGTAAATACGCGCTACCTAAATACTTACCTTTAAAGTACATATCCGAAATAGGACAAAGCAGTGGTAAATCTGTGGTAGATTTGTGGTATATCTGATCTTGAATGGACTAGAACCGCCGGTGATATGGTCCTAGAAGTAGACTTAGTCTGCTTTGTCTTTTTGGCTCTTGATTTTGATGAAATTTATGAGGGTATTGCAATGGGTGCAAAATTGAAGTTATGGTGTTCTGCATTGAGAGATTCCCTAAATTCCAGCTGGGAATCAAACAGACAAATTCAGCATAGCACTGCTTGTTTTCACAATTTGCAATAAAGTGAAGTACCTCTCTTCCATCTATCGGTGATAAGTACATCCGTGCACCCACAATCACCGATGAACTACCAACCATATATCATGGCTCCTTTTCCAAGGTATCGGCGCTATTGGCGGCACTCTGGTTCTCCATTTTGAACCGCAGAGCCCCATGGCCGTTCATGAGTTTTTTGTATTGGTGAAGAATGTGTTTGTCTTTATAGCGGGCTTCGCGAATGGCTGTGGTTTGGGCTTTGATGATGCTATGGATGTCGAGATCATTGGGGTTCTGCAATTTGTTTTTGGAGTTGAAGGACACTTCGTCGCCGATCTCTTTGGTGACTTCGTAGTCGTCAATGTCTTCTTCGGGTAGATCGTCCCATGTCTTTAGTGGTGTCTTGAGGTCATATTTGCCAGTGGATTCGTTTTGTTTCATGATTATATATTGGCAGTGGGGAATATTTCGGAGCGATTCGAACTCCTCGTAACTCCATCGAAACCATTTCATCAAAAATACTCGCGCCCAAATGCCGTGGGTCACAAGAACGAGAATATTGGGGAAGTCTTTCTGGCGAAATTGGCGGAATAAAGACTCGTTGAAACTGGCAGCTCTATCATAAACGTCTGCTGCCAGCTCACCGTGAGGAATCCGGTAGAAAAAATGGCCATAATGAGCTCGTTCTTCCCACACTTTTTCCATCTCTTCCGGGGTCGATTGAAAGTTGCCAAAATCCTGCTCCCGCATCCGTGGCTCTTCGTTGACAGAGTATTCCACATCCGGCAAGTCCTTGATTTCATTGATAATGTCGGTACACGTTTGTCTTGCTCGGGAATACGGCAGAGTATAGAACAGAATCGACTTGCAACTTCGCAGCAGAGGACAAGATTTATTGCATTTTTCAAACTGGTCGTGGTCCAAGAACGATCGGAGCACTATTCCAGCGTTTTTGGCTTGCTTGTGGCCAGTTTCCGTGAGCACAACTTTGTGGTTGGCGATAAATCTGTTAACTGATTTGTCACAATTTCCTTCCGATTCGCCGTGACGAACAAGAAGTATGTACTGAAGGTTAGTATTTGTTGACGTTGGAGTATGCCAGCTATATAGCCGAAATATAGACAAAAAGTCGAGTTGATACATACTTTTGGTTTTGCCATTGGTCACAAATGAAAAAAGGTCGCTAATCAGCCGTTTTGCTGCTAAATGCTGGTGTACGGGTGCAGGACATAAGCCAAGATTGTGGATCGGACATTGGCTAGGCGATAAGGTGGCTTTGATCAGATCAATCAACATTTACTTTTACATTTACATTCTACCTTTTGCATTATGAACTCTGAATTTCACCTTTTACATTTCCACAACCTCTTGTTTAATCTTGTATTAGATCTATTCTCACTCCCTTCACTCTTCTTTTTCCTCTTCACTCTCTTCTTTTCTTTCTCCTCTCTTTTCTTCACTTTAGACATCGCCAACCAATTTACGCTCAATTGCAGAGCTCTTGGTCAACTCCTCGTCGCACTTTTTCAAAATATCGTCGGCCAATACATCAATGGCATGCGAGTGCAACAAGTTGTTGTAACGAGAAGGTTCCACAGGCAATTTAAACAAGGTTTTCCACTCGTTGGGGTCGAGTTCCTTTTCGCCGGCTCTTGATCTTTCGATGTTTTCCAACTTTCTTTGCAGTTTCCACTGGGAAATTTTAGCATGCTCTTTCTGGAGGTGTCTTTGGTAGTAGTTGAAATTGTTCTGGTCGTAGTTGTAGGAGTCTATTTGGCCATAGAGCGACTCGAGAAGCTGAGCAGTAACATTTTGGTTCGATGTCAATTTCAAAACATCGTATTCGGTTTCGGATTGGGCGATGGTTGGTAATCCAGCAATGTAGGTGGACACCAAGTATTGGTTATCAATTTGAAGTTCTACCTCTTCGAAAATGTTGAAGTACGATAACTTGTGTGCCTCCAAATCCTTGGACTTCCATTTGCCGTCCAAATATGTCGTGACAAAATTTTCGGTCAACCGATACCCTTTCACATCAACCTCTTTTCCTACAGATGCCATGTTGTGGATCAAGATAAAGGTGTTGGCGTTAGCCAACTGCTGCTGAACAAGGGTGTCCACAAGCTGGTTGGTAACAAAATTGCCCGACGTGGTCGACTGAAACCATCCTTGAAACTCGATTCCATAACCCAATTTCTTCAAAGATTCCAAGATATCTTGCTGGTACTTTCCTCCATTTCTTGAACGCAACGACCCTCCTTCATACTGGTCCGGGTAGGGATAGGGATAGGCATGGGTAATGTCGATTTTTCCCTCGTCGGACTCGAACCCAAGAAGCGTTCCTGAATAAAGAGAAGGATAGTTTTCCGACGTGTGTCTCAAAAGCGTCAAAAGCGCGCTTGATTCGATGTGGATCTTGCTGGCAGTCGGTGCCAGGTATTTGCTGGGTTAGCACATCACAAAGAGCCGGGTTCCAACCGGAAATTTTTGGGTCGTGGTACTTACGTTTGCTTGATGGACATGGTGGAGAAAAATTCAAACCATTTCCAAAAAGTTGATGTGCGCGCTGCTGACGTAAGCCAGATGAGTCTTGAATTTTCTCATTTTCTCAAATTTGAACAAGCGAAAAATTTGTACCAAAATGTCTGACGCCGTGAAGCAAGTGGCGGAAAGTTTGCAGAAAACGTACCTCGATGAGGCTACCGGCGAGCAGGTTTCCAAGAGTGAATTGAAGAGAAGACAAAAAGTCCGGGATATCGAAGCCAAGAAGGCTGCCAAGGCTGAAAAGGCTGCTGCCAGTGCTCCAAAAGTGGCCAAAAACAAGGATAATTTGGCTGATTTGACACCCAATCAATATTTCGAGATCCGGTCGCGTCAGATCGACGAATTGCGTGCTGAACACGACAAGAACCCCAGTGGCTTTAACCCATATCCTCACAAGTTTGATGTTGGAGTGCGGTTGCCGGAGTTTATTGAAAAGTATAACCACTTGAAGAAGGGTGAAACCCAGCCTGAAGTGGAGATCAAGGTCAGTGGTAGAATCATGGGTAAGAGAGAGGCCGGTTCCAAGTTGAAATTCTACGTTTTGAAGGGAGATGGAGTTCAAGTCCAGGTGATGGCCCAAGCTCAAGATGTAGCTCTGGCTGAAGAATACGCCAAGATGCACGAGTATCTTCGTAGAGGTGATGTTATTGGTGTCACTGGATACCCAGGACGCACAAACCCTGCCAAGGGTGGAGAGGGAGAGCTTTCTGTTTTTGCAACTTCGGTGCAATTGTTGACTCCATGTTTGCACATGTTGCCCACGGAGCACTTTGGATTCAAGGACCAGGAGGCTCGTTATAGAAAGAGATACTTGGACCTCATTATGAACGATTCTGTGAGGGATAGATTCAAAGTCCGGTCCAAAATCATTGGGTTCATTCGTGACTTTTTGGACTCTCGTGATTTCATCGAGGTGGAAACTCCTATGATGAATGTGATTGCGGGAGGTGCCACAGCCAAGCCTTTCATCACCCACCACAACGACTTGAACATGGACATGTTTATGAGAGTTGCACCGGAATTATTCTTGAAGGAATTGGTTGTAGGAGGCATGGACAGAGTGTACGAAATCGGACGTCAGTTCCGTAACGAAGGTATTGATATGACCCACAACCCTGAATTCACCACTTGTGAGTTCTACCAGGCGTACGCAGACGTTTACGACTTGATGGATATGACCGAGGTTTTGTTCTCGGAGATGGTCAAGAAGATCACCGGTGACTACAAGATCACCTACCACCCAGAAGGTCTTGAAGGCAAGGCTATGACGTTGGACTTCTCGAGACCATGGAAGCGGATTAATATGATCGAGGAATTGGAAAAAGTTTACAATGTCAAATTTCCACCAGGAGATCAATTGCACACTGAAGAAACCGGTGCTTTCTTGAAGCAAATTTTAATCGACAACAAATTGGAGTGCACTCCACCATTGACCAACGCCCGTATGCTTGACAAGTTGGTTGGAGACTTGGAAGATTCATGCATCAATCCTACGTTCATTTTCGGCCATCCTCAAATGATGTCTCCATTGGCCAAGAAGGACAGAAAGATTCCTGGTTTGTGTGAAAGATTCGAGGTTTTCGTGGCTACCAAGGAAATCTGTAATGCTTATACCGAGTTGAACGATCCATTTGACCAACGTCAAAGATTCGAGGAACAGGCCAAGCAAAAGGCCCAAGGTGACGACGAGGCTCAATTGGTTGACGAAACTTTCTGTAATGCTTTGGAGTACGGGTTGCCTCCTACCGCTGGATGGGGATGTGGAATTGACCGGTTGGCGATGTTTTTGACCGATTCCAACACCATTAGAGAGGTATTGTTGTTCCCTACTTTGAAGCCGGACCAAGAAAAAGCCGTTTAGAAACAATTAGCCTAATTTAGAATAGCCTCTAAGTCTAAGCTTTCTACTGATTAACTCCGCTTACTGAGTTTCTAGTCGTGGTTGTATCTATTATACATCTTGTCCTGGAGTCTTCTGGTTCAGTCTTCTATTATACATGTCATCTCTCTCTTTTCTCTCTTTTCTCTCTTTCCTTATTTCCCTCTTTTATTATCCCTCTTCATCTCCAACGCCCTTTTGTATGGCGGTGCCGTGGGCATTTGCACTGGGTCAAGTCCAGACTTGATTCCTCCGACATAAGTGGCATCGGAATCTACACTGTTCAAGTCACCACAAGCCACAAATTCGGCCACAGTTCGCTCTTCTTCGGGCATTTCAAAGTGCTCGAGATTGCCTGGTTTAATCTGGGCGTCCTGGAAAAACTCTTCGGTACTCAAGGCAATATTGGGAGTCCATCCTGGACGAGGCTTGTAACCAATGCACACAATAAATGCTTCCAACGACGTTCCTCTCAGAGCTCTTGGTTTGGCACACACAACACGCTCGAACAAGTGACCAAGCTGGCTGTATAGCAAGTCGATATCTCGGCCCCGGAAGATTTTGGCTACAAAAGTTCCACCTTCTTTTAACACACACGTAGTGAGTTGAAGTGCACACAAAACTAATTGTGCTTGGATATACTCGTCCAAGTCGTGCAATCCAGTAACATCAGGGGCTCCGTCGCTACAGACAAAATCTGCTGGCTCTCCGCCAAATATGTCCAAAATTCGTTGAAGTGTCTTGGGATGTGTGATGTCTGCTTGCAAGGTTATCACGCCATCTATGGGTGTCATGGGCTGAAGATCCACCGCCACGATCTTGGCATCTTCGCCTTTCAGATTCTTGTATATTTCCCTCGATAACACCTGGGACCATGAACCTGGGGCCGCACACAAATCAACCACTCTTTTCACTCCGGAAAAAAGTCCAAATTCTTCGTCCAACTGTAGCAATTTAAACGCTGAACGAGCACGCCAGCCTTCCTCCTTGGCCCGCCGGTAGTAGAGATCGCGCTTGTCCTTGCTGGATTTTCCCATTGGGGCCAAAAATCAGATATGAGAAAACAATCGCATCGAAGCCATCGCGGCCTTGTGGGATCTAGGTGTGTGGGTGTGTTGATAATTTTGGTTCGCGGTGAGAAAAAAAGTGTTAACCAACCAAAGTTGTCCAGAATGTTCAGGGCTTCAGTTCGGACCTTCGGGAGTGCTTCGAGGATATGGAAGAACGCCAAGCAGTCCCCAGAAGAATTTTTGGCTTCCAGAAAAGGCAAAGGTGTTCTGAATGCCGAATTTCTCAAATCGTTATCCGCCAAACCGTTCGAATATAAACCACAATATTTGTCTGAGGACAAAGTGGACCCTTCTACGAAGCGGCCTATACCCCTCAATGTTGAACTTTTGCAATATATACCTCTTCAGGTTCCCAAAACACACGGACACAAAGTTGCCGAAATTCAATTTCGAGGCTATAACGAAGAGAATCTTGATATGGCAGGAGAGTTTGCCGCTCGTGCTGGATTTTATTTGGGAATTCCTTGCTCGAAAGTGCAAGTTTTGAAGACGGAGAAACGTCTTTATACTGTTATCAAGTCACCATTTGCTCAGGCCAAGTCGAAAGAGAACTTTAAAAGAACCACTTTTAACCGTAAAATCGAAGCATTTGATGCCAACCCAGAGGTGGTGGACTTGTGGCTTTCGTACATCAACAAGCATGCGTTGTCAGACGTCAAGTACAATGTTCATATATACACCAGAGAAACGGTTGATTTCAGCCGCGAACTCGATGCAATCACTGGTGGAGATTTGCAACTTCCAAAGGCATACGACGGTGCAGACGACCCAATTGGAAAGAAGGTGGAGGAGTTGTTGAAGTCGGATACGTTCAAAGAGCACTTTAAACTGTAAATAGATAGAGGAATTCATTATTAAAAGAGTCGAACAATCGATGTATTAGAGATATTTGGTCTTGACAATGCTGCCTATGTCTGTTCAGTTATTGGAGAGTAATCACTTGAATAAGCAATCAACCATGTAACGAACTTACACTATTAAGACATTTTGTACAATAGCGTTCTAAGAGTTCAATTCGAGTATAGTTGCTTAATCTTGTTAGAAGCTTGAACTGGAAAGCTATACAGCTTTTATTTCAAAGTTATACTACGAGCATATATACCAAGATGGTGCAAAGTTGATACCAAAAAGATAATTTTGAATATTGTATTCTAGAGTATTACATGTGACAATAAAATACTAAGAAACTACATCTTGGTGTTATAGACGAATCTCACCAAAAGTATTAGCACTTTGATCATTATATACCAAATTATAGGCTAAGATGATACACCAACAGTTCATCCACCGTATTCTCAGAAAATAGTCAACTCTTTCACTCATATCTTCCATACCCATTCTAGACATGTCTCCGCTCATGAACCTTCCATATAAGTGTAAAGAAGCTTATAGACTCAATCTTAAAAGCTGTCGTTTTCTGGTTCGTTTCTCTTCGTTTCTTCGATCTCATGTTCGTTTCTCTTCATTTCTTCGATCTCCTGTCCGTTTCTTCTTCTCACCCATAAACGTCCCATCCTTCTTCCTCCTCCTCAGATTCCTCTTCGCGTGCCTTTCTGAGCTCTTCTTCCAACTGCTCTTTTCTCTTTCTCGACGCTTCTGTCACATCAAATCGACAAAGTGGACACGTAGAATGCATTTTCAACCATGGTCCCACACATTCAAGGTCAAACGTGTGCCCTTTAGACTGGATTTTTTGACACGGCAATCGTACCACCAACGGGTAGTCGTCTTCCACAAACTTATTGGTACATATGGGACACTCAGCAGTCTTATCTGTTAATTTTGATACTGGAACTCTTTCTAGCGAATCGAGAAAGTCTTGAGAAACACCTTTTTGAGGTGAAAAATCGTCTGGATGTTCATTCAATTGAGAAAAGAGCTGTTGGGCAAGTCCAGATACATCTTCTGAGCCTAAAACTCCCAAAGCTTGCGTAAATGTGTCTCTTTCGTTTTGTGAAGTTGATCTTTCAGAGGCAAGAAATGAATCTATAACCGATGCCAAAGTTTGGTGCTGGCGTCTATGGGTTACTGTGGATGATGTGGTTGTGTTGGGTTGGATATTGTGGTCGTCTGGGTTAGAAAAGATGAAAAAAAGATGAAAAAAAGCTGGGTTTGGTCTTACCTTCGTAAGTAGACATGGTGGTGAGATTGAGATAAAGTGAGATTGAAAAATGAGAATGAGATAAGTGAGATGAAAATGAGAATGAGAAGATATTAGTAAGAGATGGAGAGAACGATACCGTAGACTGGGTCCAGGTATGATCTACACCTTGAATTTGGTATGCTTTATTACTTATGTTGTTTATAGTTTGGTTATATCTTGTTTTATGATTTGCTTTTGATTTGCTTAGTCTGTAATGCTAGCTTCGTGCTTGAGAGTCTTTATTGCCTTGCCCTGGTGTTTCTCAATTGCTTTTCTCAACTGTAGTCTCCCGGTTATGTCTTTCTCAGCTATTTCTGTCAGCTATGCCTTCATATATTTTCCATATTCTTCCACCGTGTTCTCCACTGTATTTTTCCACTGGTTCATCCACTGTGTTCATGTTCTCTATGCCTTCCTCGTCTTCATTCCTGCTCACTTTCGTCCATCTCTTCCTCCTTTTCTGGTATTCGCAGCGCAAAATAGTCATCGCCATTCAAGTACAATGGCGTCATAGGGGGATCCTCCGAAGGGGTTTGAACTGGATACAAGATTGGTGACGACCCTCCTCCCTTGGCCACGTACATTGGCTCGCGTGCCGCCATCGTTCCATGCATCTGCAGCATCTGCAACTGATAACTCTTGTTCTTATACGATCCAGCAAGGGACCGTGGCGGCGTCTGTGACGAAAGCCAAAACCTAGAGGGCAGACCACCTATTGACGTGGGGTCCAACATGGGTGAGTCGGGGACTACTTCACGAATTGGAATTGCTGCTGGTGTTTGCCCCGCTAGTTGGCTGTGTAAAGTAGCATTAGAAGGCGGCGGGGGCAGTCGGTACGTCTGGAATCTATGTTGGTTTAACCTGGTCACTGAATTGCGACTGGTTATAGGCGCTGGCTTGAAAGGCTGCATTTGAGCATTTTGAAAAACCTGGGGCAGAACTCGGTTCGAGTTTTGTTGCGGAGCAGAAACTACCACCGGTTGGTTTGATCCTTCAAGGTCTTGGTTCAACGAAAGAAGTGATATTGTGGACGATGACGGTATGATTCTTCCATCGATTTCCTTGCCAACAGACAGCGCTAGCAACTCGGGCTCAGGATGTTCGTCGGTAAGCATGGCACTGTCTATATTAAGAGGCTGCGACGCTTGTGGATGTACGTTTTCCCCGGCAAGACTGGAAGAAAGGAGCGACTTCCGTGGCTGAAGCTCTTCTGCGAGAATCCGCCTGCTGAACGAATCCGGGCTAGCCATGCTGATTATCCGGGGCTGTTTTGCACTTGTGGGGAACCGGAATAGCCGGGCTTATTGTTGCTCTATCTTATTTTCTACCGTGGCTGTTTGGAAAGGCTACAACCACAATTGCCAGACGCTGAAATGCTTGAATTTGGTTCTTTCAAACTAGGGTTGTGCTTTTTTTTCACCTTCCCCAAATGTCGTTTAGCTTCAAAGGTTGGGTGACGAATGTAAAGTTGGACCTAGTGCTTAGAGAACTGTTAAATGTGCTTGAACAATAATCCCTGGAAGGTGATTGCAACGAATAACAGCTACCTTGCTGGTCAGGTGTATAAATATCGACTTGTAGTGGGTATGTGTCCCGTGAAAATTCGCTATCGACAAATTTTGCGATAAGGCGATTGCGACACTACTGCGATAACAATAGGAGCCCGCGTATGTGGGGATAAGGTCATGTGCGATATTATTACGAAAACCTTATCGGACTATGCCTCATTGGGATCGGTTCGGAATACTTTGTCGGGGTTAAGTATACACTTGGGGTCCACAGCCATTTTTAATTGCCTCATTGTATCCACGGCATCAATTCCTAGCTCGACCTCAAGGTACTCCCTCTTCCCATTTCCAATACCGTGCTCTCCACTACTTGTACCTTCGTTGGCTAAACCAATTTGCATCATCTTGTGAATAAGGGTTTCGCATTTCTCTTTCTCATCTGGCTTGTAGAACACATCTGCATGGAAGTTTCCATCGCCAACATGTCCCAATATAACACTTTGCAATCCCAGTTGACGAATCAATTGATGCACCTCTGAGAGCACCGAAGAGAGTCGGGAAATGGGCACAGCAATGTCTGTGACCCATAGTCTCACGTTCTCGTCTATTTCGTTACGCCCATAGTTGAGAATGGCATAAAAAGCATTCTTGCGTGCCGCAAATAGTTCTTCTTCTTCTTCTTCTTTGTCTGCAGCAAAAATGAAACTTTGGGAATTGTTGCTCTTGGCTATATTTTCCACTACTTTCACCTGCTCATCAACATGGTTCTGCGAGATTCCACCAATTTTAAAGAATAATGTAGGTTCTTCTAGCCATTGACGGCTGAAATATCCCGAGTAGTTGATGCAATGCATCATATCTTCATCTAATAACTCAATGGCTGTTGGCTGCACCCCGGCTCTAAAAAGAGCTGAAACCGTGGCTGTAGTATCTTGTATTTTAGGAAATTGTACCACTACCACAGTCTCATGCTTCGGCTTGACATGGAGTTTCACAGTGGCTTCGGTAACGATTCCAAGTGTTCCCTCACTTCCAACAAACAACGATGTAAGATTGTACCCAGCACTAGTTTTACGAGGTCGTTGACGGGTTTTGATAATAGTTCCATCGGCCAAAACAACCGTGACTGCCACCACGTTAGCCGCCATGGCCCCGTAGTACAGAGCATTGATACCAGAAGCGTTCGTAGCTATCATGCCGCCAATTCGTCCGTCAGGTCCACAATCGGCACCAATCATCAATCCAGATGGTGCAAGATGTTGGTTAAGATCCTGCCAGTTAACTCCTGGTTGTACAACAGCATCAAGGTCGTCATGGTTTACGGCAAGAATCTTGTTCATTCGGGAAACATCGAGGACCACGCCTTGACGAGTCAGAAAAATGTGGCCTTCAAGCGAAGTTCCGCCGGCGAAAGGTACCACTGGAACCGCATATTCGTTAAGAATTTTCATACACTCGGAGACCTCTTCAGTGCTTGCAGGGTACACAACATATCGAGGACGTTCACCCGGACGTGGTAAATGGGGTGTAAATTCATTTTGTGAATGGCTATCGAGCTCAACGGCTGTACTCCGAACCCATTTTTCACCAACTACCTTTTCGATCAAGGACACTGCGCGGCGTATTTCCGCATCACTGCAGTACTTTGGCGGCTTTGTGTCGCGGAGAGGCAACGACGAACGGGTGCTTTGATTCTTACCAACAAAACGATCGTACGCTAATGTGGCGGAACATACCGTGGTGATCGCTAATGCTGCCTTGATCAAAATGCCATTGGACGCTCTAACAGGGTTGGCCGCACCGTTGTGTACAAAACGATGGCGGAGAGACGAGCGAATAGTCGCCGAACGAAGTTTCAAAGTTGAGCGAAACATAATGTTATCATGATATCCATCGCTGATAGTGATGGAAAGTCACGTGTGAGATGATGAAGTTTAGATATGGAAAAGGATGTTTGTACCACATATATGCTCTGGGGCCGCAGATGGAGCTAATCTACATTTTTTAAGTGCCAAGAATTCTTTTTATGGCCCTATTTATAGTTGCGGGAAAAGGGCTGCTGCGTGACCGTTTTGCAGCCATGGTTGCAAAACCTCACTATAAAAGGAGGGGTATCTCGGCGTAAATCGGCTTCTTTCTTTCATAATTTTGCATTAAATATAAACATTACTCATTAAACTACCAAGTCTTCGATATAAGGCTCGGATTTGAACGTAGCCGCGTAATCTAGGTCCTCGAGCTGATCTAAAAAGTCATCATTGGATGCACTTTTTATACTTATGAATATGGCGTTTTCCACGAGTTGTAAATTTGATTTCCATTCTTTACACTCTTTCAGAAGTGACATTTGTAAACTGCGACGTATCTTGTCCTGTTCCAAGCGTTCAATGTCTAATGATTTTCGGTTGTTTATAGGAAGATATGAGGTTTGTGCTTCGCTATCTACATGATCATGAAGCATAAGCAGCACGAAATCTGAGATCCCATAATAGTTGGTGGTTCTATGAAGTTTCTGTGATTTCAAATCGAGCTCCTCGTCTTCAATAGAAATTGTTGACACATCAGGAATGGTGTCTGTGACAACAACGGCATCGGGAGTATATGGTGAGTTAGTGTCTTCAAGCAGCTGTTCGTCCAACTTGTCGCTGGCTGCGTCTGGAAGAATGGCAATGGATTCGCGGCTGCCTGGGGCTGCAATTGATCCGAGGTATACGGAACTTCGCTTGAGGTTTGGAGTGCTCAGTCTCGTTTTGAGTGTGCGCGAGTTGTTGGTATTGGAGAACAAAACCGACACTGGACGCTGAGAGCGGCCTGATTTTGACGATTTTTCAGGATTGAGGTTTTCCTTGAAATCGTCTTGTACGTGGCGATTCAACGTCATGGACGACACCAGCAGTGATAATGGTCTTGGTTTCGAAGTTGGAGCTGATATGCTAGCTGAGTTGAGACTGGAGTTTGATGATTTACGCGACCGAAGTGAGCTTAAAAACCCCTTTTTCTTCGAGTCCGAAAAGTTGGAGATGCTTTGACTGCGAAGCATGATGCACTAGCTAGGAATGGTGGATTAAAATATTGTTGGTTGCAATGTTTTCGTCTGTGTTTACGTTCCACAACGTCACTTTAATTACAATGATGAAAAACAATGCCGGCCACACGCGTCTATTTTGATCGAACAAAAGAGTGCCCTGGCAGCTGCATCCCTTGTGTTTACATACGCGAAAGTCGACTCGCGGCTACGCCGCATCAGAATTATGCAGACAGGATTGAGGTTGCATAGAGCTTATGCAGGCAAGGCTCTTATTCCGGCCGCAACACGAGGCCAATTTCACCTGCAAAAAGCGCTTGTTGTCTTAGTGAAATGAAACTGAGCCGCTCGGCATAATTTCCGATGCATGAAGGAGATTTTTAGTCAACCGACAAATAAGCCCCGCGGAGAAGAATAATTTCAACGCACGTCGTTATTTCCAGTTTGGGATTGTGTCAAATTTACTATGTGCAATGGACTATGTACAGGTTTATTCGTACCACGCAGGGTACCTATTATCTTTGGTAGCCATGGTGTTGTCTGGATTGGCTGAGAGACGGGTATAAAAAGGTGTTTTGCCGGTATATCGCTCGACATGAGTAACACTTTTTTGTTTCCACAATTCTTTGCGAAGCGGATTACCCTTTGCATCTCTGCCGGCAAGAGTACGAGTTATGTATCGAGTAATGGGCTGTCTTACCCAGATTCTTACTCCTTGAGGAACCCAAACTATCCATGGTTCATCAGTTGGTGTTGGAGCTCCTGTGGGGGTCAAATTGACATGACCTGCACCGGCTACGACCAAATCAATGGCACCGTAGAAAGCAGGAATGTAACGAGGAACAAGTTTTTTGAGTGCTGAACCAGGCATGATGAAAACATTACGAAGTCCAGCATGAGCTCCATTTTCATCTTCATTTGCTACTGCTTCAAGCAGTGCTTTAGCCTTGTCAACATTTGAGAAAATGTGCGCTTTATGGTTGATACAATTTCGAGCTTGCACCATGGTACCAGGAGGTGGAACCATGTAAAAGATTCCACCAACTGTGTAACATTGACCTCCCTTTATAGTCTCGAAGGGAGATTTATATGTTCCGTATTTGTGGATGGGGACACCTTTACTTAATTGCTTCATTTGAGATGGCTGCAAATACGAGAAAAGACTAGCAAATTCATTCGAATCCACATTCTCGCCAAATCCTGGAACATCGTGCATAGTGATACCGTCCACGTCGTATGGAATAGTTCCTCTGGTATACCCTGGCATGTACGAGGCACCTGGACCCGTGCGATTCTTTTCTTGCTCATTCTTACGACGGAGTGCTCGTATATCCGATGGGGTTGAGGCTCCAGAATTGATGAGTCTATCTTGTTCCTTTTCAAGTTTGACCCTCTCTCTGGAACTTAGGTGTTGTTTCTTGGCTGCAAGTTTGTTTGAAACACTGAGCATTGATTTGAGTAGGGTTGATTTTCCGCTATTGACGCTGCCAATCAAGTATGAATTGTCACGGATCTTGCCGTTTTTTAAAAGTGTTGGTATATTCCAGTCGATTTTTCCACTGGTAAGAACAACATTCTCGCCCAGCACTCCGTGCTTGCGATAGAAGTAGTCCTGGAAAAATGGAAGACCATACTTGTTGGCGAGATTCAATGTGGGAAACAAAAGGTCACATTTGGTTATGACAAAAAGTATCTCCAAAGCGCTCCGATACAGAAACACTCGCAGGTCCAACGACATGGGAAAATCGGCAGCGCTAATGACGTAAACCAACTTGGCATCGGGAGGTAATGAGGTCATGATCGCATCGAGCGATTCTATTGGAAACTCATCTTGACTATATTCCGACCGAAATTGTGCTTCCCTACATCTTATGCACTGAATTGATTGTGGAGCAACTTTGGGAGATGGTTCATTTCTCTGCTTGAATAAGGAAATGTCTTTTTCTTCACCACTTGAATTTAAGAGGAGCTTTAAGTCATCGTCATCAAGACCATTATAAGCATTAGATGCCACAAGATTCTCCTTCCGAACCAATTTTTGACCGGTTCCGGGTTCTCTGTAGAAACCAGGACGATCTGGATCAGTTTTTTGAAGAGTTATTCCGCACGAATTGCATGTTGGTACTAAAGATTGCAAAAGCGGAATTGTCGAGTAAGGCCGAAATTTGACATTGCGAAGTGATAGTACAGGTTGTGAGTTTGTATGCAAACTTTTAATTGGGATGGTGGTTCTAAATGACAGTACACGCTTGCAAGCAGCGATCCATATCAGCCGTCGAAGGCTCAACATTCAGTTGAACTGAGTTTCCTGATTCGATGCGATGAGGTCTACATCCACAACACCACGACTATTTTCTCACTGTTGAATTTTGTCATACCGTAAATGTGCAGTGCCCGCATTCGTCAAGAAAAAAACCGTCTAGCTGCATCGCAACGAGCTTAAACTCCCAACTGTAATTGTCATGCATCTGATGTCATGCATAACTTAATTCCTGGAAAGGAAGTAAACGGTAAACCGAAAGTCGCGGTTCGCCGAGCTGATAATATAAATATAATAGCGCATGGACATGCGTCCCTTGTATGCAGCTGACTAAAAGGGGTTGAAAGACATTTGTTACACAACAATAACTGAAATGTGGACACGCGAAGGTCACCACACGACTACAAGATATACCAAGCCAGTAATGGTTCGCAAAACATTTTTAAATTGTAAAGAGACGTTATCCACTTGCAGGCTGATCATAGTGAAAGGAACCTAATACAGAAAAAAACTAGTGAATGGGTTCTTACGCAATATGGATTCTTTCGACGTCTTACATGATGCACAATGCAATGCAGCCGCACAAACTGCATAGTTCGACATGCAGCTTATGGTCCTGCAGCCCCCGTAAAAGATATAATAAGGAAAGAAGCGGCGCGTTCGGAATTGACCAGACCCGCGGGGTGGGGTGCTTAAGCGTTACGCATGGTGGTAATTAATTCAGAAGGTTCGAACGGGAAAATTTTCCGATATCACTTTGATATGTTAAATTTTCATCTCGTTTGTTGCTTCTAATTTGTGAATTGAGGCTATTATATTCACGCTAATCGCATGATACATGCAGCCTCATGCATAAGCACCATGTCCGTTTTCGTAAGCCGGTATGTTACATGCATGTGGTGCCGCTTACCATAAGAATTGAGCAACAATAGACGAGAGGCTTTACCTGGTAAAGGTATGAATGAGGAATATTATATGATATCCGCGCAAGTTGGTATATTTAAGTGTTCGCGATTTGACGCTTGCAGTTTCCAGTTTGCCACTATTGTTTGATTGGCGTACTACTGCGGTCAGACGTACGTCTGGCGCATCGAAAAAAAAATGTGGTTGCTTCTGCAGGACGGTATGAGGTACCGCAGGTATGCATTATGCGGGTGTAAGCCCGATCCCCGGCAACGGTAACCAATCAAGTCGGCAACATTGCCCCTCTAAGAAAGTTATCAAGTCCTTCCGGCTGCATCCGAAACTTAACGCTTCCTTCCCCTCCGCTTCATGCACAAAACTGGCCACTAACTCGCGCTCGAATGCTAGTTGCCCGCCTCCAAACGTTTAATCTCGCATAGAAGGTGCGGCTTATGCCCTATTAATTCCTGCCAGTTTCATGCAGCTTGAGTCGTCATGTACATGATATGCATGCGACTTGTCATGCGTCAATGCTTTAGATCATTCTGCAGCTGATTGATTCGGTAATTTCTCTGACGGACCCGATTCCAGGAGTGTTGCGGTGAGAATTCTTTCTTACGTTTTATCGCCACTCGTCGATTTTTCAGGTTTTTACTATTTCTACCTCATGTCCTACTCGGCGTGTGCCTCCGAAACATGGACGTTATGTGGTGATTGTGCCCTGTCATTAAGCCTAACCCAGGTGGCAGTACGGTCGTATGAAGCGGCACTCGCCCATGATCCTAGTAATGCCAAGGCGCTCTGTGGTATCAGCGCTGGTTTAAGACTCATTGACATTAGCCGAAACGAAACCGTGCGGTCACAAAATGCCATTGAAAATCTTACAAGGGCCCTTTCTGCATATCCACATTTAACCAAGGTGGCTGATATTTTCCGTCACTTAGCTGAATGCTATCTTCTAATTGGTTTAAATGACCAAGCACATCAGTCAGTACAAACAGCACTCGAGCTTTCTCCAGAATCTCCCACACTTTGGTTGCTAAATGCACAAACACTCATTCGGTCCAATGCAAGACAACATGCAACGTCGGCACTCACTCATTGTTTGATGCTTCTTTCGAATAGAAACCTGTCGCAGGATAACGATATCGAGACGGCACGAGCGGCACATGCGGAGCTTGCTGCCATTGCTGCAGCAGATGGAAATGTAGATGCATCAATTGCAGAACTCACTGCAACTTTGGCGCTTCCTCCTCCACCACTCGCACAAACAGAGGAGTATATAGCATTATGGTGTGCATTGGCTACCGCTAAGGAAAGAGCTCGTGATTTGGAAGGTGCCATTCAAGCCTGTGAGGGTGCTGAGCGTGCTGTGGGACGCCTGCCTCGGATCTTGCTTACCCATGCTTACTTGTTGCTTGTGCGTGAAGAGCCGCAACCAGATGTGGCTATCACTCTTTTGCATGAAGTTGTGGGTGATGTCGAGCATGAAAAACACCAAAACGAAAACCAAAAGGAACAAACTGAACAAACTGAACAAAGCGGTCAAAACAGTCAAAATGTAAGTGAGAACGGCTCCCCTCATACCAAACCATTGAAACTCGAAAATTGGCCTGCGGAAGATTTTCTTCCCTACTTTCTTCTTGGTCAAGCGTACTCGCTTCTCAACCATCCTCGTGCTGCGTACGATGCGTACCAGGTTGCACTTCGTCGTGCTTCAAACTCACCAATTGCCTGGCTCGCGGTTGGAAAACTTTACCTCAAACTCAAACAACTTCCAGATGCTCTTGCAGCTTACTCGCAGGCATTGCGTCTTCAAATGGACGATGGTTCTGCAGGAGCTGCAGCTGCTTGGGATGGACTCAGTTGTGTGTACGAAAGATGTGATTTTCAACTAACGGATGCTGCCGATGCTTGCGACAGATGTGCTGCTTGTTATAGAGCTATTGGAGATGTGGATGGAGCCCAGTTTTTCGAAGAACGTGCCAAGACGTTGATAGCGGCCCTGCGCAAGGAAGTTGCGGTGCCTCCGCTTCGAGACCCGGTTAATGTTCCGGAGTTCTTGGTAAGAGATCTCGTGGCACTTCTTCCATCGGAGCGTATTTCTTACGTGCGCGGCGACAGAGACTATGAAAGACAGACAGAAGAGCAACAGCAACGCCAAGAAGAACAACGTCAAATTCAACAGCAACAACAACAACAACAGCAACAGCAGCAACAAGAACAGCAACGTCAAATCCAAAATCAGCATCTCATAAACAATCTGCATCAAGATCAGCTGCGTATCCAGCAGCACCAACCTCAGCATCCCAATCTCATTCGTCCAGAGAACCCCCAATTTGCTCCACATTCTCCCGCTGGAGCCTCCGCCGTCATCAATGGCTCAGGGATGTCAGGACCGGCTCCTGGCGTGCCTGGACGCCTTCAAGCTTCACCGCATCAACTTCCTCCTCCACCCCATTGGTCGCCAAGCCAACCTCCTGGCATGCTTCGTGGTCCTCCTGGCATGCCTATGCCTCCAGGAGTGATTCAGGGATCTCCAGGACCTCAGCAGCAAATGATCCAGGGCTACGCAACGTCTCCACCACCAGGACCAAACGGCGTGCCAAACCACCCTCCACCTCCACCTCCAGGTTATGCCTATGGGCAACATATGCCTATGCCTACGATGGTGGGTATGCCTTATCCCCAGCCTGTTAACGGGTGGATGCGATGAACCATTCATAGAAATTAGATATAGCTACTGTCTATACTGTTTCAATGCATTTAAAATATTGGTCCAACTGCCTTCAAAAAGGCAGTTTTCTTCTTTCAAGGTTTGTGATTTTTTCACAGTTATACCGAGATTTTCCGCTAATGGTTTGACCGATCCTCCTTCTATGATAACCCCAACATCGCTTTCCAACAACGGAAACAAATCGGTTGAACTGTCGCCGATATATATAATTTTTTTTTGGTGATTCACCTTCCTCAAATACTCGACTTTATCGAGTCCGGTGCGAACCGAAAATTTCCCATCAAATTGTCCGGTGCAAATATCATTTTTGTACTCAAAATCATTGCAAACAACCTGTAATAGCTCCCCAGACTCAAATCCATACCGCCGAAATACCTGCTCAATAAAATATCGACACCAATTGATGCTAAGAACAATTACTGGAATTTGGCTGCAATGGCAGTATTCAAGAAATTGTAAAAAATTGTCACGAAGCTCTACTTTTTTCGCAATTGCATCAAAATGGGATTTATGAACACCTTTGAAAAGTTCTTTGGCTACAATCTCGTTTATGGAACTCATTTCTACCGGGTGCAACCCCAGCTGGTACTGGCGTTCCTCAGCAACGGTGGTGCGTGGATGTGCATATTTGCGCTTATAGGCGCATGAAGCTTGCATATAGACGTCGACGAAGTGCAGAAACGGAGGTTTATACGAGGGTTTTGCATTATAGGCAGCTTCTGCTAGAAGCGCGATGGTGTCTTTTGTGGTTATGGTTTCATCCCAGTCTGCAATAACCAAGGGAGAGCGTTTTGGTGGCATGCGTAAAAATGCTCGGAAAGACATATTTCGACATTGCATTGAGGGATGAGTATGCGGTGTCTGGATGTCACGCATGGAAGCAGGTGACGAATCGTGGAAGCAACTGAAGATGGAGAATAGGATTTGATCGGGAAATTTTTAGGTTAGTTGTGTGTGGAATTTGAATCATCCTGAAATCATCCTGAATCTTATAGTTTATTTATTTATTCATGATTTATTTTGTGGTTGTGATTGTCAAATCTTTCTTTGTCAAATCTTTTTTGGTATATCCTTTTGATTTCTTTTTGGTTCTGATATCCTGGTTGTGAGTTGGTTGTGAGCTGGTCGTGATCTTTTGGTTGTGAATCTTTTTGGTTGTGATATTTTTGTCTTCTTGGCTATTCTTGCATATGACTTGGAATTTCCCCATTAGGAAGTCGATCCTGGTATATATACCTTAACCCCAAAGAGCAACAAAAACATGAGTGAGAAATCCCAAGCACCCCTGAAGGAACAGCAGGAACAGCTCAAAGTGGAGTTGAAAAAAGCGCTCAATCCAAATGGAGAAAACCCAAATATAGAGTCGTACGTCGACAGCACGTTTGCTTATATAAGTGACTCGATTCAGAAAATGGAACAAACTGACGACAAGGACAAAACTGCCAATGAAATAGCGGAAGATTTGGGTAAAAAGATCCAGGATTGGCTCAGTCAGAAGCAAAAGGAGTTGGAAGCCGAGAAAAAATAGAAAGCTCAAGGCACAAGAGCTGACTTGCTCAATTAGAACGGCTGCAAAAATAGGTTCACGTTTCAATTCAGGTCAAATGATTTAATGATGCAAATAGTTTAAGTGGATTCAGTTTCTTAATATCACATCATCCAATGATAAATAGGCCAGATACAGTATTCGATAATCACTAAACGAACATTTCAAGTATGACATGGAAGAGATGTCCAGAGATTTAATGTTCGAATACGACGAGTGAAAGACAATGATCTTGCTGAATCTGCTTGGCTTCATCCTTGAAGACCACTTCCTAAATCTATGGTCGGCAATGATTACCTTCCCGAATAACTTCTGTTTTCCTGTTATCGCCTGAAATCTTCCAACACTCAATGCTCGTTTCCTTGTCAGCATTTGAGCACTGCTTCTGTTACGGGTCTAGTATCGTCACATATCCAAGAACAAAAACGATCGACTTCTGTGTGACTTCCAATTCTCAAGCTGGCTGATAAGAACCTATAAGCTTTCTGAATAACGGTTCATTACCAAGAGTTGCCTCACTTGACTCCAACGTCCTCCACTAGAATCGCTGGAACCCAATCTTATGGCTCTCAATCCTTTACCTTCCGTGGTTAGCAGCCAACCGAGATCTACATAAACGTGGTTGTGCACAAGACCAATGCAAGCAATGGCAAATACTGCAACTGCAAATCCAAAGCCCATTTTCTCGATGTCCAAAATTGTGGAAGTAAAGCAGCGGAAATCCCAGCTTAGTTTCTGGAGGCTACTGACAGTACTATCCGTCAAAAAGTTTAATTAAAGCTGTTCGTAAGCATTAAATGTTAGAAAACTTGAGAAATTGAGGCAGCCGGTAATCAGGAGTTCAAATTGAAGGATCTTTTGCCTGTTGTTGATCTGTTAGATTATGATTATCGGGAAGAGAAGAAGCTGCAATCTAAGCGCAAACGGAGAAAGTTTTGTGCTTACTGCAATGGTCGGTCCAAAAATGTTTCAAGAAACTCAACAATCCTGAGTAGAATTCACACTGTACAAGCGACCAAAACAAGAATCAACGTTTCAAATTTGGCTTGTTGTCAACTTTGAACGGAACGATGGCACTTTTTCTTACGTATTTGCAGCCACCAACAATATATTCCTATCACATTTGTTGAGTGTTTCCAACCAGCAACTTCGGTAGCTGATTCATCTTAGGTAGCTACTGGTTCAACATGGTTTCTTTCATTTTGATCGTTCGTTCATTCTGATCTCTGGCAAAGAAAACAGGAAAGAAAAACAGAAAATGAGGGCAGCTTAAACTTTAAAATGGTTTGGACCAATTAATGGTTTCAGAATCAATTTGAACACAATTGACTCCTAGAATCATCTTTTAAACCCGGTCAAAATTCCTCAAGATCAAGGATTCAAAAATACCAACAAATAAAGTTTTAATTCTCTGCTCACATTCTTCGAATGCTCGAATGCTCGATCGTTATCTCACACCCATGCACCCGTCAAATATCGAAATTCTCAACCCCAATAACAATGCGGTTATCATGGCTAGTGTTTGCTGGGTCGGCCATTGCATCCTTATGGCAAGACCAGGTTGTTCTCGGAACTGAATCAGCCCCTCAACTCAAATCTGAGACTGAAAGCTCTCTTCTTGAATTCCACAAAAATTTAATTACAATTCCTTCTGTCAGTGGAAACGAATTGGCCGTAGCAAAGTATCTTGGGTCATATTTAAAGTCGCTCAACTTGACTGTGGAATACCAGAAAGTCACCAAAAACAGGTATAATGTGTATGCGTACTTGGGAAACAAACGTAATACCACTGTTTTACTCACCAGTCATATTGATACGGTTCCTCCATATTTGCCATACAAAGTTGAAGGATCCAGGATTTATGGACGTGGGTCCACGGATGCCAAGGCTTCGGTAGCAGTGCAAGTTTTTGCATTTGCACAAATGGCTGCAAAAAAAGTCATTGGTGAAGGTGATGTTGGGTTGCTTTATGTTGTAGGTGAAGAAGTTGATGGTCGAGGAATGGAAACCGCTTCAAAGTCCCTTGGGGCCCAGTGGGAAGCTGCGATATTTGGTGAGCCCACAGAACTCAAATTGGGTGTGGGACATAAAGGTGCTTATGTTGTGAATGTTCTGGTGAATGGAACCGCTGCTCATTCCGGGTATCCTGAACTTGGAGTTTCCGCTACCGAAACGTTGGTTCCATTGTTGGCTCAATTGCTCAATGCCGAATGGCCAACATCCAAATTGCTTGGTCCTTCAACCTTGAATATTGGCAAAATTGATGCTGGAGTTGCAGCCAATGTGATTCCCGCCCATGCCGAAGCACAATGTTTTGTCCGAGTTGCTGCCGATTTGGACGCCGTGGACAAAACCATGACTTCTATTCTCAGCGGCCACAAGAACGTAAAATACGACGTTTTGACAAAAGTAGAACCACAATACTTGGATTACCAGGTGCCTGGATTCGACTCCATTGTTCTTGCTTATGCCACCGATATCCCACATATGCATCTACAACTACAAAAACGGTACCTCTACGGACCAGGAACCATCCACGTGGCCCACGGAGCCAACGAGTACGTGGAAATCCAGGATTTATACGACGGTGTTGACGGCTACACCAGGTTGATTAGACACTGTCTCGAGTAAATGTACGCAATCTTCTATATCCAATGGTAGTAAAATCTACCAGCGGACTCAAACCATGCTCTCAATCTCGCAAATGTCTACACGAATGCCCTAGAAAAGGCAGCCATCGAGACACTCGCTTGCGAATAGAAAGAATGAAAACGGTGAGAATTTATATTCCGTTGGTGTCTGGATGTCATCTCCACTACAATTCATCTCTCGATTCGCGACAGAATCCATCATGGCGGAACCGGCGTGGAAAAAGCTCGGGCTCAAGGTTTCCGATAGTGGCGATTCCGGGGTTTCTGTTGCACACATAGACTCGGCGCAGCTCACAAATCGCGATGTTAAGGCGATAAATAAGCAAAAACGGAAATTGGAACATGGAAATAACGGCACCAAAAAACCACCCAAACGAGTCAAAGTTCCTAAAAGTGAACGTAAACCTCCCCCAGAGAAAGATCAGCTCTTCTACTTGCGCCAGTATACAACAGATCGAGACAATTGGAAATTTAGCAAACAGAAACAAAACTGGATTTTGAAAAATATCGAAACGATTCCCGAAAAGTATCACCACGACTTGATAGCATATTTAGAAGGTATTCAAGGAGGCTCACGACTGCGACTTTTGGAGGAGATGCAGGCGGTGGTGGAAAGATGGAATGCGGCTGGTAATGCTGCGGAGGAAAAAATAAGGGAGAAGGGGAATGGAGAAAAGACTGAAGAAAATGGAGAAGAAAAGTCTGAGAAGTCTGAAGGTAATGAGTCTGAGAAGGAAGGACCAACTTATACTTATGCCGTGCGGTGTCGTGACATCATAAAGGCTTTGACGGAGGAGTTTTTCCCTCTTAGCGGCGTTGACGAAATTGAGAGTGATGAGAAAAACGAGCCTGAAGAAACCGAAGAAAAGGCTGAATTCCCGGAATCACACGACGAGGAGGACAATCTTATAATTGAGGAGGTAGACGTTGCGGGCGTGCAGCTTGAGCCACCATTAGCATTTGAGAAAAAGGAACATGAGGAGGAGGAGGGAAAGGAGAAGAAGAAGAAGAAGAAAGAGAAAAAGGAAAAGAAGGAGAAGAAGGAAAAGAAGAAGAAGGACACAAGTAAATGAATGAAGAATTAGAGGATTTTCAGCGCACTAGTCATAAATACGCCAATTAATAAGCTCGCAGGTACTTGATATCTCTTTGATTCTCTAGCGTGGGCCAGGGCATTTACTGTCTCGCTACTTCGCGCTAAAATTTGTCGTGGTTTCTCGCTAGAACTTTAATAAATTTCTCGCTAGTCTCGCCATTTTCTGGTACTTCGCGCTAAAATTGTCGCGAATTCTCGCTACTATTCCCGTAATTTCCACTACTTCTCGCTAAGTCTCGCGCTATTTTCAGCCACTCCTCGCTAGAATTTCCACTTCCCAATTCTCCTATCTTTTCTTTAACTTCTCTGACCTAACTCTCGCTAGCTTCCTTAACTCTCCTCAATTCTCCTTACTTTCTATTTTTTCCCAAAAATTCCTCACTAATTCCTATTTTTAAGTCTCCCTTTCCCTATTCCCTACTCCCTCTTTTCGCGAATCCACCCCGAATTCGCAAACTCTCACCTTTCTCATGCCCGATCTCTTATCCCTGTTGGCCGACAAGGCCCTAGATGTCGATCCCGATCTCCGGTTCATGGCATTGGAAGACTTGCGCAAACACCTTAATGACCCAAAAGTGGAAATCAGACCCCGTCAAGTCGAAAAATTCGTGCCGATTCTCTTTCGACTTTTGCACGATTCCAACCCCAACGTTCAGAGCCAAGCCGTCAAGACTTTTGCGCCGGTAGCACAGTATGTTGAAGAGAAAGTGGTGCTCAACATGCTTACAAAGTTGTACGATGAAGTGGAAAAGGAAAATAGTGATGGACGAATCACCACCTCGATTCCTTCAATGGCACTTCACAATATTCTTGCTAGTGACCACCGGTTCGAACCCCAATTGGCCCGTAAAATCATCCACGCCATCATTCCTGCCATATTTTCCAAAAACGCCACCATAGACTCGATGGAGTTGCTCATCGATATAGTTTCGGCAACTGGATTTGTCATTGAAGATTCGGAAATTTTGGACCTTCTGGTACAAGTAATTGACATTGTGTTTCGCCACGATGGAATGCTAGGCACTAGAGCCGCGGTAGCGCTTCAGGAGCTCTTGTCGTACCTCAATGGAGGAACTACACAGCAAATTATTCACCAATTGACGGTATTGGTGAACGGGCACGAAGGAGATATCCAAAAGAAATTGAGTCTTTTTTCCATTATTTTGAAACATGATGCTCCCCACGATGCTATTCAAGTGGTACGTTCCACCATACAATCGTGTGTTTCGTTGCAAAATGACACCGACCTCGAGAACATCGACCTTGATGTGGTGGCTCGCGACAATTCCATTCGTGCTTCTGCGCTCACCACTTTGGCAAATATGGTGTCGTGTGTGAGTAGTGACGAGGTTCCGGTAGACGAATGTATCGATGTTGTGGTGAAATTTGCAAATTATGATCCACTTTCGCTGAACGATTCTGACGAAGAAGAAGAATATTCCGATATGTCGGACCTCGAATTCGAAGACGACGGCGACCAGGAGTTCGAGTCTGATGACGGCTCGTGGCGCGTGAGACTCAAGGCTTGCAATGTGGCCAAAAACTTGGTTTTAAACGTTCCTTCGTCGGTTCCAAAAATACTACAAAAATGCTTGGACGTTTTGATTCTTGCTATGACCGGCTCAAGCGAGGCAGTTGCACATGAGGCTATTGGCTCTGTCACCGCGGCACTCAATACTCCCCAAAAAACGAACCCATCTGACATCTCCAAAATTGAAAAAACCACCCTCGCTCTCATCACAAAGCCCGACCTCATGCACCATGTTTTGGAGCTAGTTATAGCATTGGCTGCGAAAAACGTCTCCTCCGAGTTCTGGGACCACTTGTTTGATAAACTTGGTGAGCAGTCCAATACCGAGTACTGGCGACTCTACCGTGCTGTTCTCTCCGAAACAGAACCGGAAAAATTATCCACCAATGTTGTGGAAACCATCGCCAAGGATGTTGCCCATGCTCTCCAAGCGTCCACAATGCACTATGTGCTCACCGAGAGCCTTACCATAGCCAGCTTGTTGCTCCATCGTCACGAAACAACCACAGAACTGCACCAAACTCTTGTGGAAATTTTGGACGTTATCATCGCAAAATGTGGAGATCGTCAGTATTCCAGTGATCTTCGCCAGTCGCTCATTTCTACGCTTTGTGAGTACTTGTCCACCATCGAAACGTCGGAATCTCAGCAGGAACAATGCTCAAATGTGCTTTTAGCAGCATTGGGATACGAAGCTACTATGCGAACGGTATTGGCGAGTTCAGGTCCAATTTTTCAAAATGCAAATTTAGCTAAAGGTCAAGGTTTGCAACAGTTTGCAGTATCTTTGGGGCACCGGCTTCAGGCCGTGCTTGCATCTCCAGACCAAACTTACCATGGTTTATCTCTTCAGTTGCTAGCGACTCTTACCGAGGAGTTGGATGCGGATGAATCAAAAAAGGCGGTTTCGGCAGTTGTGGAGTTTGGTTTGAGAACAGAGGACTCTCTGCAAATTGCCGAGTGTTTTGCTATACTCGAAAAAGCAAATGTGCAACTTGGTGAACAAGAAGTTTTGGTAATTGCCCAATTGGCATTGAAAGTGGACGAAGAGTATAGTGTGAAATATTTCCGGAAATTGGCTTCTTGTGGTGGAAACTTGTTCAGCGTGCTTAAGACGACGCTAAAGGATCGTCCCCGGCTCTTGGCGGCAGTAGCCGTGCTGGAAAAAGATTGTGATATTTTTGAAAAAGTTGGTCAAATTGATCTCAGTGATAACCAGTTGGAAATGTCACTAAAATTTTTGGGTTGGGCAGCTTTCTACGGAGCAAATGTTCCCCCAGCAACCTTCTTTGACCAACTAAACAACTCGTCTGCTGCTATAAAGACAGCGGCTGCTTCGGCGCTCGGTTTGGTCATTTCTAAAGAGCTCGAGTCGCACATCGATACTACGCTCAATGGACTTTTGCAAGCTTACCAAAACCATCCTTCGCTCCACACATGGCTTCTCGTGGCCTTCAGACCCATACCTACAAAGCATACCGACTACTTGCAAAATATCTGGACTACAATATGGAACACCATTTGGTCGAGCGTCGCAACTGCGAATCTTGAAAAACAGTTGGGAGAACTTCGCCAAGCAGGAGAGATTTTGGCGCTTGCCTGCGATGCCAATGGTGATCTACTTGACCGTGAGTATCTAAATGGCACCGATGCGGAGATTTATGTTGATATTGCTGTACTTAAACAACTGTTAACAAAACTGCACTCGGCGCACCTTCTTGAGAAAAAACTTGTACAAGTTATGCCAGCAATTAAGAAGATGTCTATTGAAATCAAGCAAGCTATGATCGGAACATTCTTGACTGCTATTCACAGAAGAATTGATGTTGCTGACCGGGTTATGGACTCGATACTTTTGGCAGTTTATGGCGAGTTGGACGCTCGCGACGAATTCAAAAAAACAATCCCCATGGGTCCCTACAAATACGTGATTGACGAGGGATTGGAAATCCGAAAGCTCTGCTACGAACTACTCTACACTGTGGCAGGCCACGAAAATCGAGATCATATTGTGATAGCTCACCATGCTATCAGTCATGGACTTATCGATAATGAACCGGATGTGGTGATGTTGGCGTGCGGCGTGGTGCGGCGGTGCGCTGCAGGTGGCGGTGATAACGACAGCGTAATTTCGGAAAAATCGTTTGTGACAAACCACTCGGTGGTTTCACAATTGATTGCCAATATTCGAGTTTTGTTTGCCAAGAAAGTACGTCCTAAAGCTAGTGCTCAGGAAACCGAAACTTTCGAAACAATGATCCGAACTGTGGTGCTTATGTCAAATGACGTAAATACGGCGATGCAGTCGTCGGTTATACCTCCGGAAGTGCAACTCGAGTGGAATAGGTTCTTCCATGAGGTCGAGACCCGCATGTGACGCAATATACGGTTGAACAGCCACCCACCACCGGCGCAATCACATGTCTCACTTCAAACCCCGAAGTGACAATGGTGCGCGCACGCAGTTCTGGAATTGCAGCCGACTACTTAAACTGCTGGTTGCCATTAATCAACGAGCTTTGTTTGGTAAAGGTCATCTTGTATTTACGACCGACCAGTTCGCTACTTCCATATCAGCAAATCGTCTGTTTGTCTACTTCCACAGATTGTAAGAAGGATACATCCAAATTATCAATAGTGATACATCACTTTTTGGTTCATCACTTTTGAATAGTCACTTGCTTCATCTTCGTCAGATTTGATACCCCACAATCTGTCAACTCCGCTCGATCCGAGTGACGTTTGTTTATTTTTCGTTCCCCTCCAAGCTTCCCCGCTGACTTGACTTGGCACCCCTCCCCCACAAACCGGGCCACGCACGACCATGCTTGTAGATTGGGTTTCGCAGTCGATACATGATTCTACGGAAGCCATGTGGGACAACACATATTACATCCTAGATACCACGTCGTATTACGCGGTAAATTGCTTGATGCTCACCATGGAATTTGCTGATGACATTGGAGAAATGGTGGATCAAATGTCTTACAATTACATGATCTTGCTGACATCGGTCAAACACAAAATGTATAACAATATTAATTAGCATTTATTGGCATTCTACTCTATTGTATTTGTGCCTTAACCCAGCCTTCTAAACCTCCCTTGACTATAATATCTTGGAGATTGGTGCCGAGTTCACCAACTTTTTGTTGCATGATGACTTTGTTATCAGCATCTGTCACTGTGACTTGAGCTTTAGGAACATCCCATTTCAAAAACCAGCCTGTTCTAATAGTCAATTCCTTATCTCCAGCGTACTTTTGTCTCAATTTGTCAATTAAAGCTGGAATTTCCAAAGTTAAAAGAGCATTGTTAATTGAGTTTCTGGAAAAAATGTTACCAAACGAACCGGCAACCACCAATTGCATTCCCCGAGCAAGAATTGCGGTTGCTGCTTGTTCTCTGGATGATCCAGTACCAAAATTGTAACCGGAAATGATGATATCTCCCGGTTTAGTTTTCGAGTAAAATTCTCCGTCATAATTTTCCATGCAAACTTGGGCCATTTTTTCTTTTGGAACGTCATCCTGGTAGGTATATTTACCAGGATAGATACCGTCGGTGTTAATGTTGTCGGCATTACAAAGAATAAGCTCTCCAGTAAGTTCCTGAGGAAAACCAGGAATGATATCCACGCCAGCACCAGTGGCCGAATCTTCAGAATCCGAGGTCGAAACCGATGTGGACCGCTTCAATGTTGCAGGAGCAGCAATTTTGGATCCGGAAATCTCCTCTGGACCTCCAATCCGACCAAGAATAGCCGATGCTGCAACCACTTCCGGAGATGCAAGGTATGCCAATGCATCTTTTGAACCCATTCTTCCTTTAAAATTCCGGTTGGTGGCTGAAATTCCCACCTCGCCAGGCTCTAATAATCCTGTTCCAAGCCCAATGCATGGTCCACATCCAGCAGGCAAAGGTTTGGCACCGGCGTCAATGATTGTCTGCCAAGCCCCTGCAGCTTCTGCGTCTTGCTGCACTTGCGACGAAGCTGCAGCAACATAAAATTCGACTCCGTCGGCAATCGTATGGCCACGAACAATGTCTGCAGCCGCTTGGATGTCACTTAAGCGAGAATTGGTGCATGAAACCAAATATGCCTTGTTGATCTTGATGTCTTGTTGCGCCAAATCATGCAAAGAAGATGCAACTTTGACAGAATTGGGTCCAGATACGCATGGTGAAATAGTGCTGAGATCCACTATCAAATGTTTGGCGTATTTGGCATCGGAATCCGCTGCCATTTCCTTGGCATTTGCAGCCAATTTACCAACTGTGTCAGAATTTATCCGTTCATGCGGCTGCTGCAACCTTTGCATACGTCCCTCGTAAAAATCAATCACCGTCTGATCCACCGGAAATAACCCGGATAATGCCCCCCATTCAGTGGTCATATTGGCAATTGTGAGCCGGTAATCGATCGGAAGCGACTTGACCCCATCACCCACAAACTCAATGGCATGGTTCAATACCTCATCTTGATTGAAAACTCCACAAAGAGCAACAATAACATCTTTACCGGTAACACCCTCGGATAATTCCCCGGTAAATTCCACTTTAGCAACCGGAGGAATCTGCCACCAAGTTTGACCGGTGGCCCAAATTGCAGCCGCATCGGTCCGCACAATCGGGGTTCCAAGACTTCCGACTCCTCCATACGTATTGGAATGCAGGTCGGATGCCACCGTCAAATTATGCGGGAATGCATAACCTTCTTCGATCATAATTTGATGCCCGATTCCACGACCGGCCGGATAAAAATCAATTCCCTGCTCGGTTGCGAATTTTTCAATGTTGGCATATTTTTTCATATTCGACTCACTCCGGTTCTGAACATCATGATCCAAAGTACATACAACCTGACGGTTATCTTTAACCTTTGTAGCACCGAGTCCCATAAATTTGGTGGCTACCGGCCATGAATTATCATGTGACATGCAGTGGGCCGGTTTGATGGTTACATAGTCGCCGCTGACAACCTTCTTTCCGGGGGCCACTCCGACCGCATACTTCTGCACGATCTTCTCGGTTAGATTCTGTCCGCGCAATGCACGCAATCCGGTCGAAAATTGTCGGATGCTCATCATGAGATGAGTCAGAACTATCGCGAATCATAGTATTGGCGGGGACCCTGGTTTGTGCAGGATTGATATCCTGCATTTTGATAGTTTATCACCTTCGGTCGCAATATGATAGATCAGTTATGTACACTGCAGGCCTTGCATGGATTTTGTCGGTCATTGTTGCGTCATCGTACGTGGTGGCAATCCGATGGCGCGTTCCTGGTAGTATAGGTGCTCTTCCTCGGGATCATCCCTCGGTTATACGATTCCGGTTTTATCGAGTATCAATTTTATGCATGTCTCTCTTAACAGGACTTCCTTGCATATTGACAGCTACAGGTGCATACACCAGTATAAAAGAGGTATTTTCAGCATTCTATTTCAAACCCAATGGTATACCGTCTGCCCTCATTCTCCTGCTCGTGCTCTACTGTGGTCCAATTGCAAATTACATCTATATTACAAGGCTTCAGGATTTAGGCCCAGACACCATATCCACATTTTTCACCCTCGATGGATTGCGAGATCACGTGTTCGCCCCGGTGACGGAAGAGGTAATATATCGTTCGATGATTATGGCATGCTTACTTCCGGTGGTGGGCCCAAATTCAAGTATATTGTTCTCGCCACTATTGTTTGGCATAGCGCATATTCATCATGCATACGAATTGATAATTGGTGGACTGCTGCCATTGTCGGTTGCAGTGCCAACCGGGTTCCAGATCCTGTATACAACCCTCTTTGGCGTCGCGGCCGCGAAAATGTTTGTGGGGTCGCGAAGTGTGTGGTGTCTGGTTGTGCTTCATATGGTCTGCAATGTAGGAGGAATTCCTGGTCCGCCAACAGGTGGAAATACTTGGAAATTTGTGTACGTTTTCTTGTGTATTGCGGGACTTGGTGTGTTTATTTGGGAAACCTGCAAATGCAAATTGCAAATATTATAATGGTGGTGTGCCATTGTGTGGGTGTTTGGGTGCGATCCATTGTGTGCTCGGCGTAAATTTGTAAACGGTAGCATTAACCTAATATAGCACCTACAAGTATTTGGGTTTATTTTTGACCATTGTGAGTGGTGATTTTTGGTGGTTGAGTGATCTGTAGCAACTCTAGCAGACACCAGAAGCTTTATCGAACATTTTAAAAAAGTTCGGGTGTTTTTAATTCACATATCGCGTCGTCAACTTCCCAAATATCGTCTTTCGGCGCCACTTTACACGTTCTTTTTGTCCCTTAGCGTGTTTTCTGCCAATAATTTGGTTCTTTGTGGCGTTTGTTTTGTTCCAAAAGTCCCAAAACTCGAGTTGCTGGAGTTTCCTAAACGTCCCTTTCGAGAAGCCAATTTTACTTTTTGCATTATTCCTAGCATTTGCCCAGCATACATGTCATGTCTTCGAGTCACTATGAATCCGCAGCCAAAGATTTGGAGCAGGAGAAGAAGATGGTGGCGGCGTTGAAACGTCTTTCCATTGGAAACCGCATGAACTATGACCCCGATCTTCCTCCGGAAGAATCCGATTTTTTGCCGCTGTCTGAGTGGGAAAAGTCTCCCTCGCCTCCCAAAACGTCGCCGCAAAAACTGCTAAATGAAAATGCGGAAATCAACGAAGTACCGGATAATGTGGATACTCATGAGCTTCTTTGGGTTCCTGCCAAAATGCACCCGGAAGTGGATCCAGAACTGTTCAAATTGCATGTAAAGAATGCGGTGGAAGAGATCATGGAGCGGAAATTGACCCGCAAATTGTCTCGTAGGTCTTCCCTTCTGGGCTCTCCAAGCACCGAAATATCCAAAACCTCGGCTCCTTCCACGCCAGAGTCTTCTCAAAATCAAGATACCTCACCATCACGCTCGGCTACGCATACCGGTTTACCGTCTGACCCCAGGAAACGATTCTCGAATCCTTCTTTGCACCAGCTTTCTTCGGAACTTGAAAACTTATCTCGAAGGGCCGGAATGGATGCTAACGATGCCGTCACTTTGGCTCGAACTCTTTCCTCTTCTTCTTTGGGCTACACAAACAGTGAGCGTCTTGCCATTGACGAACTTACGCTGCCTCCCCGTTCTCGTGAGCCTTCTTATCGAGAACCCGGAGCGGAACACGCTGAAGAGTTCCCACTAAAACGCAGCCGAAGACTCGATTATCGCAAAAATACCGTGGCTTCAGGAACCAGTCTTCAAAATAACAAGGCAGGAAAGCTAGCAGAGCTTCGTAGCAATCTCAATTCGGCTCTGCAAACCACCGTTCCTAGTCTTCACAGCGACTTTAATGTACCAAAAGTACGCTCAAAGCACAGACGTCCACGCAATAACAGAGACTCCCAAACGCTTTTTTCGTACAGAAACCCAAACGAAAAGACTGAAAATCCACCACTTGAAGCTCATTCTTCCCAGCGAGTCACCAGCGACTCGCCATATCTGACAGCTTCTTCATCCAGTTCAATCGAGAGACACTTTACTCCAACTTATCACCCGCAATATAGACGACTGATTCTGGGGTCTCTGACCTTGCCCTATTCACAGGTTCCTAGCCCACAGCTTCAACAAACTTCCAAGCATAAACTGCACCGCCGTGGTTCTAATAATGAATATCGTCCTCGCCAGGCACCTCCTCCGCAGCCTCGAGGCCAGCCAGGAAACCGCCGAGTGCCCACACCTCCCCAGAGTTATCCTCCAGGTTCGTACCAGGGAAAACCAACTCCCCAAGTGACGGTGGTCGATACGGGTTCGCCTGTCAAAAGTGGACTCAACAAAAACCTCGACCTCTTACGTTCCGAGATAAATGAGTTTAAAGAAAGTCTCAGCACCCGCACCATTCCTGGAACCACAGAGTCCTCTGATAGCAGCGACAATAACGAGTCGGATTTCAGTTTCGAAGCATCATACCAGGACGTCAGTTACGAGGATTCTCTTGGTATAGAACTGGAGGTTTTACGCGAGCTCCAAGCCGAGCGCGAGACTCCACAACCTCCACTGAATCAACCGTTCACGAAACTTTCATCTACGAAACAACCATCTTCTAAGCAACCGTCCACGAACCCTCCCACAAATCAACCTTTTACTAAACAACCTTCTACGAACCCACCATCATTCCACGTTCAAGTACCGGCTTCAGCTGTAACATCTGGACGGAAAGAGACTGGAAACGAATCCAAGAACCTCAATTTGAACCGTCATGATGCAATCACTCCACTGCGTCTGAAAAATGGACAATGGGACAAGACAAGAGCAGACACTTTCAATGTTATAACGAGTGGAACGACTGAAACAAACCATTTGGATGAAGATCACGGTGAACAAGCAATTTTGAAGCGTGCTCAGCTGCCTGTCATGAAGCATTCTGAGCATCCTCAAGATGTCCACTCGCTGCCAGAAAAGGAAAATTTCAGAACACAACCTCACCCAGAAAGCAAAGAACCACAGGCCAACGATCCCGTAGAGGAGCTCGTGAAAATCTCTGAAGCTGCGCCCAAAAAGAGAACTCTCAAAAAGAAGAAATCTTGGCCATGGATGAGAGATCGGTCTGCCTCGCTTGACGAAAATACGTCTCCTACTCCTAATCCTCCATCTCGTTCTGTGTCGACACCGGAGATTACAGACAAAGCAAAACGAAACGAGGTGAAAAAGTCTGATTCCAAGGAGCTAAAAACTCAGACCAATGACAATCGAAACATGATATCCAAATTGTTCAGGAAAAAGAAGACCGTCAAGCAGAGCTATACTACCAACGGAGTCACTGTGGACTACGAATCGGATTCGGATTCTGACGACAAGAAACTGTTGTCGAAAAAGAAGAAGAGTGCAAAGAAAAAGCTCTACACCAACTTGTTACAGCTGACTTCGAGTACCTTGTTGAGCGAAGATGAACAAAGCCATGGAGTTCTACAGAAACAAACTTCTCGTGGAAGCCAAAGAAGTGATAACAGCGAAAACATAGCAACTATTCACGAGGTTCAGCCGGAAACTCCCAAACACAAGCACAAAAAGGCTGAAGTCAAAGAGTCAAAATCCAAGGAATCAGATGAAAATCAGGCCAAATTTGACAATTTGGATGAAGAACCCTTGCAGTCTCTGACTCCCACAAAGAAGTCAAAAGATAAAAAGGATACAAAGAGTCTTAAAGACGCAAAAGACTCAGACAGAGAAGTACCAAGCAGATCACAAACTACGTTAGATGTCCAGGAGAAGATCAAAAAATCGATCAAACGAACCTCCAAAGCTAATCAACCAATTGAGTTCACGGACTCAGCTTTCGGATTTCCTCTTCCACCGCCTTCCCAATCCACTTTGGTGATGCTAGACTACAGGTTTCCCGTTCATGTTGAACGAGCCATCTACAGATTGTCTCATCTTAAATTAGCCAACCCCAAACGGTCGCTTGCGGAACAAGTATTGCTTTCCAATTTTATGTATGCGTACCTCAACTTGGTGGATCATACGTTACATTTGGAAATGGCTGAGGAACTGCAAGGAGAAATTGATTTGGAACTAGGAAAAGAACCGGAAAAAGCTTGAATCGGATGATGTGGATGACGACACGGTGATGATTGATCTAGATGTTGTGGACGGGTGAGAAAACGAAGGAGGAAGCTTTCTGAACAACAAACAGATTTGAGATGGCATTATAATGTTGAAATTGATAGGAAGTTCAAAGATAAAGATTTGAATGAGCTACTCGAAAACAGCTAAATGAAGAAAATTGAACCGAATTTTCAATGAAGAGACTTGACTGAAGTTTAATTGAACACAATTAGATGAAGGGAATTGAAACTGAGGTTTAAAGAAGAAACTTGAAAAAGAACTTTAAAGGAACATGATCACATTTTAAACATTGGCTGAAGTCATTTACACATGTAAAATGGCGGTTACTCAAAATAGGGGTGCTACTGATATTGAACACTGCCCAACAAAAGTGGCTTACAATTCCATCTTATACCTTCCGATCCGGACTGTTCCGGTCCCCACCATAGCCGAACCCTGTCGCGTGTATGCAGGCGCGGCAACAAAAAGAAACGCATCGGGTGATATCTGTTTAGCTATCTAATACATTCTTTACCATGTCTCCTAATTTGCCCTTAATATCGTCTTCGTCGTTTGCGAAGCACAACAAGGCGTGGGACTGCTGGGTAACTCTCCACAATAGAAAAGTTTACAATGTTACTGGTTTTCTTGACTCTCATCCTGGAGGCGGTGATGTGATTTTGCCATATGCTGGCAAAGATATAACCGAGATTATGGCGGATATTTCTTCTCACGAGCACAGCGAAAGCGCCTACGAAATGTTGGACGAAGATATGTTGGTTGGGTATCTTGCAACTCCGGAAGAAGAGGAAGAAATGCTCAATAACAGACACAAGACTCCAGTTGAAGTCAAGCTTGTAGATGGAAAAGATGAGTATGACATGTACGAGTTCCACGACAAACTCCCTGCTATGGAGCAGCTTTCGATCCAGACCGACTATGATGCCGATGTGAAAAAGCACCAATTTCTCGACTTGAAAAAACCATTATTACCCCAGATGCTCAACGCCAAATTCTCCAAAGAGTTCTATTTGGACCAGGTCCACCGTCCCCGTCACTATGGAAACGGCTCGGCACCTTTGTTTGGCAATTTCTTGGAGCCTTTGTCGTTGACTCCATGGTGGGTTGTTCCGCTAGTTTGGCTTCCTCCCAACATGTACATTTTCTACGTGGGGTTTGCCAACCAAAGTCCCATAATCTCACTTAGTTTCTGGGCTTTCGGATTGTTTGTGTGGACATTTGTCGAATACTGTCTTCACCGCTTCTTGTTCCACTTGGATGCCTACTTGCCTGACCATCCATACGCACTCACCCTTCATTTCTTGCTCCACGGCGTCCACCATTATTTGCCCATGGACGGTTACCGGTTGGTGCTTCCCCCCACATTATTTGTGGTGTTAGCTTACCCATTCTACCGTTTAATTTTTGCCATTTTTCCATTCTACATGGCATGCTCGGGTTTTGCCGGAGGAACCTTGGGTTATATCATGTACGATGTTACCCATTACTTGCTCCACCACACCCGTCTTCCTCGGTACCTCCAGGAAGTCAAAAAGTACCACTTGGAGCATCACTACAAGAACTATGAAATGGGGTTTGGAGTCACCAGTAAGTTTTGGGATGTGATTTTCGACACCACCATCGATGATACTATTCATCCAAGAACTCGTTAATGTATATACGAAAGGGATCGTGTTAGGTTAATATCTGTGCCGTGATATACGATAATAAAGATTATTTTGTTAAAGAGTTCACTCCAAGTAATCGTCTGGAGTGATTCCCACACCTCCATGCTCTATGGCCAAGCGTCGAGTTTCCTCACTATTTTCGCCTTCAATGCGATACTGCAGTTTCTTTTCAACTGCTCTGTCCCACTTTAAACTGGCGTAGGTTTTTCTTATATTCTGGTGATTTAGAAAGAGCTTCTTTTTGGTTTCGAAGAATTGTTTTTCCACTTGTCTTTTTTTTTCAATCTTGGCCAATCTTTTGTAGTAAGCTGGGACTGCTTCCATGTTTCTGAGTCTCTCGAGGTGCTGCTGGTGAAAAGAGATAAAGCTCTGTGAACCTGAAACCGAGGGACAGTCGGTCGGTGAATTTGGTGAATTTGGTGAGTCTGATGAACTTGTCTCTGAGTCTGATGAACTTGTCTCTGAGTTTGATGAACTTGTCTCTGAGTTTTGTGAGCTTGCCTCCTCGATCTCGTTCATTTCCTGGTCGCTTAGCTCGTCCAGGTCGTTTTCTATTCGTTCTTCAAAATCAGATTCGTATTCATAGCTGTAATTAGTATCCTCAAAAAGCAGTTCACATCTACCATGGAGGTCGGGAGAAATTTCGCGAGTATTGCTGGCACACAACAAAACGTCCTGCCAGTTCAAGAGGCGGACGGGAGCAGCAGATTTGTCGCTGGAAAGATTTCGGCGTTCCACGATGTCTGCCATCGACTCCAAAACGTCGTCCAAATTATTGGCAATTTCAATGCAAAGTTTGCCCACGACCGCAGAACTGATTTCTGAAGACGGAACTCCATCCAGATTCCGAGCATGGATCACACTGTGTATTCGATGGTCCACTAAAGCCTTTATTTCTGCCATCAAACTGGTGCGAGAGTCAGACCGTTTTTGTGTGGTACTAAAGCTTCTTATTCGGTACTTTGACACATCCTCGCTCGGCTCCAGCACACCACGAGGGCCCGAGTGTCTCAAATATCGCCTGGTTTGGCTTTCATCGTCATTATAAATTGCAATTGGTTGATCTGAATAGGTGAACAAGTTGCGAGGGTCCGGAACTTCAGAATACGGGAGCGGCCAGTTCAGCCAATTTCGGCGTGGAAAATAGGGATTTATGGCATGCAAGAGGTGCGTGGAGTAGAGGTGGACCGCCAAATCCTGTCGAAACTCGTCCTCAATGGACTCTAGAATCAAGTCCCGTTCTTTCTTGGACATGAGATGACAAGCCCAAACACCGGATGAGAAAGTGAAAATGCTGAGAATGGTTGCGAAAAGATAAAAGAATAGTAGGGATCAAGGATAAAGGATGAGAGGATAAAAATTTTAGTGGGTGATTTGGGTGACTTGGGTTGTGCTGATGGTCAGGGTGGTTACATCTCGAAATATTACAATTACAGAATATTGCGACATTTTGCATAAAATAGGTTGAAGTGCAAAATTGTCCAAAATTGCAAATTATGATAGTAATTTTCTGTCATGTCAGACTTCCTCTGAGACAATGAATCAGCAACTACCCCAATTTATACTCCAAGTCTTTTATCTGGTCCAAGTCCTTCCACATTAGGTATTTCAACTATTTGCAGCCATTATTAGAAGACAAGAAAGTGGATCAAAGAAAAATTAAGGAGAATGGTTCAACTGGCAAGGATCTTCTACTAGTCGAAGCCAATGGATATAACCACTTGCTCTCAGCTCACAATTCAGTCAGAATCAATCACCACTAGTGTCCATTATTGTATAACATTCCACAAAAAAATATCAACATAACCAATTATAATATTTTCCCAGATAATAGCGAGACGATGAATCCACCACTTTCACAAAAACCAAATCTCCACTTGTCTCCACTAATCCTCTAATTCTCCACTGTCTCTCTGCTTCCTCTCACCTCTCTATGCACTCCTCTCTCTTATCAAAAATTTTCTCATTTCTCATTTCTTTCTCTCTTTCTGTACAGACGGGTACTACGGGAGTTCCTTTGGCACCTATCTAGACAGAAAGATGAAATCGTACCAGCAAAGCTTCTTGGACCTTGCGCTCGAATCCAATGCGTTAAAGTTTGGAACTTTTACTCTCAAGTCCGGCCGCCAGTCTCCGTATTTTTTCAACTTGGGATTTTTCAATACTGGAAAATTGCTCTCCACTTTGGCAGAGGCGTATGCCCGGGCCATAATTGAGTCTGGCTTGAAGTTTGACATTCTCTTCGGCCCAGCATACAAGGGTATCCCATTAGCAGCCATCACGGTGGCAAAATTGGCGGAAATTGATGACTCCTATGCCAATGTGGGATACGCTTTTAACAGAAAAGAGAAGAAAGATCACGGTGAAGGTGGCAGTATTGTAGGATGTGAGTTGAAAAACAAGTCGATCTTGATCATTGACGATGTTATGACCGCTGGAACTGCAATTAATGAAGCTTTTGAGATCATTGGTGCCGAAGGTGGAAAGGTGGTTGGCACTGTGATTGCATTGGATAGACAAGAAACCACCGGAACCGAAGGTAAATCCGCCACTCAAGCTGTGCTGGAGCGCTACGGAATTCCCGTTACTTCTATTGTAACTTTGGGGGACATTATTACTCACTTGAAAGACCGCATTTCAGACGAGGAAATTGCCCAGGTTCAAAAGTACAGAGAACAATATGCACCAAAATACTAGAGAAAAGAGATTAGGCGGAAAAGTAGAGATTAAGCGGGTTAATTACAAATGAAGAGAGTCTTCAACTTAGTCAATATTATGAGTGCTTGACCAGGTGCCTAGTAGCTAATATAATACAGTCAGTGAATGTGACAAGAAACACCATGCCTAATATGAGCTCAGTTGTCTTTAAGCTCCATCTTCCTCTCTTTTTTCTTCTCGTCTCATCCCCTGATCTTCATCACCTTCTTCTTGGGCTGCTTTGGAGCAGCGGGAATCTTGGGCTGTTCGGGTTCAGGGTCATAGATCGTCTTGGTCATAGGATGCTTCAACGTGACTCTCGAGTGAACGGGAACAATGGTGTTCATCTTGAAACCCTTCACACGAGGAAGTTTTTCCGGCACAAACCCATCGAATTCTTGAGGCCAAGGAACTCCATTATTCTTACTGATACTATCCAAAGTGGTTGGATGCGACGCAAGGTACTCGGCGATGCTGTTGAGCAAGCTCCGTTTCGTCTGGTACTTGGGATCGGACAATTGCCCGCCATTACTGTTGTCTTTGATGAGCACTCTTACCCGTCCAGGGTTCCCAAAATCTTGAGGATGAGACTTATCCAACTCCAAAATCACCGGCAAGTTGAACGAGCGACACGCATCGGAAATGGTCTTTGCTAGTGGATTTTCCACCGCCCGCGATTCACTGACTCGCCGTCCTTCTTTGTGCGATCGATTTTTGTCGAAATAACAAGGATAAACGATCTGAAACCGCTTCAAATGCTCCCGTTCTTCCTGGGAGAACTTCGCTGGGTCAATAACATTCTTCTGGGCTTCTGCCTGGGCAAGTGTCTGGGTCCTGGGTGTACTGGGAGCTCCTGGAAAAAGCGGAGGTTCTTGGTCCTGCGACCTAACCACAGTTGGTGCCGCACGGGCTGGAGCTAATGGAGTTCTGAGGGTTGGATCGAACTCTGCGATGTCCATATCCATGTTGTCGACATCGTCGACTTCTTCTAGGACGGGTCTTGACATTTTAATTGGACTTCTCTCAACTAAAGTGTTGAAGAGTTCGAATGCGAATTCGCGAAATGGACTATGGCGCGGTGCACGGGTGCAATACTACAATTAAGCTCCACAGTAAATCCATTACCTTCACTTCATCTTACTTTCACCAAATTCACTTTTATGGACGAGGTTGCAGCGGGAACACCCCGTGTTTTGCGCGAGTGCGCCTCCATGCTATCCACCCCGAACCACGAGAGATACATAGATACCCCAGACTACTCCAAATATTCCACCCATCCAGACATTCAGTATTTTCGTTCCGTCAAAGCAAAAAACCATTATCAGTACCACCGTCTCAAACGAACTTCCAAGCCAATCAGGGAACGAATCTACGCTGCTGCCTCGAAGTTCGACCCGTATAGTCGACCACAGCTTCTACACCGACTAGCATCCTACACGGCACTCAACTGGAGTTTGCCAGAGTCAGCTTTGGCTCTGAAACTGTGGGAAGTCTCCGAGCTCAAGTGTGCTCAGAACGGATGGCGCTGCGTGTCGATCCGGAACTCCAATTTGAAAAACCATTTGGTGTGTGACGTGTGTCACCATCAACTTATTCTTCGTTATAACGAGGTTCACGATTCCATATTTGACTTTGATGTCGAAGAAGTTGCCCAACTCAACGTAAATCTTGCTCGGTCCTACTTGAAGCAAATCACTACTAAGGCTCACGGCACCGCTTGTCCATGGCAGAGCCTCGAGACTCCATTGCAAGGCGTATACTACATGCGACCTTTCTTGAAGAACACCAACGAAACTCTTTTAGCAGAGTACCGCAAAGCATTGAGTGGCCTCGTACGCCACTGGCGGGTGCTAGAACTGCAAATATCTCTTCCATCTTTGTCTCAAAACCACATCGAAGACACCGTCGTTCAGATCTCTACAGAAATTCTTCTAGCTGGTGAAAATGAAGACAAGGAAAATTTGGCTTCTTTGGCGGCCGCAGCCCCCTTATGGGTATTCACCATTGCCCAGCTTGGCTGGGAGCTCCGGAGCCAAAAATTTGCATCTCAAACTGTCTATTTGATGGTCTGCACTGGTTGCAATGCTCGTTGGGTTTTGAACGATATCCGTCAAAATTCTTCCAACCAAGAACCTCAATTGTCTCCCTCTAACATTCTCACACCCTGTGAGCACAGAGCTATAGTCGAAGAAGACGACGAATTCGACCCATGGGACCACAAATCATGGTGTTGTCGGAAACAAGACTCGGCACATTTGGCCGAATTGTTGAGGCGGGGACTCAAGCGCCAGGCTGAAGAATCCACCCAGCTGCGAAAGTCAGCTCGAACAGAAACAGGTATAGACATAAAACAATAAGCACAATGAGCTCTCCTCGGAGCTCTCGGAGCCCACCTTAATCATTGCATCTATTGTAGCTATTATCATTTATACATTATCACAATACACTGTCGGCCAGCGATGTATCTGGTGGAACACTGAAATCCAAAATTTCGATAAACGCTTCCTCCAAACCATTTTGTTTCCGTTGCACTGCTGCCACACATCGATTTTGATCCAAGCGAACTTGCCAAATTCCTCCACTGATGTCTGGCAACAAATTTCTCACGAATTCGCCGGTTTGAATGTTCCAAAGCTTAAGCATTTCTATGCTTCCACTAACCACCCGAAGTCGATCATGATGCATACACGTGATGGCCTGGGTATGTCCCTTTAGTTTGCTGAGGTTTTCACCGGTACGAGGATCCCACACGCGAAGGGTAGTATCAGCAGCTGCCAGCACCAAATATTCATCTGACAACTCGAGTAATCCAACAAGCATAGTATGACCTTGAAGTGTACGGATTAACTTCCCATCGTTCAAGTTCCAAACGTTGATGGTTGAATCCATACTTCCCGAGAAGCATTGCATCGTTGTAACATCTAACGCGGTCGAATAGATACGATCGCTATGGTTCAGAAGCACATACTTGCATCGGCCCCCAGCACGAAGATCCCACACCCGAACCGTGGTATCGTAGGATCCAGAAACAACAAGGTTTCCGTAACCACACACTGTACGTACGGACTGAGTATGCCCAGCGAGAACCATTACAAGGTATGGGTTTTCGGCGTCTCCACAGTCGAAGGTGCCGTCACTTTCACGGCTGTCTTCGACAAGCGGAAGTCGCCAAACACGCAAGTTATGGTCACGAGAACCGGTAACAAGTAATGGATGCTCTGGAAATATTATATCATTTCCCTTTTCATCCTTACCAATAGATTGAGGATGTAAGATGTGCATGCAACGAACAGTGGAAGTATGGCCACGGAACACATGTGTGCATCGTCCGGTACGAAGGTCCCATACACGGACCGTCTTGTCGGTGGATCCCAGTACCAAAGTGTTACCAAAATATTTGAGAGCCCAAACTCCCGAAGGTCTTTCGTGGCCCTCGAGTTCTCTGATGAGTTCTCCAGTTTTGGCACTATAAATATTGATACGCAGGTCTTCAACGCCCGCTATAATCTTGTCTTCATCGTGCTGCAAGCAGGTGACCACATTTTTGCCCAAGCCGGCAACACTGATACGTCTTGGTTCGTATTTAGGATCCATCCATCGATTGAGAATAATGCGCCGTTTCTTGTACAACGTTTGCATCTTACTACAGCTGCTGTTGTGGCCGCCTACTCCCAGCCAGGGTGCTAGACTTTCATCGTCCGCCAACTCACGAGCAATTTCCTCGTCGTCTTTGACAAGCTTATCACGCTTCAACAATGTGGCCCAAAGTGCAGCATTATCCACCATTTTGTGCCAAGAACGGGATACTCGCGACACGTTTAGAAGAGCTCTGTACAGAAGATGCTGAAGGACGTTGTAGCCAATCTCGGCGGGAACAGTGGTCAATAAGTCTCGCTTCAAGCTGGAGTTTATCAAGTCTCCAAACGTGCTCAACATCACCCTGTCGGTTCGCTGAAGTAGTCGAAACACCAAGTGGTGTCTGTTTGTAGGACTGAGATAGCTACTCAAGCCCATGATCATGCTGATAAGTTCTTGTTGCGTGGCCGGGACCGTCAGAAGCTGGAGTTCTACAGGGTCGAGTGCAGGACTATGACGGCCAGCCTGGATGGGAGAAGCGCTGGGCGACGGAAGGGGAAGCTGCTGAGCTTGGTCTTGGTCGTCATCTGTCATGGGAGAACCGTGGTCTCGGCCGTTTTCACGAAGACTGTGGCGTACTTCTCGGGCGTCTCGAATACTGGCTTCGTCCAAGGTGGTGAGGCGGCGCTTTTGGCTGTGGATGTGGCCGTCGGAAATCAGGCTCTCCAAGTCGCTAATAGCCGCCATATCGTCGTCTGTCAAGTCTTGTTCTTCACCATCACGAATCCGCTTTCGGGCGCTCTGAGTCATGAGACTATGCTGGAGCCAAGCATCCACCAACTTTCCGTTGGGATTCACCAACTTGCAGTTGTACGCGGCCTTGGCGCCTCTGAGGGGGTATACTGGAGCGGAATCCATCAGTTTTGGGTGTTTTGATAAGGAGTAAGATTGAAATTGAACAGAAGATTATCAAACGCTTGTTTGTTTTTATGGGTTTTTTGGATGGAAGGACAAAAAATAGAGTGTACTGGCAAATGTGATAGGCGAGAACGTTCTGTGGGTAATTTCAAGCCTTGTTGTCCTGCTAAAAACGCCTATCTTTTGGAATTAAAAAATGCACTTATTTGGTAACCGGAAGAAAAAAATTGATTTTGAAATTAAAACACAAAGTAGTGTTTTTAAGCTTCTTTTCTGCTCTGAAGTCACGTCTCCGAGTCTCAAATCCGATATGTCGTACGTTTAGAAGCCCCCTTACGAGACCGCCAGTCAACAATGCGAAAACAAATGGTGAGAATTCAGAAACGAGCGGTGCGGCTGGAGCGGTGTTAAGGTGCGGGAAGCGAAAAAGTAGTAGAGAAGTACCAATGATTTCAGGTTACTAAAAATTCTACCATGATTCTATCATTCTACTATTCTACTATTCTACGTTCTACTATTATCTACTAATTATTCGTACATTCTCTCCTATTCTATGTTGGTGAACAAAATGCCAGGTTCACCGGGCACCGCAGATTCAATCACTTTTCCACTCAAGGTGATCTCGACTTCTTCTCCGGTTGCGACATTGACACCCTTCTTGGAGCCGTTCTGGAACGAAATGATCTCAATTTCTTTCACTTCAAATGAAACTGGAGCTCTTTTGAGATTATTAATGACAGACTGAATCACTTCGGTTTCTTTGAATGTCAACTTTCTGTTGAAAACAGTCTCGGTGTTCTCGGTAGCCAATCTCTGTTTCAAAAGCGAAATAAATGGCATGGCTCTCTTCATATCTTTGCCCACCTTCTTTTTGATAAGTCCGTTATCGTCAAGAGAATGGTTTTCGTATAACTCACGAACAAGCTCAATATAGTTATCTTGCCATTCTGGGAACGTTTCCGATACGAAAAGGGTCAACTTGGCAGGCTTGGACACATCAAGATCCAGCGCAGTCTTGCCCTTCTTCTTTTTCAACACATTAGCCTCGGCTTCACGAATAGACCTAGAAATATCTCTAACGTATTCCAAGGAATCGGAAATCGACTTTGAGGGCTCTTTTGATGCTCGTGGGAAAGCAGCGTTTTGAATCGACTCAGATTTGCCCAACAAGTCTCTGTACAAGTATTCTGCAAAATGAGGAGCAATAGGACCCAAAATCAACGCTTGTGTCTCGATATACTTCAACACGAGATCTTTGTGCATGCCAATGTTTCCAGAAACCGAGTCTCTGTAGTAGTCTCTGGCGGTCTGGTAGTCGAAAAGTCCAAACTTTAAACCAGCCTTAAAGTTGGTCTCAGAAAATTCGGCATAGGTCTTCTCGATCAAATCGTTCATTTCGTTGTCAAAAGCAACGTCAAAGAAACTGTCTGCTGGTCCCGTACGAAGGTCGTTTTGGTTCTTGACCATTTCGTCACACCACTCTTTCAACGTGGTAAGTCTCAAGATGGCAGCATTGGCATTGGACTCGTCAAAGTTTGCATCTTCCACCGAGTCTCCGGCATCAGCCAAAGCAATTCTAGATGCATCGGCTCCAAACTTGTGAACAAGATCGTCCAATGTCAAAAAGTTACCGGTAGATTTCGACATCTTGGCGTTGTTCAACATCAAATGTCCATTGGATCTAATACCCTTGGGCCACATTTTTCTGGGGAACAAGGCAACATGACAGTAGATGAAGAAAGTCAAGTGGTTAGGAATCAAATCCTTACCAGAAGCCCTGATATCCAATGGGTAAAAGTATTCAAACTCACGTCTCATGGCTTTCAACTGTTCCATTGGAATATCCGTCTTGATGTCGTCACGACGAGAAAAGATGAAATCAAACACTTCGTCTGTCATTTGGTCTGGAGAAATGGAAAATGCTCCTTTTTCCTTTCCATAGTAGTCCGAGTGCAAGAACCGAGCAATGGTGTAGTAAGCCATGTAGATCTGAGAGTCAGATAAAGACTCCACCAATTGCGACTTGTCCCATGGCAACTTGGTTCCCAAACCATATGTTCTTGTTAAAGCCCAATTCTTCAACCAGTCCAACACACCTTCAAATCCGTGTCTTGTCTCCTTGGTGAAAGTTTGCATGTGAGCCAAACAATCCAAAGCCTGTGATTTCCATGATTCCTCACCGTAGTCAAGGTACCATTGGTCCTCAAGAGAAACAATACACTCATCACCAGATCTGGAAATAATCATACCTTCAGGTTCACAGTACACGAAAGCATCTCCAGAAGCCACAAGATCAGCCTTCACCTTTGGCTTGGCATCCTCAACTTTTTCGCCAAAATACTTTCCAACAATCATGGTGGCATTGTAAAATCCTTCCTTATAAGCCTGCTCCTTAGCTTCTGCTAATTGGACGGAATCCTTGGGCGATTGAATCTTCATCTTGTTAACCAAAAATTCAGCACACTTGTCACCAAACTTTTCAGTTCTGACCACTGGAACAATTTCTGTCTTGACCCATTCCTTCTGAATACCGTAGTACTCGGCCTTGTTAGCCAAGTCTCTGGTAGTGACAAAATCGTCAGGAGAGTCTGATGGCACACAGGTAACCACTCCAGTACCTTTCGAAGCCAAAACGGTTTCCATGGGAAGAACTCTCAACTCGTCATACACAGCCAATGGAGCAGTAATCTTTGATCCAATTAAAGCAGAACCGTCAATTTGAGCTGCCGATTTGTAGTTACCTCTTTCTGGAGTCAACTTTTGGTAGCACATGTTCTTGAAAGCACGCTCGGTACAAATGTAGTACTCGTTGTTTCCAGCATGGAAAATGCCATATTTGATCTTGGGAGACACAAAACAACAAGTTTGTCCATACATGGTTTCAGGTCTCAAGGTGGCAGCCACCAAAAACACCTTCTTATCAGAGAAATCGAACTTTTGCTCGGCAAGATTTTCTTGCGCTTTAGGAGCAAATTCAGTGACTCTAATCTTGATACCGGTATACTCTTGAGGATTCAAACCTTCTCCCGACAGTCTATCGTGATCCAAGCATGGTTGACCGTCCTTTTCCGAGTAGACGGTGTATCTTTCACCAAACTTGATCTTACCACAGTCTCTCAATCTGTTCATCTCCCATCTCACGAAAGCATCAAAGTAGGGATTGGCATCGGTGGTGACAAAACTACGTCTCCAGTCGACTCTTCCACCAAACGCAGTAACATCTCTCTGCACCAACTTAGGGAAAAATTCCAACCAATGGTGAGGGTCAGCAAACTTGGCAACTTCTTCCCGCGATAAACCCAATTGCATCATGATTTCAAACTGGTATTTTCCACGGCCCTGTTTAGCAGCTGCCTTGGACTTCTTGGCTTTAAACTTGGTAACGTCCTCATTTTTGACCTCCTTCTTCTCCTCTTCTTCTTCTTCATCGTCAGCAGGTACTCCAGAGAAATCATTGCCAAATTGCTCAAGTTCTCTCTTGATCTTATCCGCAGCCGCCTTGATGGGCATTCCCGAGCAGTGGAAACCCAAAGGAAAAAGAGCTCTTTTGCCATTCATCCTCTCAAAACCAGTTGCAAACTCAACCTTGGACAAAGTGAAACTGTGACCAGCGTGCAACGTTCCATTCATGTAAGGAAAAGCCATGGTGGAGTAAAACTTGGGGTATTTTTCTCTCAATTTATCAGCGTCATCAGTAGGGTCTTCCTCAATAGTGGGTGCGTTGACCTCGAACGCTTTCTCCTCGGCCCATATTTTCTGGTACTTCTTCTCTATGGCGACCAACTCATCTCTTCGCTGAGTATTTTCCAATTTAATGGTTGCACTCATGTTGGAGGTTTCTACAACAAATTTTCAGCGACATATATTTGAGTCACGGCTATATGCAGTCCATATACCAAGCCGGAGTTCTACTTGGTACGCTTTCTCTTTGTGGCCACGACGGTGGGGACCATGAGTTTCCGCTTTGGCTCTGTGGTGGTGCCTTTTTGAGGGTTTCTGAAACTGGATTTGGGGCCAACTCTTAAAGTATTTCCGTCAAAAATTGTAGACTCAATTTGGAGGGCCGACTTGGTGGTTTCGGAATCTGAAAATTCGATTACGGCGCTGCCAGTTTCGTGGTCTAGGAACGACTTGCTGACGGTTCCAAAGTGCTCAGCCATAAATGCTTCCAACTGTTCTTGTCGGACCGAATCGGGAAATCCTGTGATAGTTATTGTTCTTTGGTCATCGTAGTCTGATGGGTTGTAGATTGACACCTGAGGTTGTGCTTTGTAGACGTGAACTTTACGATTCCTGATCAATTCTCCGTCAGCATTGAGGGCATTGAGTGCCGAGGGCTCGGTTTTGAATGTCACAAAAGCATATCCTCCATTTACATGGCCCTTGTTTCTCATGTCTTTTTTGATAGGAAGCGAGATTTCCTCCAACTCTCCGTGCTTTTCAAAAACTGTTCTTAGTTCCGACTCCGTAGTATAGTAGTCGAGGTTCTTCACACACACCTGGCGGTGCATTACTTGTTTTCTTGTTTCAATTTTTTTGGGTGGCCGTGAGATTGCAACCACCAACTTGAAAGAATCACCGCTAATTTTGTCGCTCAATTTGGTGCCATTGTGTTTCTTGACTGCTGCTGCTGCTGACTCTGGCTTTGTGAACTCAAGGTAGCAAAACCGACGTTCTCGGCCACTTTTCAACGAGGGAAATCGAGCACTCACAATTTGACCACAATCTTCAAATAGTGCCTTGACTTCGCTTTGGCTAAAACTAGGCGGAAAATTACTCACCCATATTATAGCTTCACGGAGCTGAGACACGGCAATGTGCTGGCCGTTTATGGCTTTTTTGTCCTTGGTTAGTGCTGCCATTAATGCCTGTTCGGTTCGAAATTCCAAGGTCGCTTCGTAATGCAATCCAGAGTCAACGAGCACAGAGTCGGCAATTTCTCCACAGTCGGAGAATATCAGCTTAAGATCGTTTTCCGTGGCAGATTTGGGTATGTTTTCAACTTTTATCTTGAGACTTTCTCGATTCCTGGCAGCAGGTTTTTCTTCGTTGGGTTGAGGTTCGATATCGATTGGAAGTTGTGCCGGAGATGTCAACACCTTCTTGAGCTCTCTGTTAGCCACAAGCATCATTTCATTATAAGAATCAAGAGTGCCATGAGCAAGTTCAAAATTTAGTGCTTCTTGAATAATGCGTTCTGGCCAGTCCATTTTCAGACACTCCATTACGGCGTCTCGGTAAAACTTTGCTACTTTCTTGTAAGGGATTCCATGTGCCTGCTGGAACTGTCCTGCAAAGAGCCACACCTCACACTGATCAGGAAAATGACGAACCAAATCCATGGTGATTGAGTTTGCGAGCTTGATATCGTCTTTTTGTGCAGCAATTGAAACTGCTAGTTTTTCCACAGCATGGAAAACATCATTGTGTCGAAACGCATGGTTCACGTAAAGTTTGAGATGATCTGGAACACCACCCAAAGCTTTGTGCTCGTAGAAAAGGACCGCTAATGCGACCACCTTCCAGTCATCATAGCTGGCTGTATTGATCAAATCTATGTGCTCAATGCGGTCGAGCATCAGACGAAACTTGAGTTCCGGCTCCTCAAAAGATTGGCAGCTTCTGATATACTCACCGTAACTCACAGCAGAATTAGGAAAAGCTCGAACAAAATTGTAAAGATGTGTCTCGGTATCCAAGTGAAGCTTATACGTCCCGTAGAGGAACGAGAGCCATACTGGAACCCATTGGGTTGTGCCAGCAGCCTCGGATTCTATTCGAGACCTGGCTAAAGTTACACGAAGTCTGGTGGAAGCATCTTCGGCGTATGTGGCGATATGTTCCAAATAGTCGCACCATGGTTGCGGCAAGTTGGGTGTCTTTATAGCATTTTCAAGCTTGATATAATAGTTGGCCAACTTCTGGGATCGCTGGTATACCTTGTTGGCTTGCAACATGTGCAGTTCGTAGGAATTGGAGTAGTATTTAGACACAAAAGACGACGCTTGTTTGAAGGTATTTTCGAGGTCGGCATGGCTTGCGGAAAGGACTGAAAGCCATACTTTCCACAAACTATCAATTGTTGACGAATCTTCATTTTGCAAGTTTCGAGTACAGTATTCGAAATACTGGTTGTAAACCAAATGGGCATCTTTAAAATCACAACTGACAACCGAAAGAGCTCGATTAAAAAGCACAGAAACAGAGACTGAGGATCTTATCTGTTCATTGTTTCCATTTTTCTTGTTTTGCTCCTTTTCAGTCAGCGTCTCCTTTTCATTTTCAATCACACACCCAATATATCGGTACCAATTTGCGGCAACGGGATACTCCAGCACCAAAAATTCATAGAATTCAATGGTGGCTCGATATCGGAGCCCAAAATTGGTTAATTTGTTGATATCTTGCAACCATTCAGCGAAATCGTGGGGTGTCAACAGAAAGTATCGCAATTTAGATTTGCGGGCAGCAGTCAAGGCGTTGAAATTTTCATTGACGTCGATCCGCAACGAAGCAATCTCCACATCGTGATGTTTCAAGTCGTATAAAGACCTGTTCAGTGCTTCCATTGACAAACAGCGGTGAGTGCTATCGATCTACAAACTCCACAATTTCGGCGCGCGCGAACTCATCTCATCTCATCTCCAATTTCGGGCTGATGGATGCAAAAGGGTACTTACAGTCTTATGGCTGGCAAGAAGGGCAGGCATTGCAGGAAGGAGGTCTTCAGAAGCCCATTTTGGTGAAACACAAAAAAGATACCAAAGGTTTGGGTCATGGGACAAACGACGGAGATTTGTGGTGGGAACGATTATTTGATGGTCAATTAAAGAGCTTGGATGTGACGAGTTCGGGAGGAAATGTCGTTTTTGACCAGAATAAAGCGAATGTAGAGGCCTCTGTGAGAAAGAGCAACAGTCCGTTGTACCGAATGTTTGTAAAGGGCCAAGGACTCGAAGGAACAGTAGGCAGAAAGGCGGAGATCGAAAGAAAGAGAAAGCGAGAGTTTAGCGATGAGCAGGCGTTGGAAGACATGGAGAGGATGGTGAGGCGATGTGGGGAGAAGAAGGAGAGGAAAGGAAAGGAGAAGAAGAAAAAGAAGGAGAAAAAAGAGAAGAAAGAGAAGAAAGAGAAGAAAGAGAAGAAAGACAACAAAACAGTGAAAGAAAAAGAGAGGAAAGACAAGAAAGACAGGAAAAAGAAAGACATAAAAGTGAAGAAAGACAGGAAAAAGAAGAAAGAGACGAAAAAGAAGAAAGAGACGAAAGAGAAGAAAGAGACGAAAGAGAAGAAAGAGACGAAAGAGAAGAAAGAGACAAAAGAGAAGAAAGAGAAAGACATAAAAGTAAAGAAAGTCAAAGTGAAGAAACAAAAAACTTGAGTCACAAATTCAAACAAGAAGTTTCAATCATAAAGCATCTTTTGCATACCAAGTCCAACCTTAACTCAATTAATGATCCACACCATCCACTCAAAGTTTTGACGATCAGCCGCGCGCATTTCTTATAGATTGTTTAGCATGGGCCATGAAGACAACTAAGCCACCACCACCATCGGCCCATTTGTCTTCAGGCTCCAAATACCGTACATCCCAGTTTGTATCGCCCTATATTCCATGGAAATACCTTTTTATAGGGATAACCTTCGCTGTTCCTTTATTTCTATGGACCTTTTTGACGTCGCTTAAATTTTTATTTATCATCTCCACGATTGTATTTGTGTTTCTGGTGCTTCTGCTTGGTACCATAGTCGTTTTTAGCGCTTCCAAACCCCGTTATCGAGCCAGAGGGCGAAAATTCAATTTTTTACTGTCGCCTGAATATCATCAACAATTTAGCGACTCCCACCAAATACCACAAAATGACTCCAATTCACCTATCGGGCTCCTTTTGGACAAATTGATCACTTTGGTAGTCGACCAGTTCATCGAGAGCTGGTACGAAAGCATTTCGCCTTCAAAACGGTTTCCATTGGCCATCAGAAATGAGCTTCATCTAGTTGTGCGACGCTTTCAAGCCCGAATTGCATCTGTAGACCTCTCGGATGTCATTGTAAACCGCATACTTGACATTATTCGAGAACACTTTACGTACTTTTGTCAGGCGGAAAACTTGGTCGAACTCAAGGGCATTTCTTCTCGAATAGCGAAAGATTCGAAGGAGTACCATCTAGCTGTGGCCCAGAATTATAATAGGGGAAAGCTCCATAAAGGAGTGAACATATCCGTTGATGACCCCAGAAACTCAGGCTTGGACTTGCAAAAGGACCACTTGAGAAAAAAAGTAGCAGGTCTACTTCCAATTCTCTTGTCGCAAAGTGAAGCTTCTTCAGATTTAGTGGTGAGTTTAATCCGTGAAATACTTGCGTGCACGGTGCTCTCGTCAGTATGTGAGGTGGTAGCCGAAAGTGATTTCTTCAATCTCTTAATTGTCAACTTCATTGGTGCTAATTTGAGACGACGAGACCAGGTCAAGAAGTTACGAGCTGCATTAGAAGAACATACAAGAGGTGCAAATAAAGCAAACATTAAGCAAAACCCAAAACGACCATTGAAGAGCGATATGAACGGCCAGACCGACAAAACTTTGAAGAGTGATCTAAACGACCAAAATGAAAGAACTTTCAATGATTTACTTGAAAATTCAACCGACTTTTCTCAGGACTACGGGGTGGAGCTTGATGACATTCTTGGGTCTCCTAGAGCCCTTCAAGCGTTTAGAAGCTATCTACTTGAGCAGGGCCGCAAAAAGCTTCTAGATATATGGGAGCAGATCGAGTCCATCAAGTCTCCGCTTGAAGATCATGAGAACGCCGATTTATCGCTTTCGCTTGAATTTTCATCAACTGACGATTTGACGAAAGCCTTTGAAATGTTGATCGGCTCTACTATGGTGGTGGATTCTGAGGAATTGGAGTTGTTATCACAATATATTAACCAGAAACAATTCAGCAAAGCTCGTCGAATCTTGTTTCAGATCCAAAGTACTCTTTTTGATCTTTTGGCAGCAGAGGTGAACATTTTCATTCACAGCACCTACTTTCATTTCAGCATGCTCTCGCTGGACCACAATGAGCTCGAGACCAAAGAGGACGAGCCAATGGCTGCGCTCGATATGACAGACGACATTGCGGAGAAAACTGAAGTCAGCCCTGTGGTATTCCACGCAGTGGAAGATGCGTTCAATGAGATCATGAAGAGCTCCAAAGCAACCAACGAAGACCAGTTTTACTCTCAGAAAGAGGGTAGTGCTTCGTTCACTTCGCTTTTAGAATCAGTGGAAGTTGGACCAAATATACCCACAGTTCCACTGACATTGGCTTTGAAAAAAGGTCTCTTTGGTGACGACAAAGATCTGACCTACGAAGATTCTTCATCAGCACCAACTGCTTCTCGTCTCTTTGAAGATGCCAGCGATACTTCTGATTCCGATAGCGACATGGATCCATTATCAGATCGAGAAACCGAATTGGGCGACCTGAAAGTGTTATTTGCTGCACCAGGTAACCTCAAGCTTTCGGAGGAGGTGGTTAATCTCGATAAAGATATCGAAAGGCTCTCGCAACAGATCATGATACTCACACCTCTTTTGCGTAAAGCAGAACTCACACACAACGTCACCGAACTAAAGATTTTGAAGAAAGCCAAGCTTGGTTTAGAAAGAGAAATCGACTCCAAAGAATTGCAAAAACAGCAATATATGGTACAAGAGAACGAGAACAGTTTGTACGGGAAATCAAGAGTGCAAATCCAGTCGTACATCAGTGGCAGCGAGAAGGGAAAAGAGTATATTCTCTATATTGTGGAAGTGCAACGGTTTTTGAGCGATGATCCAACTGTGCCCTCTGCTGGATGGGTAGTTGCCAGGCGGTTCTCGCAATTCCACCATCTCCATGTCTATCTTCGCAAACGGTATCCGCCAGTTGAAGGGCTCAAATTCCCCAAAAAGGCAGTTCTGATGCTCAAGTTCCAGCAGCGCCAGCTCGTGGAAATGCGGAAGGCTGCGCTAGAAGAGTACTTGTGCCAACTATTGAAGCTTCCAGACGTTTGTGGAGACCGAGTATTTCGGTCATTTTTGTCGTCGGAGAACTTTAGTTTTAGTCGTCGAAAAAAGCCCAGTTTGCTCAAAAGTCTCAGTTCCACCAAAGGTATACGACCACCACCTAAACAAGCTTCAAATAAAGGCGCTCCAGTAGCCGGGTCTGCTGTTTCCAAGCTGATGCAGAACGAACTCAACCAATACGACAGTCCAAGAGCATTTGTGAAGCCTATATGTGATTTGCTAATTGCAATCTTTGACCTCAATTCGTCCAAAGGGTGGTTGCGGGGCCGAGCGCTAGTGGTGATTCTCCAGCAGGGGTTTGGTACCACCATTGAGAACATGGTTCGAGACCAGGAAAGAAGCATTAGGAGCGAAAGCAGGGTTCATGATTTGATCGAAAGTGTGACAAATATGCTTTTTCCAAACGGAAAGTTTCGAGATCCGCCCGCTGTTCGAACCACACAAGAGAAAGCTTTCACGAGGAAAGAAGCCAGGGCGCTTTTCAAAGCTTGGATGGACATAACATGCTCTCGTATTTTTGGCGGAGGCAGCACCAATTATGCCCACAGCCATCTTTTCGCCATGCTCCAAAACGACTATTTAAACCTCCACTTGCTCCTAGTTGTTTTTGATGAAATCACCGATGCTATCCAAGCGGAAGAAAGTGAGCACTAACTAATTTTAGTTGTAAGGTGAAACTTTCCACAGCCATGGAGCATCGCTAATTTGAGGATTCTCGTCGGTCTTTGGAATACTTGTGCTCAGCCACAGCGCCAGTAATATATTCGAGCAATTGAGTACTTGAGTCGCCTTGGACACAACATTATCCATATCGAATGATCTTGTCTGCAACTCCTACTTGTTGCAGCCGAGCCGCACTCCTATCACTGTCGGCTATATGCCGGACGGATCACTGACCTTACCTGACATTTGCTCCGGCTGCCAAGACCTTATTATTATGGCACAAGACAAAACAAAAGTTCCCAAAGTACCCGACGGCTGGTTAGCCAAGTTTGACGACAAGTACAGCACGTGGTTTTACGTAAACTTGTCTACGAAAAAATCCCAATGGGAACCGCCAAACGGCACCACTTTCGACTCTCAATCTGGAGACGATGTTCCGCCACCGGCGTATTCTCCCAACGGAAAAGACAAACTAAGCAAGCCCTCTGTTTCCTCGAGCGGCCGCACCCCTAGTCCAGGACCCCTGGAGGGCCGAGGACTCTTGGGCAGCGTAATGGGTGGCCATCATGGACAGAACCAAGGAGGCTACGGTGGAGGTCCAGGTTACGGAGGTGGTTATGGGGGTGGTCCAGGATACGGAGGTGGATACGGAGGGGGATATGGAGGAGGTCCAGGTTATGGAGGTGGCTACGGCGGACCAGGTTATGGAGGTCCTGGTTATGGAGGTGGCTACGGTGGATATCCAATGCAACAACAGTATGGCAGACCTCAAAGAAGCGGATTTGGAGCAGGAGGAATGGCAATGGGTGTAGGTGGAGGTTTGCTTGGAGGAATGATGTTGGGACTGATGATGGACAATCACGACGACCAAATGGCTTACCAAGATGGCTACCAAGATGGTATGGATAATGACATGGGAGGAGATATGGGCGGCGGAGACTTCTAGTTAGAAATGTCGGTTTAGAAGGTGCCAAGTTATGACCTAAATAGCAAAAATGTTTCTTTGGTGGTCTACAGTAGTGGTATGCAGAGGTACACCTTGCACCTAGAGGTTTACTAGGTGGTGTTCCTGCATGCACTCATGACTTTTCAATTCTCACCAATAAGATTCTACACAGTAATGAAGTTCACCAGGGTGTTGAAACAGGCAGAAGAAGTGTTGGTCAAGGCCGCTTCCGGGTACCCCACCGGTATAGCCGGCTTGTACCAACATCCCAACCCAAGACCTGCTCTCATAGCATTATATAACCACACTTTGAAGGTTTTGGAGTCCAAGTATCCCAAAGATTCGGTCTACAAACAATCGGTCGAAGCTTTGACGAAGAACAGACTCAAGATTGTGGAGCTGGAGGAGATTACCGAGAAAATCGAGAGCAAAATTGGCGGTGGTTTGATCGAGGAAATTGTTATACAAGCCCATGAAGAGTTGAGTTTGGCACAGCAGTTGGCGGAAATGAAGTGCTGGGAAGAATTGGAGGAGAAGCCGTTGGACGACCAATGGGTTTACTTTCAACGCAAGACGGCGCAGTAGCATAAATAGAGAAGTGAAGAGAATGAAGAGAATGTAGGAAATGAAGAGAGAATGTAGGAGAGTGAGAGTGAAAAATGAAGAAGTGAAAAATGAAGTGGAGAAATGAGAAGTGAAGAAATAAGAAGTGCAGAGGTAAAAAGTGCAGAAGTAAAAAGTTAAATAGTGAAAAGAACGTGAACAGTGAGTAGTGAAATAGCCGCTGCTTCTGCTCCTTCTACTCTCTTCTCTCCGCATATGTATAACATACTAAACTACATTAACAACAGTTGTTCTTGAACCCAGTATTGCTGCCCTGCGACACATCAATGCCAGAGGGCCCGGTTCCAGCATCATTGTCTCCATGTTTTTCCTGGATCAACCCAGCCAACTCGTAGAAAATCGAATCCACATTGTGGTTACTCTTGGCACTGGCTTCCAAAAATGGCACATTGAGCTTGGCTGCCAACTGCTGGCCCTCCTCGGTACTCACCTGTCTGCTACTATCGTCGTCACACTTGTTTCCCACAAGGAAAATCTGGGCATCTTCATTGGCATGCTGGGTCACAGTCTGGTACCAGGTCTCTACATTCTCAAACGAGCGCAGATCTGTCACATCGTAAATCAAAACAATGCCCATGGCTCCACGGTAGTAAGCCGTGGTGATGGTCCGGAATCTTTCTTGACCAGCAGTGTCCCAAACTTGCAACTTGATCTTTTTACCCTTACTTTCAATCGTCCGGATTTTAAAATCAATTCCAATGGTGGTGATAAACGAAGGATTAAACTTATCCTCCACGAAACGAAGCAACAAACACGATTTTCCGACTCCGGAATCTCCCACCAACAACAACTTCATGATCATATCATAGGCTCTAGAAGGGGCTCTAGCACTCATTTTGGGACTAGGATCAACGTTTTACAATATCAAACCGTACAATATTACTCGCTAGTGTCACTGGATGTCAAAACAAACGTCCAGAACTCCGATACTGAGGTTTGGTGCGGAATTAATACGTCACCTAGAAGATGTCAGGTCCGTTCGCTCGGTTTCAATTGTCAGGCCGAGCCCCTGTGCAGGAAAACACAACCAGCAACGAGCTACTGCGACTGCGACTGCGGTATGTCATTTATCTACTATACATCAAAGAAACACCTCGGCGTTGATCTCCACCGACGACGCAGCGTAAGGAATGTCAAAATGACCCATAACTTCCGGATGCAACACTCCAATAGCTCCAATGGTTTGTACTGGTGCACCGGGTGCGGAACGGAACAATACTTTGGCACCTCTTCCTGGGAAGAAAGTAGGGTTTTTGTCGTCTTGTTCAATCCAGTAGCCCTTGACGTCTTCCTCGGGCTTCTCCAACCACGGAGTACGCATGGTTTGCATAATCTTTCCCAAAAGACCCTGGACGTATTCGAAACCAGAAGTTTTTCCAGCGTAGATTGCACACCAGTTACGTTGATTGTAGGCACCTCTTTCCAACATTGGGTTCTTGAAAACCACATCTGCAGCCTCAAACACCTTGAGCGGCAACGCATGCTTTCTATTTTCCTTGATGGTCTTCAAGATTCCTGGAAGTAATGTAGTACGGACCACTTGGTACTCTATAGTCTTGGGGTTTTCAAGAACAACCGCTGTGGTTCCGTCGTCCTTAGTTCTCAAGAACCGGAAGTTCTCATCGTGCGAGCACAAGGTCAAGGGCATAACCTCCAAATAGCCGGCCTGAGAAGACGCTATACGAAGAATATCGGCGATTTTATTCACTGGCAATGGAGAAGCCACCACAGAATCACTCTTGGGTTTGGTTTTCTTCAAGTTATTGAACCCATAGCCAATGGCTGCGTCTTCCATGATATCACACTGGTGCAATATGTCAGGACGAGTGATGGGAATCTCCACCTCAAGTAGTTTATCGGACTTGGGACGAGCACTCAAAGACATCTTTTTCAACAACTTGGCGATTTCTTCACCATTGTAGTCCAATCCAAGACACGAGTTGATATAGTCGATCTCGGCCTCGGCAGTCTTGGGCTCTATATTAGGGCAAACTCTCGACTCATTGTTGTGCTCAGAAATGATTTCAACTGGCTCGACAGTGAAAGGTTCCGTACAGTATCTGCTGAACATTGCGACCAATTGATTAATGACGATTTCCGTCTTCGTTTTGTCGGTACCAGTGACATCAAGCATAACATTCTTGGTCTCCAAAGAAATCTTGGAGTGATTGGAGTTGATGATTGGAGGCATGGAACATACTTGTCCCTTGGAGTCGTAAATGATGGGGTAAACCGGAGAATCTTTGATGATATGAAGATACTTTCCGAGATTCTTATCCTTTTCGTAGAATGCCATCATTTCTTCTCCAGTCATTTCCTTGGTTTGGTTCAATGGAGCAAATTTGATCTCCGATGGAGGCAATGCTTTGTACACAAATGGTGGTGTCAAAGTATCCAAGTCATGCGTACCCATGGCTACAAGGGTTCTGTTTCTACACAAGTTGGTGTGCAACTTATCCTGCAATGCAATGAACGAATCATACCGTCTTTTGTCAAATTTGACTCCTCTCAAAATCGCACAAGCCGCATACGGACGAATTTGAGTTGTGGATTTTTCAATGGTAAAAGTTGTTTGTGGCTTCGCTGGACTCAATTTGTACTGAGGCGCTTCACAGTTTCCCAAGAATTCATTCAATGCCTGGGCAATACCCTCGATACACAACATATCGTATCGATTCGCAGGAACCTCAATCTTCAATTGGGGCCTTTCGTCTCCTGTACATTCATCGGTGGTGTCTTCATCTAATTCTAATCCGAAGTCAAAACAGAGCTCGTCAAACTCCTCAGTGGTGTACTCTCTGCCCAATAAAGCGTAGAGGTCGGCCTTATCAACTGGTATGGTAGGCATGGTGGGTGGTGAGTCGATGAAAAAATTCAGTAATTACCGGTGCGTCACATCCACACACCAGAAACTACCAGGGACCCGGTCTACATTTTACGTCGTCGGTAAATCTCATTATGTTCATTATGTACGGAATCCTAGCGAGTTCTTGATCTTGGTTAATGTCTCCCCTTGCTTCTGTTCCCGCTGTTCTTCGATCTCGATATCCTCATTCATCATCACCGGTGCTGGCGTGCTATCCACGTCTTTACGGGCTTGTTCTACCTTGGTTGGGTCTCCGGAAATTGACTCAATGTTGTTAACCTCTTCCATCAAGGCGCCCAAATCGAAGATTGGTTCTGGAGCGGGAGGTTCCTTGTTTGTACTCTCATCGTACTCGTACTCCTCCTTGGTGTTGTTTTGCGGCTGCTCTTTATTTGCAGTAGCAGCAGCGCCGGCTTCGGTCCACCAATCTTTCTCTTTAGGTTTAAACCAACTTCTCCATCCGGTTCCTCCTCTTCCTTCCTTATGCTTCATTTCTTCTTCCATCTTTGCTTTCGCCTCGTCAAACTCACTCAAAAGCTTCCTCGTTCTCTCGCCTTGTTCAGGATCTGGTTCTTCAATTTCAGCAAACTCTTCACTCAAAACCTCCCAGTTCATCTTCTTGAGAATCTTAGGAATGGCCGTTCTGTACGCCATATGGCCATCAACCAACTCGGAACAGTCGATGTTTTCCACGCCAAAAACATTGTCAATGGGCAGAAGTCCTGCTACACTCAGAAGTCCTCCAGAAGTTGCTCTGAACAAATACCCCAAAATCCAGTCGTTTTTGGAGTACCCGTTAACAAACCGACCACTGACCACAGACCGAGCAAGTGCCATTTGATCCACCTTGACAGCTATCGGACTTCCAAGAATAATGACATTTTCAATTAAGCCAAAAACTCCTCTTTTAGCCAACTCCATGAGACAGGAATAAATAAGACGAGCTCCCAAGGAGAACCCTACCAAGGTTATAGGACGAACTCCCATATTCCCAGAAATCAACGTATCAGCCATAATCTTTCCTCCTTTCCATGCTCTATCCAACGAAACATTCCACGGATTATCAAGCAAGTAAGAAAGCTTGGAGATGGCCATGGGAAGTTGAATTGCAGCCATCAACGTGGTGAGAATCGTGGCTCCCAAAATTTGCTGGATAGAAGTGCTCAATGCTTCACTAGCAAGAATGCCAATTGTTTGTCCCATAGACTGCAACATTTCTGGTTCCCAAAGCAACGAGAACATGTCACCCATGACTGGATCTACCGTAGAAAACGGCAAACGAACATCATCCGCCTTACCGTTCATCCATCCACTCACAGTAATGATAAGATTTGTACGCCGGTTGTTGTGCAATGGCTTGAGTTCAAACGTTTGAACTTCTCCAAGTCGACGAGAACCAGCCTTGTGGCCAATTCTAGCTCCTGTGATCACACCACCAGTTGAAATAATTACCGAACCTCCTACCCCTGCCAAGAATCCACCGGTACCACTAATTCCAACAGTTGTGAGTCCAGCGGCCACACCGGCTCCAATGACCGGTGCTAGTAAACCAGCAGAAAGACCAATAGCAAGCGACCCTCCGAGAGTTGCGAGGCCAATATAGGCCAAGCGCTTCTTTCGATTTTTCTTCATATGGCGCTCGATAAACTGCCGATCAGCTAATTTCTCGTCGTTGGTTTCGATCGACTTACCCTGGGTTTCGATCTCAAGACTGTCTATGAGTCTCCTCTCAAACTGAAGCACTTCCAACTCTTCAATTTCCAAGTACTTGGCGAAGCGAATAATGAGCGACCGGGATCTGCTATCGTAGTAGCCATCGCTAATGAGCACCAAAAAGAGATCACATACAAGAGCCCACCGGAGATCGAAACCAGGAATCTTGATTTTGGAGGAGCCACTTACTTCTTTATCCATCAAAGACCGCAGCAAATCTTCCACTTCCAAACCATGAATGGCTAAATTTTCTATCATTTTCCTCTCCTGTTGAGAAAGCTCAATATGCTCATAAAGCTTTCCGCTGATGTAAAGAGTCCAATTGGAGAAGTTTTTCTGGCCATTACTCAACTCCTTGCCAATGCTGTTTGATGCCGTTTGCTTGATCTGAGCCAACTCGGTTGCCATATCCACCATAATAAGTTTGGCGATGCCCAAATATGCGAATCTTTGCGAGTCAGAAAGCATGTCTTTGGTAGCACGCAACTGGTCCCCAGAGTCCACCATATCCTCCGCGTCGTACTCCAAATCCGAGTCGATGTCTTCTTTGCGGTACGAGGCAACCTTTTGGGGATCCTCGTGCTCCAGAGGCCGAAATAAAAAGTCCGTCTTCTTGTCGAGCTCAGCATATTTAGCCACCTGCTCTTCGGTGTCAATCTTAGTGTATCCACGAGAACCTGCTCCTGGATTAAACTGATTGAACTTGTCTAGAGCCTGAAACTCAAGCTCACCACGTTCGTCGTAGTAGTCGATATCTGTAACCGTCTTCATTTGCTTCCATCCAGTGGACGAGAAAAAGTCCTCAGATTGGGTTCCCGGAGCCGTGGTTTCTTCTTCATTCTCCAATTCGTCGTTGTGGGTGGCTATCGGGGGTTCTTCTGGCTCAATCTTGGTCGGTTCGAATGTTCTTTGAAGGGTCTGCGGTGACCGAGCTCGCCGGTGGTACCTATTTTCCTCGTCCAAACCACTCATGTCGAACTCCACAAAGTTATTAGAGGCCACGGAGACGTTCTGAGTGTCGTCGGCATCGGAATCGTCATCATTCCGGCTTGTATCCGGTAAACTAGGAAGAACGGAAACACTCGTTTTCGACCCGAAATCCGACCCGCCATCACCAGAATAAGGAGGCCGCGGCCGCGAGCCCCCGTAGGATGTGTCCATGTGGAGAATCAGACCCTCACTGGAATTGTAGTTCAAGTCCATAAAAAAAAGTCACCGTGAGTTCCGTAGGATAAGAAGTCACCTACACCCGATAGTACGCGAAGACCGGTGTGTGGGTGTACTGAAGACCAAGGCTACAGATCAAAAACCAACGCTACAAATTCAAACCATCGCTACAAACTACAGTCTACAAATGTCCGCAACATGGTTTTACTCAACACGCCATCAGCCAAATGGCCGTCGCAGAGTCCAGGAATATGTTGCTACAGGCAAACGACCGAGCTCATCGCAATATCCGCAACACGAAATCGCACTGCGAAAATCACGAGAGCTCAAGGCCAACCTGCTTACTATACAATCTGTCGATGGAGCTACTCTGTACAACTGCTTGCGCTCGTCCGCCCACACTACCAACCCAGCAACGCACAACCACCTCTTCCACAACCCACGGCCGCTCAACCCCAAAAGTGAGGGACCAGCTATGAATTGCAGCGTCTACGATGGTTGACGTCATGGAACAGAGTCCCATCAAGGCCGAGTTTGTAGGTGGAAACGGAACATGTACTTGCTTCTCGAGCACCGGGCTGCTGCCCTAGCCATCTACAACGGGCCACGAACAACCCGAAGATTTAGAACGCGGCCCATTGAGCGGTTTCAGACAGCACAGATTGATGGAGAAAAAAGTTGCAAATCGCACTTTTTTATAGCGCGCGATGGACGGCCGGGTAACCCGCTCCCCCGGCTGCAAGACCGATGAGATGGCTACCGGTTTGATTTCCGGTGGTAACAGTGCATTGACACATTTGTGCAGCAGAGCATTTCCTGATTGGGCCCTTTTTGCAACCATTTACAACCTTTAGGTTCTGCCTGACTTTTCCTGCTTGTTCGTCCCCTTGGTTGCAAATGAGTAGACGTGCTGCTAGGTATCAGGCCAAAAAAATAGCTGAAGAATCAGTAATTGAAGAAAATAATAACGACCTGCTTGCATTCAAATCACCCCATTGTCTCGACCCAAATACAATTCTTCAGCTTTTCACTGCATGTTTTCGTTCAATTCTTGAATCTCCAGATTTGCAACAACATATCCAAATCGTTAAGGAACGCTTGTACCATCGTGACTACCTCGCTGCATTTGATAACGACGACAAGAGATTTGCTTATGCTTCTCGATGGTCTCCCGCTCGAGCTTTGGCATATGCTTCTTTATTTTCTGCAATGGATCCAGTCCGAGACTTGTTTTCAGACCCAGAAAACACCTGTCGTGTACTTTGCGTGGGAGGAGGAGCACTGTCTGAACTCGTTGCATTAGCAGCATTATTTGCTCGATCAAAGGAACATTATTCAACTTCACCTTCTAATCTCGATATGACAATAGTGGACATTGCAGACTGGAATACCGTTGTTTCTAATCTTTCCGCACACATCAGGTCCAAGTGGGTATATAAACCTGAAAGTTTTAATGCCAGCTTCTTGCACAAAGATATACTCAGTTTGGAACTTGACTACTCATCAATGGACCTTGTCACCCTCTTGTTCACCACGAACGAGCTTTTCTGTGAAAAACGCTCGGAAACAGTCAAGTTTCTCCAGCGCTTAAACTCTCAATGTCATAGTGGTTCATTGCTTCTTATCGCTGAAAGTGCTGGCTCATATTCGCATATAACTATAGGAAGCAAAAAATTTCCGGTTCAGTTTCTTGTGGACACTATCCTTGTGGGAAGACCAGATGCCAATGATGGAGCATGGGAAATAATACAGCTGAGTGAGAGTTGCTGGTACAGAGTGGACACTCGAGAAGTTACTTATGATATGAAATTGGAAAATATGCGGTTCTTCTATAGATTGTATAGAAAAAGGTGAAAACTGCTATATTTTGAGTTTATCAAGATGCGCTTCAAGCTCAGTATCTTCCTTGTTTTTATCTTTTTGCTTGTCTTTAACTTTCGTCTTGTCTTCAACTTCAGTTTTCTTCTCACTTCCTTCTTCTGAACTGTGGTTTTCCTCCTCAATATCTTTTGCAATCTTCTTACTCTCCTCCTCAGCAGTGAGCTCTGGTTTATGGTACTTGAGCCTATCTTTTTCAATTAAGGATTCAAGTTCCTTCTCCCATCCAAGTAGCTCACACAAGAGCAGCAGCACTTTATCGCAATCTTCTAACAACACAATATCCTTCGTGCTTTTATTATGCTTGAAGCTACCTACTGGCTCCTTATTGATCAAAAGTCGATGAGTTTTCCGATGCAATTGTTCAGGTAACCCTGCAAATGGATGTACTGTCAAAGAAGTTCCTGCCACAATGGCCAACTCAATCTCGTCTTCATCTTCGTCCCACTTTTCAAACAATTTTTCGGGCAAAGCTTCTCCAAAAAATACAATATCAGGCTTGACATAACCTTTGCATTTGGCACAGATTGGAATGCTATCTTTTTTGTCGTTTATATGTCTTTTAAGTTCTTCAGTGGACATTTCATTATGACAGTCAATGCAATGACAATTGGCAAAAGAGCCATGGGCTTCGACTATAAATTCATCGTCGACTCCAGCGAGTCTTTCGAGAGTGTCAATGTTCTGAGTGTATACCCTTTTTAGCACTTTTTTATCCTGAAACAATTTTAACATGTAATGGTACTTTGTGGGCATGAACTTGCCCGGAAATAGCTCACTTGCCAATGTGTAAAATGCCTTAGGATTTTCCCGAAAGTAATCAATGTCAAAAACTGCTTCGGCATATGGTAAGTTGAGTTTGGCGAGATTCGCATAAAGACCAGTCTTTGGACTTCGAAAGTCGGGAATCCCAGCATTGGTGGAGATTCCCGCACCCTGAAAGAACGTCACTTTCTTTCCGCTTTTTATAGCCTCGACAATTGGTTGCAACACTTGTTCCATATTCGGTACCCCAGATTGCTGTGCAGAAACTTGCGTTCGCCGCCACACACCGCATCTGTCAAAAGTCCGACGAGGGTAGATTATTGCGACTTCCGACCATGAAGGTATGTTTGTTGCCGCTCATCAACTTTTCACAATACTAACTTAGCAACGGATTACAGGACTAGATCTCCAGATCCTCACTTCTGAACTAGAAAAGAATTTGACTGGTTACCGCCTACAAAACATATACAATGTGGCGAGCTCACCGAGACAGTTTCTATTGAAATTTTCAGTTCCCGATTCCAAAAAACTAGTGGTTCTAGATTGTGGAAATAAGATATATTTGACCGACTTTGAGCGCCCTACGACCCAAACTCCTTCGAATTTCGTTACAAAGTTGAGAAAACATTTGAAGACTCGCCGTCTTTCTCTGATAAAGCAAATTAAAAATGATAGAATATTGGTGTTGAACTTTAGCGATGGCCAGTTTTACTTGGTGTTGGAATTTTTCAGTGCTGGAAATATTCTTTTGTTGGACGAAGAGCAAAAGATCTTGTCGCTTCAACGAATGGTATCGGATAAGGGAGATAACGATCGTTATGCCGTAAATGAGACTTACAAGATGTTTGACAAAAATTTATTCACCGAGCTGCTGGAGGACAAGCTCCAAACTTTTTCGGCTGATCAGGTTAGGACATGGATCCAGCTGCACAGAGAAGCAATCCATAAGAAGGCACAAGATCCTTCGCTGTCCAAGAAGAAAAAACAAGTTTATTCTCTTCACAAATTACTTTTCGTCAACTCAAGTCATCTTCCAAGTGAGATGATTCTTAGAAATTTGCATTATGTTGGTGTGGTAGGAAACCAAAGCTGTCTTGAATTCGAAGATAAGGATCTCGAATCGGTAGTTGAAGCGTTGAAAAATTCAGATAATGAATATCGCAACTTGGTTTCGTCTTTGGGGACGGAGGTTACTGGCATTATAGTTTCCAAGAAAAACCCAGCGTTTGAACCAAGTGACGATAACAAGGATCTCGAGTACTTGTACGACGAATTCCACCCGTTTAAACCGTATAAAGAGAACTTGGAGCTGTTTAAATTCACCGAAATTAGAGGATACAACAAAACGGTCGATACATTTTTTTCCACCTTGGATTCGAAGAAGCATGAACTACGCATGGAGCAGCAGAAACACAATGCCAAAAAGAGGCTCTTGAATGCTCGCGAGGAAAGAGACAAGCAAATCGACAATTTGCGGATTCAACAGGAAATGAACTCCAAAAAAGGAGATGCTATAATTTACCACGCAGACTTGGTTTCTGAATGCATAGCCTCGGTCCAGACTTTGCTCGACCAGCAAATGGACTGGGCAAACATTGAGAGCTTAATCAAGCTTGAGCAGTCTAGAGGCAATTCTGTTGCCAAAACAATCAAACTTCCATTGAATTTGACCGAAAACAAAATTGGGTTAAAGTTGCCAGACACAGATTCTATGTACGATCCTGCGGATATCGATAGCGAGCTGGATTCTGAAACTAGTTCCGAATCCGAAACCGAATCTGAGTCTGAATCTGAATCGGGTTCTGAGTCTGAAGACGAAACCCCACCAAAAAGGATGTCGAAAAAGGCCAAATCCAAGGAAATTCCTGCACTCTCAGTATGGATAGACCTTCTGCTCTCGCCATTTGCGAACGCAAGAACATACTTTGAGTCCAAGAAGCAAGCTGAAAGCAAGCAGGAGAAAGTCGAGAAGAACACTGACATGGCTCTTCGTAATGCCCAGAAGAAAATTGAGCAAGATCTTGCCAAAAACTTGAAAAATGAAAACGAAACCTTGCGCCAGGTAAGACCCAAGTACTGGTTTGAGAAGTTTTTCTGGTTTGTTTCCAGCGAGGGATACTTGTGTATTGCCGGTCGAGACGACGCTCAAGTTGACATGATATACTATCGTCATTTCAGCGACAATGATTTTTTCGTATCTTCAGACATTGAAGGCTCTTTGAAGGTGGTGGTGAAGAACCCTTACAGAGGTGAAGCTCTACCACCATATACGTTGATGCAAGCAGGTATGTTTGCAATGTCTGCTTCTGCCGCCTGGAATGGAAAGATAACTACATCGCCATGGTTTCTTGCTGGAAACGACGTTACAAAACTCGATTTCGATGGAAGTCTCGTACCTTCAGGAACCTTCAATTATAAAGGGAAAAAAGAATTTCTTCCTCCTACGCAGCTCGTGATGGGTCTTGGATTCTATTTCTTGGGTGACGACGACACCACAAAGAAGTATGGGGAAACTAGAATTACAAGGCAGAATGAAAGTGGGCTCAAAGTTGTGATGGACAATACGAAGCAAGATCTTGAAAAGTTGACTCTTTCTTTGGGAAGGGACAAGGAGGAAGAAAACGAAAGAGAGCAAAAAGAAGAAGAGAACGAGAAAGAGGAACAAAAAGAAGAAGAGGAAGACATGAACTTTGGGTCTCTGGCTCTGGAGATTGAAAATGTTTCGCAAACTACTTCTTCCATTTCTTTAGATGAACCCCACAAATTGACCAGAGGAAAGCGGTCCAAAATGAAACGAGCTGCAAAGAAGTATGCTGACCAGGATGAAGACGAGCGCAAGTTACGCATGGAAATGCTTGGAACCTTGAAGCAGCTTGAAGAGATCAAAAAGAAGAGACAAGAGAATGCTGACCAAGACAAGCAACAAGCTCAACAGCAGCAGAATGATAAATTGAAGCAAACAAGAAAGGCCAAGCAGGAGCAAAGAGAGTATCTCAAGTATATGAGAGAAGAAGTAAACGAAGACGAATCTAGCATGGTGAATTATTTGGATATTCTTGACAGTTTCATTGCGAAACCTCAACCGAGCGACAAATTGGTTGCAATAGTTCCAGTTTTCGCTCCATGGTATTCACTCAACAAGTTCAAGTACAAGGTCAAGATTCAACCAGGCATGGCGAAGAAGGGTAAGAGCATCAATGAAACGTTGCACTACTTCACCACTCGTAAATTGGACCAGAGCCGCACCGACATGGATGTCGATTGGCCCGATGAGCGAGCATTGGTTAGCGAAATTAAGCCCAACGATGTGATGGGATCTTTCACGGTCAACAAGCTCAAAGTGGTGTTACCCACGGAAAAGGGTAAGGAAACCAAAGGCAAAGGTGTCAAAAAAAAGGGGAAGAAATAATTAGACGTATAGAGTGCATTGGTGTCCCAATAGGTACCTAATTAAGACCCGATGTAGTGGTGTGTGCGGCGCATGGTGCATTGTGTCAATGCACGTTGTATACTCCTTTTCATAACCCACATGGGTAGCACTATATAAAGCGACCCCAACGCTACTAATTGATTCCAAACTCAATTGATCCTGACTGAATTGAATTGAAAAATTCAAGTCGCATTCTGAATTCTTTCGAATAATTGAGTCGCATTTTCATTTCAATTGTAATGGTCGCTATTCAAAAAGCTCTCGTTCCCGGTCTCTACCTCGCATCCAATTATCGTGATGTTGCTACCCCCGAGCTAGCCGCCAGAGACCAGTACAACATTGTCAAGTACCTTGGAGGCGCTGGGCCTTATATTCAGTTTGAGGGCTTTGGAATTGACACAAATGTACCTGAACAATGTACGGTGGAACTGGTTCAATTGTACATGAGACACGGCGAGAGGTTTCCTGGGTTGTCTGCTGGTCAACAGCAACATGCTTTGGTCAAAAAACTTCAAAATTACAACAAAACCATTACCGGTCCATTATCGTTTTTGAATGACTACACCTACTATGTTCAAAACGAAGAAAACTACGAATTGGAAACCACACCCTGGAACACCAATTCTCCTTACACTGGCTACGATACCGCAGTTAAGGCGGGCTCTGCTTTCAGAGCAAAGTACAACCACTTGTACAACGAAAACAAAACTTTACCAGTTTTCGCAGCCGCTTCTAAAAGAGTATACGACACTGGAAACTTCTTTGTTCAAGGATTCCTTGGTCCCGATTATCTGGACGAGTCGGTTGACCATGTAGTTCTCTCGGAGGAAGATTTTCTTGGAATTAATACTCTTGTACCTCGGTGGGGATGTAAGGCTTTCAATTCTTCGTCCAACGATGAACTTATAGCTCAATTTCCTAGCAATTATACCCAAGATATCGTCAAGCGGTTGACAGATGGTAACGACGGTTTGAATCTTACTACTAAGGATGTTTCTAACCTCTTTCAACTTTGTGCCTATGAGCTCAGTGCTACTGGATACTCTCCATTCTGCGACATCTTTACTCAAGACGAATTGGTTTTGCACAGTTATGCCAGTGATCTTCAGTATTACTACACCTCTGGACCTGGAGGAAACCTCACCAGAACCGTAGGGGCCATTCAATTGAACGCTTCTTTGGCTTTGTTGAAACAAACTGAATCAGACAACAAAATCTGGTTGAGTTTTACTCACGATACTGATATTGAAATTTTCCATGCTGCTCTTGGTTTGTTTGATCCACTTGAACCTTTACCCGTCAACGAAACCCGCTTCAGAGACATGTACCACCATGTGAATGTGGTTCCCATGGGTTCCAGAACCATTACTGAAAAGTTAAAGTGTGGAGACGAAACCTACGTAAGATTCATTATCAACGATGCAGTTGTTCCTGTTCCAAAGTGTCAGGATGGACCAGGCTTCTCCTGTAAGCTTTCAGATTTTGAGAACTATGTTGCTGAGCGTTTAAGTGGTATCGACATTGTGAAAGATTGTAAGGTTCCTGACGATGTTCCTCAAGAATTGACGTTCTACTGGGACTACCAGTCTGGACAGTACAATGCTACTGCCGAAAGAATTGTGCGATAGGGGAAAGTGAAAGATGGAAAGAGTGAAAAATTATTGAGGGTTGGAAATCTTTTTCATGATAGAAGATTAATAAAATTGCTAGATATAAAGTTTGTGTAAAAGCCTGGAATCTTGGCGGTAAGCTCAAGTTAGTGAAGAAATTTTCTTGGTCTATCAGGATTTCTTACCCATAATCAGCGATAACCAGGGTAATCCCGTATCATCGACGAATGAGGAAATACGCCATATTTCTAAAAAATATTTCCTACGATATGCTAAATACACAGGATACCTGCTCAAAACGCCGTGTCTTCGGCCATTTCCCCGGCTCTTATTGCACTCCACACAAGCAACCCAAGACATGTGGCCGCAGGTTCCCTGCATTAGCGCCGCACCGCCCGCTATCTCTTGGAAATATTTTGTCGACGCCAAGATACTAAGCCCTCCGATAAGCGTACGATTCAGTAAAAGAAGGAATGGCATAATCATGAAAAGTTCTTGAAACTTCGTACGGTGATAATTTTGCAGTTTGGTATGGTATGCACGAGATGCATATGACGTGCGTTTTGACGTTGACAGGGTGCAAAACGACGAAAAATATCAAGACTAAAAGAAGCCACTACAGCCCACTCCAAGCCCCAGCACGCCCACTACAATCCTATGAGCTATTACAATCCACTATCAGCCACAATTAAATGCAAAGTGTAAGCTGCAATCTTTAAGCTGCATTCGCATCTGATTGCCGATTGCTACGGACACCACAATAATCCTAAAGCCCCTCCGATAAAGCGGTTGCAATGGCGCCCACTTTTGGTGCCGTGCGATTTATGCACCTTTGTTCCAGAATTTTGCACCCAAGTTGTTCGGGTATATATTTGCACCAAAGAGCCCATTTCTAACTATCATACGATGGTTGACTTTTCACAAGAAAAGAACCATGATATTGCTTCTTCAAGCCGTGTGCTCGATTTAGATGAGGAATACAGTAACGAAGACTCTCCTGAATACTCCAACATTTACATAGACGAGTACAATCCCAATGGACTCCGCAAGCCCACCGCCCATGAGAAACAGACGTTGAGAAGAGTTATTGTCAATCTTCCCTGGAAATGCTATTTTTTGTGTCTTGCTGAACTCGCTGAGCGAGCTTCGTACTATTCGGTTCAAGGTATTTTGTCCAACTTTATTCAAAGACCTTTACCTCCCGGTTCTACCACAGGTAAGGTTATGGCTGGTCCAGGAAGTGAAAATATTTCTCCGGGAGCTTTGAATATGGGTTTACCCACCACACAAGCCATGACAAACTTGTTGGCTTTCTTGGCGTACCTTCTCCCACTTTATGGTGGTTACGTTGCCGATACAAAACTTGGAAAATTGAAGGCTATCTGGGTGGGAATTGCTGCTGGATTGGTGTCCCATATTTTGTTTGTGATTGCTGCAATTCCTCAAGTTATTGACCAGGGACATGGTATCGTTCCATTGGCTTTTGCAATCATCACATTGGCTATTGGAACTGGGTTTATCAAGCCTAACTTGTTACCTCTTTTGATGGACCAGTATAAGGAACAGCACGATGTGGTTAAGGTTTTGCCAAGTGGTGAACATGTTATAATTGATCGAGAAAAGACATTGGAAAGAATCACATTGTACTTTTATTGGTCCATCAACATTGGTGCTTTCTTTCAATTGGCAACTTCGTACATTGAAAGAAGAATTGGTTTCTGGTTTGCGTTTTTCATTCCTATTATCATTTACCTTATTTTGCCGGTAGTTTTCTGGTACTTGAAGACGGTGGTTATTGACACTCCCCCAGAGGGCTCGGTTTTGACCAATGCTTCCAAAATTATTAGAGTCTCTTATAGGAGAGGATGGGTCAAGAGACTCAGAAACGGCACCTTTTGGGACTATGCTGCGCCAACGGAAATGGAAAAGCGTGGTGAAACCTTCTACAAGGAACAACCCTCGTTCATCTCCAGAACTTATAACAAGCTCAGAGGCACCCCAGTGGAAAAACCTCTTCCCATTACTTGGAACGATCAATGGGTTTTAAACGTCAAACAGACTATTGATGCCTGTAAGATATTCTGTTATTATCCAATCTATCTTCTCAACGATAATGGTCTTGGTTCCGTACAGACGTCCCAGGCTGGTTCCATGACTCTCAATGGGGTTCCCAACGATTTGTTCAACAACTTCAATCCTTTGACAATTATCGTCTTGATTCCAATTTTGGACTTGGCAGTTTACCCAGCCTTAAGACGATTCAAGATCAATTTCCGGCCTGTTTACCGTATAACATTTGGCTTCTTCGTTGCTTCAATGGCTCAAGTTGCCGGTGCTGTTCTCCAGCACAAAATCTACAAAACTTCACCTTGTGGAAACTACGCTACCAATTGTGAGAAAGGTGTTTCGCCTATAAGTGCCTGGCAAGAAGTTTCCTTGTACGTTTTGCAAGCAGCTTCTGAATGTTTTGCAATGACAACTTCATACGAAATTGCCTATACAAGAGCTCCTCCAAAAAGCAAAGGTTTGGTAATGGCACTTTGCTTATTTGCTTCAGCTATTTCTTCTGCGCTTTCTTTGGCCATTACCCCAGCTTTATATGATCCTCATATCATCTGGGCATTCGTTGCTATGGCCTGTATTGGTATTTTCTTTACTATCTTGTTTTTTATTCACTTTAGAAAGTTGCACGTTCAAATGGAAAAAGAACGAATTTGGAGAGAAACTTTGGACCACGAAGACAGAGTTGCTGCTTTCAAAGCAGCGGAAACAGGCGAGGTGACCACCAACTTTAATAATCTTGAAGCAGTGACCTCGTTGAGGGCCCAAGGGAAATAATGTACAGTAACAAGATAGTAAGAAAAATGGAAAATAGAGAAGTTTAACTTTGTACCGAATCCATTTTATATAAACCTCAGTCTCCTCGCAACGCCCGGATCACCGCTGGCCGGCGCATCATGTATTTTGTCCATTTGTACACCTCAGGGAATTCAACCTTGAGATTTATGCCAATACGGTCCACCACATTATTCCATGGCACGAACAGCAAATCGGCTACCGTTGCCCGGTCCCCTACCAACCACACGGGATAATCAAAGTATCTCAGCTGAGACAAGGGTGTTGTGCCAGCACTATAAGCAGCGGCATTTTCGACGTCTAGGTCCATAATTAATGCCTCCCTTCTCTCCGCCAACGCCATTTCAATCACGCCGTACACTCGGCGAACTTCGTCTGTATACCGTTCTACGGCACTGGGGACCGGACACAGGTGGAAATAGCGAAAGTGAAGCGCCTGGCCGATCATGGGTGCATGGCCTGAAGTTTGGAAGAAAAGCCACGAAGAAATCTGCGACTGCTCTACAATGTTATCCAGCCACAATGCACACTCACCGTTATCACGAAGGTACTTGGAAACAAGGTACAATATTATGGCTCCCGACTCCCAGATACTGGTATTATCATTGAAGTGGTCAATTAAAGCAGGAACTCGAGCATTGGGGTTGATGGTGACGAACTCAGGTGCACGTTGCTCGCCATGATTGAAGTCCAAAAAGATGGTATTGAATGGAAGTTCTAGCTCAGACAATATTATCGCCACTTTGAACCCGTTGGGCGCTGATCGATGCGAAAAAAGTGTGTATCCGTCACTTGGTTGTTGGGCAAAAAATTGAGTTATTCTCAGTTGTTGTGTTTGACTGGTGGCTTCGTTTTCTAGTTGCTGTTGAAGTAGATTGAGATTCGCCTCGTTCTGCTGCTGGTCTCCTATATTCACCGATTTGAGCCCGGCCGAAAGATGCGATATGGTATGTGCACCAGACATGTTGTTGGAGATGAATGTTGAAGTTTTGTGGAGGCGACCTGCACCGGCGGCCGCGTGGTGGGTGTAATGGGCGTATATCGTATGTACTATATGAAGAGTTGTGAATATGATGACATAGAAGCCAGTAGGCGTTTCTTAATTCTTGGTTTGGCTAGTCAAAGATGGTCTTTTTTGGCGAAACAATCGACAAGCCTTGGAGCTTTCCGCCTGGTAATGGGAGATTTTGCTGCAGTGAGTTATTGGATCCAACAGCAGAACTCGAGTCCATTCGTGATGTAAGCTTGTCATTGATGAGTGCTATGTCACGGAGCTTGGTCTCGAGCTTGCGTATCTTCTCGTGAGCATGGTTTATCTCAATCTTGTGTTGCTGCTGCATTTTGCCGATAACTTCGCGAAGATCCTCACGCTGGCTTTGAAGCCTGGCAATCTCCAGCGCCTGGCTGTAATCGTCCTCTTCTCCAGGCGCCAACATCAAGCCTCTGTCTGCTGGAACCCGCACTCCCTTGGCTCTTCGTTCAAGCTCAGGCATAACGTTATATTTAAGATCGGTGTGTTCTTTCACCAAGTCTTGATACTTCTCGTACAACAGCAGATATTCGTCCTTGTCTTGATACTCGGCCAACTTGTCCTGCAATTGATTCACCATATCGTTTTTGATCAACAACTGTTTGTAGAGCTCGGTTTTCTCGTAGTTGAGCTTGAGAGGGCTGGGTGAGACACCGTTCTCGAGGAACAATGCGTGCTCTTCACTTATAAACCTGAGCCTTCTTTCTTTATTGAGCTTTTCTTGTAGGTCACTGATATCCTTCAGCTTCTGCGTAAGTTCGTGCAACAAGTCTGATTCTGCTTGCCCTGAGTCTCGTCCCTGAAGACGGTATTCCAATGCCACTTCACGACGAATCGAAGAAGCAAGCTCGGTGGACACCAACTCCAATTCATTGAGCAACGCTCCATTTTCTTGCATTATACCCAACTCCTCCTTGGTGAACTTGACCCCGCTGCTCTCTGGCACCTTACCAGAGGCACTAGATGGAGTTGCGTTGGACGGCATGCGACGTGGGGCCCCTGCTACGGGCTCTTCTGACACAGAACTGGACCGCTTTCCTGATTTAGACAACCGCTTGAATATGTTGGAAGTAAGGGAAAACGTTCGTGACGAGCGTCTGCTCTCCGAGCGAGTTTCACGAGGACTTTCTGGCGCTGTGTCTTTCTTCAGCAAACGAGGCTTATCTGCTTCTTTCTTGGAATCTTTGGAAATACGGTCATCAAACCCTTGAGAAGATTTGTCGTCAAAGACACTGATATGGTCGACATCACGAGCATGCTGGTTGTGGTCCTCTGAGCGATGAGAGCCGTGAGACGTACTGGCTGTGGTGGGAGCTGTCTCCTGTTGAGACCAGCGGTGTGCTTTTTCGCTATTTCTTTGTTCATCTTCATCGTGGTCGTTGTGATCTCCAGAATCAGCAAAACTACCGCTGACAAACTCGTCTTTTGGGGTGTTGATATCTGAGTAATTGGAGCTTCCCAAAGTGAGGTTTGAATCATTCGCTGGAGGACGGAAGTTCTGGTACGCTGTGTTCGTAACAAGCAGCCGTATTGATGGTTTGCTGGGTAGTGTATGCGAGACACGGTCTTCAGGTAATTCAGAAAGACCCCTTGCTTTTGTAGGAGATGGAAGTGGATCATTATACCCATCAGCACCTTGTGGAGTACCGCCTACCGTGGGAGAGGGCATAATCTCTTGCTCGCGGTCTATGTCAGATCTCCAATTTTGGTTATCTGAAGTATTAACATTGAGATCCCCTTCTGTGCTTTCAAACGATCTGGTTTCAAACGACGCATTATCAATATCAACTGGTGTGTCAATCTCGTCCTGGGCCAATTTGCTGGGTTGTCTGTCATGGTTAAACAAGTCTAATTTGCGTAGACGCATCGAATTGGATTTTTGTAATGTCGATTTGCGGGACACGGTTTCGTCCTCTTCATTGAACTTGTACACCACATCGTCGTCCTCGTTCGAAAGGTGCGAATTGTCATTATTGACATGTTCTTCTTCCTCTTCAACCTTCATCAATGAGTCGCTCGACTGTGTTATATCACCCTGTGATTCTGTGGGCGATACTCGCTGGTACATTTCCCCATTGGAACCAATGAGATTTCGTGAGTAAAGCTGGTTCTGATTGACACCAATAGGAGGCGCCATTGGTCCAGGAGGACGCAATTGCTGGTTCGGCGGCATCCTATTGGGCGAAATATTTCCATTACTCGTAAGCGACATTGTCCTTGGACCGGCACCATTAGGACCTTGGCGCAAAGGCATTGGGCGCGGACCGTATTGACCCTGTTGACCCGGAACAGGTTGACCAGGTCCAGGCTGTTGGTAGCCGTATGGTCCATATTGCTGGGAATTATACTGTCCGTGAGGTCCTTGTTGGTACAGTGGTTGACCTTGAGGCATCTGACCATACTGAGCCATTGGGGGTCTTTGGCCCATAGACATTGTACGGGGTCCACCCATAGACATTGCGCGGCCATTGGCAGGAACACCGTAAGGACCATTTGGCATATTTGGGCCATTTGTAACATTTAGTCCATTTGGCATATTTCCACCCATGGACATCGTACGAGGGTCCATTGGGTTCCCGGTCATAAGTGACATTGAGCGCGGATCGTTCATAGGGTTGGCACTCATCAACGACATAGATCGAGGATCGTTCATAGAATTGAATCCACCCATCGACATGGCTCTGGGATCACCTGGTGGATTCATAGGGTTCTGTCCACCCATCGACATTGCTCGAGCACTTGAAGCCAATGCCAATTTTTTCTGCTGGTTCATTTGTTTCCGGTACTGGACGTTGTTGACCGACTTTCCACCAGTACTGCCAGTTCCTAAGGTCGGTATGATAGGCGCCGTATCTTGTCTGCCCATGCCCGTTACGTATGGACCATGGTCTCGAAGATGAGCAATATCGTCAAACGAAACATTGGCTCCGTTAGTAAAGTCCAGCACGTCTGCGCCAGAATCATCGTTGAAAGCACCATCTGCGGGACCTTTTCGCCGAAAAAACCGGTTCATAGACAAGGCTGATTGCGACGTAAGTGAGGCTTTTCGCAGCCCTGGAACCTTGCGAGTTTCCATTCCATAAGGATCGAATTGTGCACCCTGATCTGCATACGAATCAGTCGATAGAAGCTGTTGTCTGAGTCTTCCGTTGGAAGTTGCAGCGGCTGTGCCTGCGTCCATGATTTAATTGTATAAGTAAAATGGGTGAAAAGTTTCCCAGAATAGAAAGAAAACCTGGAGATCGAATAAAAATCAGCCTTGAATGGCGTGTCCGTCGTTTAGAGCCTCGTAACTACGAAAAATATCGAAAGCAAACGCAAACAATACAAGTCGATGGAGGATCGGAATGCGGCAAAAATAGATTCCCGAGTGAAACGAAGGATAGGGAACTTTGGATGTAGCTTGATAAAGATCCGTGATTTATGATACAAAAGAATTTAAGATTCTTTACCTTCAAAAGCAAGTAAGGATTTAAGGTTTAAGTGACCACAAACTCTGAAGTTTTGTGAGAATCGAAGGTTGTGATGCAAATGTATAAAATGACACAAAACCCGTTGCTTACCAAGCGCGCGTCGCTTCCAGTTCCGAGGGAACGGATATAAGCAAACCGCAGAAAACCGGGGTGCAGCAAATGTGCAAACCGGTTGTGTAAATGCGCTGTAAACCGGGGAGGTCGGTACAACACCGAGCTGAAGATACTGCAACCGGTAGTAAACTATAAAAGGAACTCGTTCGCGCTTTTCATTTTCTTCAATTACTTCATTCGTATTGCTTCTCATTGCTCGTATACACTAACTTTCGTACCACACCTTTAACGCATATTGATCATATTGGTCAAATGATTAAGAACTTGATCACTAACCTAACTTTGCCTTCTAGTTCTCGTGGGCAACTATCAAACCGACTATCTTGTACCTCTTTTTAAAATAGTCCATCCATTTGTCCACCGCTTCGAGCTGCTTCTCAGTCAACCCTTCGGTGCTCCACGTGTTGCTATCAGTGATATCTCCCGTGAATTTGAGTTTGTTGAGCCCAAGCAATCTGGTGGCGTCTTTGCCTACAAACACGTTGTAACTTTTGCCTGGTCCATAACTGGAAATGTTGGGGGTGACATCAAACACGTAACCACGGATCCCTACGTAAACCAATGGCTTTGATTTTCCATTATAAAGTGAAAGCTGCGACCGTGTGAATATTTCAAGGTCCTCGTCTTTGACGTTTTCGTTGTACTGAATGATATCTTCCTGAGGCTCCATACTGCACTTATACTGCCAGGTGTAATTCCAAAGTGTGGGTGATCTAAATCACACGTGCAGGAACAAAAAAACCCTACATCACAGAATACGCCTGTGGTACTTTTGTAATGCCAGCTCTTGCCACAGACAAGTATCCGCCGACGATAAAAAAGCTATTTGCTCCTCGGCCGCCGCTTCTTCATGTCCCACCTTTGGATTATCCTCCCGAAAAACGCAGCACCAAACCAGTTTCTCCTGTCAGTAAATGGAAGGAAATATACCAGGAACATGCCCAACGAATAAGAGAAGAAAACGAGACAACAGACACGGCTGTGGAAACTACACTTCAAAAGCAAGCCAAGGCTCGGGCTAAAAGAGAACGAGCTCAAGCCGAATCTTTCCAGCGACAAATGGAAGAATGGCTCGACCCATCGCTAGCTGAAAAGCATGAAAAAGAAGTAATGAAAGACCCATATTGCACGTTATTCATAGCCAGACTCGACTACGACGTTACAGAGGTGGAGGTGTCTCAGAGTTTTAGTCGATTTGGTGCAATTGCGTCGATTCGAATCATCAGGGACAATGAAGGCAAGTCAAAAGGCTATGGATTTGTAGTATTTGAGCGTGATACGGACGCAGCCACCTGTGTTCGTGAACTCGCCTCCACTGGAATCAAAATTGGGCCCGAAAGTAGTGACAGAAAACCCAGAACTGCACTAGTTGACATCGAACGAAGTCGTGTGATACGAAACTGGAAACCTCGAAGATTGGGTGGTGGTCTCGGTGGCCGTGGATACACACAACCCAGTCAATATCATCTGGCTGTGGCATCTGCAGCGGCAAGTGGACGCCGATTACCTCAAAAGACTCGAAGAGACAACCCGAAATTCTCACCTTATCCGTCTGCTCAGGCTCCAACTCAAGGCGGCTCCATGGTACCTCCAGCTTACGGGCAGCCCGCGGCACCAGCATATGGTCTGACAGTGGCATACGGCCTGTATCGTGCTGCTGCACCAGAAACTTCTGTGCGCGATAAGTACGCCAAATACGGCACCTCGAGCATCACCTCTTACCGCCCAGCATCTAATCTGCGTTCTGTTCGCAACATTAGACGTGAGTAATAACTCTAAGATTTGCAGCCGGTATATGTGGTGTTTGGGTGTCTCTGGTGTATGGCTCGAACCGAACTCCTTCATCTCAGCTCCAGCAACCACAGCATACAGCATGGGAGATACTGTGCACAAGCGACCTGCGCCAGAGGAACAACCCGAGGCCAAAAAGCTCAAGCTGGAGACGGGACAAGATGCGTCAACAGCCAAGAGTTCCACTTTGGAGTCCTCAACACCCTCGAATCTGAATACCAATTCCGGAACCAGTAAACCGGTCTTAAAGAGAAAGTCTGCCGATGAAACAGATAAAAAAACGGTCAGTTCTGATGCAACCCCTGCTACTCCAGCCAATTCCGTATCTTCCTCTAATAACGCCAACGAAACCCCAACCGCACCTAATACCAGATTGAGTTCTCCACAGCATGTTTTCGGGGCCACTAGTTCGTTTGGAAATAACGCTTCTTTCTCGAAAAGCTCGGTGGTTATGGGGAAAAGTAGCGACAACAATTCTGGAAAACATGTCTTTGGCGCGACAAGTTCTTTCGGGACAAGTATTGAAGATATAAAGAAACGTCCTAATGTATTTGAATCTTTACCATCCAAACTCAATGACAAATCCGATACACCCAAGCTCACGTCTTCGTTCGGAGCCAACTCCAAATTTGGCAATGCGTTCCAGGAGTCCCTCAACAAGAAATCATTTCTCGAAGATGCATCCAGGGAAAAGTCCGAAGAAAGTGAGAACGACAGATCCGAAACCCCTCAGCAATTCAAGCAGGTTGAGTTATCACCAGTGGACAACAAAACTGGTGAAGAAGACGAGCGGACCATATTTACGTGCACAGCTAAACTCTTCGAGTTGGATCTCACCAAGATCAGCGAGGGATGGAAGGAACGCGGTTTGGGCCCATTGCATCTCAACCAAAGCATTTCCAGTCCCAAGCAGACCAGATTGGTGATGCGGTCACAGGGCTTGTTGAGAGTAATCCTCAACATGAAAATCAGCGAGAACACAAAACTATTGAAAGGGCTCGAAGCCAGTATGTCCCCAGGAAAGTTTTTGAGGGTCAACTCGGTGAATGCCGAGGGCAAGCCAGTTCAGCATCTCTTGAAGTTTGGCAGTGAGGAGCTTCGAAATGGTTTATATGACGATGTGGAGAAGTTGAAAGGGGAGAAGGAAAAAGACAAAGGGGACAAGGATAAAGAGAAAAAAGACGCAACGAAATAGACGAGGCCATACATATAATAAGAATGTACTCTGCGGAGATTCAATAAAACTACTCTCTTCCCTTTCTGAATGCAACACTACACACCGTGGAGCCCTTGGCACCTCCAAACTCAAACGAGGGAAACTCGATTCTGTCCCATTTTTCCAACAGGGTTCCGCTAGTTACAAGGTGAGTCAATTCTTCTTCAGTAAAGTTACAGGAGGTTATTAAGAAGATTGAGTCGGAATGCATAAGTTTTTCAATCTGCGACGAGTACACCTGCATTCCTATACGACCATCAAATTGTGGAAGTGGTTCCTGGTTCAATGCTATAGCATCCAAGGTGCCTTTATCCAAAAGAATATCGAATTTTTCTGACAAAAAAGCATCATCTGACAAGAGATCTACTCGCTGGAAAGTGAATTGGCGCAGAGAATACTTTTCCTGAGCAATATGGTGGGCAAACTGAACAGAATCTGCCGAATAATCGATTCCCGTGTATTCAGCATTGACATCGAGTTCTTCTAGTTCATCGCCTAAAGCAAATAAAAGATGTCCGTTTCCAGTTCCCAAGTCCAAGACCTTGAAGGGAGCGTTTCCGTTAGTCGTTATTGCTTGTTCCTCGATTTTTTCGGCGATAAATTGCACCATTCTGTCTTCGGCACCGGAGTCATCGAACCAGCATTCTCCCGTATCGTCGTGGTCTCGAAAGTTCTGGTGTTCAGTTTTGTAGAATTTGTCCCAGCTGTGTTAGAATAGTGGGGAAAAGAAACCAGAACCGACTTACTATTCCTTGGTACCAAGTTTGGACGAATTCAACCGAATATCCATCTGGTTCATCGATTCGCGGTGCGAAATTTCGAAATTCAAGTCAACGAGGACCAGCCTATTCGCTTCCAGTTTATTACATTTGCACCCTATTTTCACTTGCGATGGAGGTAGAAGTTATAGACGGTCCCGAAGAGGCTCATATTGACCAGGAAACCCAGGATAATTATCGCATATGGAAAAAAAACGCGCCGTTCCTATACGACTATCTCACCACCCATCCGTTACTATGGCCTTCTTTGAGTGTTCAGTTCTTCCCTGACCTCGAGAAACTCTCAGTTGGCAGCCAAGAGTCGCTGGATCCCGAAACCGTGGCGCAAAGACTTCTCGTGGGAACTTTTACTCTTGGAAAATACACCGATTCCATCTCCATTCTTCGTCTTCCCTATTACACGAATCTCTCGCGCCATGTCAACATTGACCGACTCAATTACCACGCAGACAAACAGGAGTTTGAAGTTACCAGTGCTTCGTCCAAGAAAATTTCCACTGTGCAAAAAATTAATCATCTTGGAGACGTCAACCGAGCTCGGTACATGCCACAAAATCCCGACGTAATTGCAAGTTGTAACAACTTTGGCAGTGTCCTGGTGTACGACCGCACCAAGCACGCCAACGTGAAGACGGCATTGGCCGACACAGACATTAGTCCTCCACAATTGCGTCTAGTAAGCACCACTAGTTCGCACGCCGATATATTTGCAATTGACTGGAATCGTCAACAAGAAGGAACCATAGCGTCGGGCTCAATGGACGGACAGATGTGTGTGTACGATATCCAGAAGATGCAAAAGGACAACGATGAGGTTCAACCAATATGGAGTACTAGTTCTGAGTCTGGAATCAACGACCTCGAATGGGTTCCCAACCACGATAAATTATTTTTGTCAGCCAGTGACAACGGCGTGGTGCAATTGTACGACACTCGCCAGCAAAATGCTTTATCGACGTTTTTTCATTCTTGTGCCGTGAACAGTGTGAGTATCTGTCCTGGTCAAACCACCACTTTTGCGACTGGTGACAGCAATGGTCAAATCGATATAAGAGACATTAGAATGGCCAATTCCATTCACCACATAACCAGCCATACCGACTCCATCACACAAATCAAATGGCACCCCAATCATCGACGAGTACTTGGTTCAGCGTCCAGCGACAAGACAATGCGAATATTCGACGTTGCCAACGATAAGCTCTTATTTATCCATGCTGGACATATGCTAGGAGTGAACGACTTTGACTGGTCTTTGCATGACGACTGGCTCGTGGCGACCGTAGGAGACGATAATTCTTTGCATGCATGGAAACCTGTGATTGAGAGCGATAAATTAGCGACTGCAACAAGCTGAAAAACCAAAGTGGTATAATTCTGGTTAACTGACGATAAGAAGCTTGATATTTGGTATCTAGAGGAATCTTGAAGAGGTCTGCTCTTCAACACTGAAAATCATAGAATGCTCTTGAGCTAAACTAACTGAAATCAAGCTTATTTTTGGTTTGAGTTGACACTTGAATTATCATAGCATTTTATGTGATTGAGATCGATGTTTAGTTTGCTAGTGTGGCACGGAAGGTAATTTATATTTGTTGGCAAGTACCATAGATGAAGAATACTCGTACTATAGCTTCTACCTATATTTAGTATTGTAGAACACTTGATCTCTCTTCATACTTTTCTATTGTTCTCATTCTACACCTTTCTACACTTCCTCTCTACTCATGTATTGTTCTATTATGCCTTTGCGAACAACTTTTCCACCTCAGCAACAGACTCGGCCAACACGCGGTCTTGGAACTTGGGGTTCTCCAACTCCTTGTTAACCTTTTCCACAACAGACTTGATCAATTGCTCCTGTTCCAATTGTCTTTGCTTCTGTTCGAATCTGACCCACGAGTCCAATGTGGACTTGGCGGCTTGGGCCACAGCAGCCTTTTGCTTCAAATCAAACGATTCGGCTTCCAATTGGGCGGTTTCTTTGGACACGGCGAACAACAGTTTGGTGGTGGAAACCACGTCTTTCAACTGCGAAACAGACTCGATTCTGTCCTTGACGGCAGACACATGCTTATTACGTGACTCGTTCAACAAGTCGTTGACTTTCTTGACTTCTCCGTCGGCCCATTCGGTATACAATGGAGCGACAAATTTGGCGATCAATGCCGAGAAAGTGGCAAAAGTAATGACCAAAATGGTTTCGTCATGGATAATGAGCAACTCATTGGAGATTCCGTACACGGCAGCAGCGGCAGAAGTGGCCAAAATTCCGGTTTTAGACAAGTAGTTGTTACCTGGTAAGGCATCAACGATGGAGTTGGCTTTTTCTTTGGGCTCAACTGGACCAGTAGCCATGAAACGCATAGCCGCCGGAGCGTTGCGGCTCATGTTTGAGACCACAGGACGGATACCGACACCTCTCAATGCCAATCTGGAAATCATTGTAGTTGGGTTGAGGAAACGAGAAATTGATTTTCGGTGTCGGCTCGCGACATGATTGGGCGATGTAGACTGCCTAAACGGGAAGGAAGTCAACCGCGAAGCGGTTGGAAATAAGAGGGAAAAAGGAAATTGAATAAGAACAGACAAAATGTCCATGATTTCTGTTGTTATGACGATTTCTATATGACCCCTTCAATAGACATTATTTTATTTCCATTTTCTTTTCACTTCGGTATCTACATCTTCTCATCTACTCACTAAATTGTTCGCTCCATTACATTCAATTCCATCAAGTTCAATCTCATTAATTTCAATCCCGAACATTCAATTCATTTTCAACAATTGAACTTCGTTCAATTGTCTCATTCTGCAATTTTTCTTCTCACTATTTCATAAATCGCTCGCTCAGTTCGTTCATGTGCTTGTCTAGTATACGGTTCAATTGTCTTTTTTAGATGCTCGTCGTGAACTACTTTCTGCCTAGCTTCTTCCTGTGGCTCTGCTAGAGCTTCGTAAGCTCGCCTATCAAATTCACCAAGTATATCCTCTTCTACCTTTTTGCCAAAATCTTCTGCTGTTGGACTTTGAAGTACTTCTGGTCGCAGCGACCCTTTTACGGCTGCCAGCAGCTCTGTATCATAGTTTCGGTTGCGGTTGGTGGTTCGTTTTTGTTTTAATTGTTGAAGTCTCGCTTTGCGTTCCAGAGCCTGTTGCTCGAGACTCATAGAGAGAGCGAGCAGATGAGTTCGCGATGAGAAAGTGAGCGAGCAGTGAAAGAGGGCAGATGAAAAAAGAGCATACATGAAATGAGAAATGACAGCGGGTAGTTCTTCATATGATCTTACGAATTTAATGGCGTCAGTTCGTATGTTGGAGCATTTTTGTCATAAGTGAATAAATATATTCTTATCATATTGGTTGCAAATGATGAAACTGGCTGCACTCTACAAATTTGGCTTTCCAAAACCATCTTCTAGTGCCCTCCTCGTCAATACTTGCTTATAATCAGAACCATGCGTTTTCATGTAAACCTCATCTGGATACCTTTTATCGCCAGTTTGCTCGAAAACTTCAATTCTTTCAGTTATAATCTTCTTCACTATATCAGTGAAAACTTCTGGTTTTATCGCATTGAACATATGTGACCCTCCAGGAACATCGATTGGATGTACAACACCTGCTAAAGCTTCACGAATAGCCTGGACGGCTTGGTCTGGAGCGGTATCTTTTTCTCCAACAATGTGGTAAACTGACGTTTCAATTTGACCAAACGAAGGAAATGCTCTGCGAATACTGGAGCCTGATCCCATGAATGTCAAGTACTCTTGAGATGCTTGGGTGCTAGTTAATGCTTTGTTTGACACATCATAGTCAAGATGTTCATCTTCAAGCATGTTGCGAAGAATAGTATCGTCAAATGCCCTGAAAAACGACTTTGTCTTGTAAAACGAATAAATGGCCAGCTTGTGGTCCTGTCCTTCTTCCACATCATACTCATTGGTTATGGAACCTTTGTTGCGCCACATATTAATGCCCATAGTCAATAGCTGATCGCTCAATTCGTCAGCATAAGCAACGGGGTTCAATGCTATTATTGCGTCAAAAAGGGTTGGTTCAAAGTAGGCCGAAGTCAAGGAAACCATGCCACCGCAAGAATGCCCCAAGAAAATGTTAACAGCACCTGGCTTTAAAAACTCTTGCGCTTCATCGATTTTGACTACCTTGATAACGTCCTTAGCAAAGTCGATCCAGCTGACTTTATGACCCAATTTGCTCTTGTTAAGAACTGCCGACTGTCCGTGGTTGACGCAGTCAATTGCAACGGAATAATTGACATTGGGAATCAAATTGAACCACTTGTCAATGTGGTAATGCCATATACCTTTGTTCATTCCAACCCCATGATGAAACACAAGATTCACCCTGGGACCACTCTTGGGTGCTTCTTTTCTTTTATAGGCTCTGTAGGCGATCTCCAATTGGTAATCGTCTTGGTTAAAGGATGGTTCCGCCAAAACCACTGAGCCGGGAAACCTTGGCCCAGTAGCTGTTGTAGTCTTGTCCAGGAAAGTGTATACGTATGATGAAGCCGGTATCATGAAGGTGAAGTAAGCTGAAGTGAAGGTGAAGTGAAAGCTGAATTTAAAGTTCAGAGCACACTCGTTTCTAGCAATTCGCAGTTGGTAGTTAGATTGAAATCAAGCTCAATTTAGCTGCGAAATCATCGGCTGCGAAATTGCGGGGAGAAGAAGCGAGACCGAGGTAGCTATAGTAGCAACAAGAGAAGATGAAAACGACTTAAGTTAGTCAAAACGGTAGTTTTCGTCAATTGCAATTTTCTTTTCTTCCTCCTTTTCTAATTTCCCAAATACTGCTCCACCAACCCTGTGAAAAATTCCTCGGGTATATCCATATGCTCTCCGTCCACTCGCAAAAAGGTCAATTTTCCTTCGTGGTTCATTTTCTCGAGACCAAGGTTGTCCTCTTTGTACAAATTGGTCTGTTCCATGGGAATAACGTTGCCGGAAAATGGATCTATTTCTCCAAACACCGCACTTTCTTTGGGATTGACAGTGGTATCTTGGCCAAATTCTACCATGACAAACTTTTCTAGCTCTCCGAGTCTCTCCTTGTACTCTAAGTGCTTTTCGTCAGCTTCATTGTTGATGGGAGCCAAGAATCTCGAGCGGCAAACGTACTTTTGGTAATCATGAGTATCTCGAAAATACTGCGCCGGTATCACTGTATGCTGAACCAGATCGTGCCACACTTGTCTCTTCAAAAGCTCATTGCGTCGTTTACAAAGCCAATCTCTCTCATTGGCACATTTAGGAAGCTCCAGTACCCCCATATGGGGTGAACCAAAAGTTATAAGGTTCGTTACAGTAGCATTGGGACAGGTTTGTACTAAGGCTCGAGCAAATAGTCCTCCTTGGGAGAAACCTATCATGTCGAAACCATGCTCAAGTTCCGGAATTGATCCTATCTGCTCGCAAACTGACTCTAACTCATCCCAAGCGTCGCCTACAAGTGACTTTTGTTGGTCTTTCAGTGGATCCGTATCAAGACTTACACGATGGACAACGATTCCAGGGTACTTGTTTTCGATGATTTCACCAGTTTTGATCATTCCCGACGAGTTGTAGTTGTCCCCGAGTCCGTGCCACACTACTACCGGACGATACGGTGGAGCCTTCAGTGGAATCGACAAAATTACTTGGTTTGGATTTTCATGTTCAGCTGGTGATATGGTAAATCTGGGCTCCAGAACACACCCTAATGCCAACAAGAGGCCTAAGCGCATTCCCACAAGTAAAGATAAAGAGCTCCAAAAGAAATATAAGGGTGGCCAATTTACCGTTCAGTAATTAGATTCGCGCTCCCCCGCATTGGCGCAGCTCATCGCATCGATCGCACGCTCATCGCTAATCATCTCAATTCACCATGGGGGAACAAAACAAGTTCCATCTAGGTTCAGAAGCCGAGGCTGCGACCCAGAAGTCTATACGGGCTCTTGTAGCACATTCTCGAAAAGCAGGAAAATCCGAGCCCATCTACCTCATAATCAATACTGTTAAACCCATGGTTCGCAAAAAAGATTACACTCCAAGAATCATCCCTGTAACCAACAAAATCGGCAGATTGCAAGACAAATCTGTGCTTCTTGTGACAAAAGATCCCTCAACTCCCTACCGTCATGCCCTCACCGAAAAAGATAGTGCTACAGAAGACGTTTTTAACCAGATCTATACGTTGACCAAATTGAAGTCGCTCGCCAAAGATCCCAAGAAACTCAGCTTAATGTTCAAGGAATATGATCTTGTGGTATCAGATAACCGAATCCACAAGTTTCTCCCCGATATCCTCGGCGCACAGTTTTTTTTGAAGAACAAGAAGATTCCATTCATGGTTCAAATGGCCCGTCCATCACCAGAGTCACAGGCTCAATTGACCAAATCCAAGCTGTCTACGAAACTCAAAGACAATCGCTGTGAGCCCAAGTATGTGTATTCGCAAATGAAAGCCATAGCGAGAAACACCTATTTTATTCCGTCAGCAAAGGGAACTTGTGTTTCCATTGTCATCGGCCACACCGAAATGGAGACACCAGCAATTGTTACCAACCTCAACGACGTAATTGGATACTTGGTTGACCTGAAAAACTTGCCTGTGGGAGGATTATTGCGGACAATTGAGAATATAGTGAGTGTCCATGTAAAAACCAGCGAGAGTGTGAGCATGGAGATCAAAAAGGAGAAAGGTATCGAAGAAAAAAACTAGATGATGAGTGATAATAGGGATGGAAGAAGATAAAGAAATTGTTGTAGTGACGGAATGTACACCTAATACGAGAATGAACTAGAACATAGATCTAATACTGAGAATAACTAATCTGAGACTGTAGATCTGAATACTGTCAAATAGAATAGCTGGTGACAGTACTGATCTCATTATTTAGCAACAAAACCAATTCTCTCAGATCGAGTCCTACATTACTTTTCACTGTTTCCACTTTCGCATTTCGTTATTCATTCCTTCTTCAATATCTCATTTTCTCATTTTCTCTCACTTTCTAATCTCATTTTCCATCTTCTCACTCTCACCTCACTGATCTTCCGGCATGGCCGAACCAACCGGCGCCAGTCGCCGCTCCTTGCAAATGCCCGACCAGATCCATGCATGGAGACACAATATAGGAGAGGCTTCAGGGCGAATACTCCACAACATTTTGGGAGATGCTGAGATCGAGCAGATTGAACACTTCAAATATGAACAAAACTTGCAACGGAAATTGACGGTTACATCGGTGATTGGTCTTGGATTTTCACTCATGGGGGTTCCGTTTGGGCTCTCGTCCACTCTATGGATCTCGTTGACGGATGGTGGTAATGTTACATTACTTTATGGATGGATAATTGTGGTGTTTTTCTCGCTTTGTGTAGTGCTCAGCTTGAGTGAAATTATATCGAAATATCCCACTTCGGGAGGTGTCTACCATTTCAGTGCTATCTTGGCAAACGAAAAGCACTCGCTCCGGTCGTCATGGTTCACAGGGTGGCTTTTGCTTATAGGAACCATGACATATGCCGTGAGCATTATGTTTTCAGGAGCTCAATTTATCTTGTCGATTTTTGGACTTAAAGACGCCTACTACAAGGAAAACGTATTGTACGTGTTGTTGGTGTACATGGGACTTCTCTTGGTATGTGGACTCATCAATCGACAATTTTCAGGTCAACTTGAAAGAATCAACAAATTGTGCATTTTATGGTCCATTTATACCGTTCTAGCAATTGATTTTTTGCTCATATTTTACGCCAAAAGGACCAATTCTATCAAGGAAATTTTGACAAACTTCGATAATTCAAGGTCCGGATGGCCAGATCCAGTGGCATTTATGGTGGGGTTGCAAAGTTCTTCGTTCACACTCACCGGTTACGGTATGCTCTTTTCCATGACCGACGAAGTCAAAAATCCTGAACGAAATATGCCCAAGGGTGCTATAAGTGCCACGTTCTTAGCTGGAGTCATGGGTATTATTTTTATTATTCCAATCCTCACCATTCTTCCCGAACTCACCCTACTTCTCGACAAGACACCTGAAGTGATGCCGATGGATTTGGTGTTCAAAATTGCTACAGAGTCATACATCATCTCGTTTTTACTTGCCTTGTTGCTAGTTGGTACTCTGTTCTTCCAAGCAATTGGTTCCTTGACCACAGCTTCTCGTGCAACCTATGCCTTTGCCAGAGACGGCGGATTACCATTCAAACACTTGTGGGTTGAGGTTGATGCCATAGAAGAAAGCATAGTGCCCAAGAATGCCCTCTACCTCTCGATGGTGGTATGTGCTGCTTTGTCGCTATTAGCACTAGTTTCAGCTTCTGCTTTTAACGCCTTCTTGGGTGCCTCGGTTATCTGCTTGGCGCTTGCCAATGGAGTTCCTATATTATTATCGATGTTGAACGGCAGAAAAAGTATCAAGGGAGGAGCGTTCCGGCTCTCGGTCTTTGGCTGGGCAATCAATGGGTTGTCGATCTTTTGGATTGCGTTTCTGACAGTTATACTATGCATGCCTCCAGCGATCAAACATCTTACCTGGTTTTCCATGAACTATGCTCTGGTGGTTATTGCCGCTTTCATGGCTCTAGCGTCAATTGGGTATGCTACGTGGGGTTCCAAGAGTTTTACCGGGCCTCTGATTGACACCGATTACTTTGAACTACACAATCTCAGCGCGAGAAATATGGTGAATAACGATGCCTTTGTCCCAGGGTCCGACGAAGACAAGGACGACGAAGACCAGGACGACACATTTGTGCACGGTGGCCCCAGCGCAAAGAGCGAAGAGGATGAAGACAACCAAAATTTTCAAGTTTTGTCAGACGACACCGATAACGAAGTACTATTTGAACGAAGATCAGAAGATATGGAAAACACAAAATAACGAACTAAACATAAAACTAGAACTACAGTCTCTACATTTATAGATATTATACGAGCTTATGCACTCTTCTCCTCTCACTTTCACTTTCTTACTTTTTACTTTAACTTTCTCATTTTCTCACTCTCACCTCTCACTATTTCTCTCACTATTTCTCATATTTCTCACCCATCCACCACTCGCCCGCACTCGAAAATTTTATTCACACTAAATCATCATGTCGGCGGATCATGCTAGGGACCCATGTCCAATCGTCATTCTTAACGATTTCGGAGGTGCTTTTGCTATGGGAGTGATTGGAGGTTGCGTATGGCACGGAATCAAAGGTTTCAGAAACTCGCCATATGGTGAAAGAATGTACGGTTCGATGGCGGCAGTCAAAGCCCGTGCTCCAGTTGTGGGAGGAAACTTTGGAGTTTGGGGAGGATTATTTTCTACATTCGATTGTACTGTCAAAGCCGTAAGAAGAAGAGAAGATGCATGGAATGCAGTTATTGCTGGATTTTTCACCGGTGGAGCTTTGGCTTTGAGAGGTGGATGGAAACATACTAGAAACTCGGCCATTACATGTGCCTGTTTGTTGGGTGTGTTTGAGGGTGTTGGTATGATGATGCAAAGACTTTCGGCACAACCTACAGTGGCTCCAGTGTACCCTGAGGAGCAGCCATTGTCGGCATGAGTAATGATGTACATAGGCAGAGAGGAAGAAGCGGAGACGAGACAGTAAAGGAATTTAAATAAAACTGACAATTAGCCTTTGAGTTGTCTTGGCTGGGCTGTCTCGTTTTCCAGTGGAGTTGAGTATACATAGTGGAATGATCAATGTGATGAGAAGGCGTAGTGTGAAATGAGGGTTGTCTTGTATAAAGTTCTTAGTCTTGGCTCAGTTTCACTAATTGGGAAATCTTGAATATAGCAGTATCGATGGGTATTTCTTCTTATCGATACTCATATGATATTGAGTTGTAGAGATAATGGTCTGAGCTATCTTTGAACTAGAGTTTCTGTAGTGTGTTTCAAGAAGATGAAAAATCTCAAAGTCCAATCCTAAGAAGTAGCTGAATTGTTATGGTCAGTTATTCGTATTCAACTTTCGTCTCTCAAAACGAACAAAGACCAATTCTAAGAGTTATGGTAAGTTCATTTTGACTAGTTCAGGCAACTGGTGAGGCAGATATCTGCATAAAAGCTAGAATGTTGATACCCAAGATTCTTTCTTTCAAGTGCTTCTCCACTTTACTCAACAGAAGTAACTTGAGACAATTTCAGATGATTCTCCAATTCTCTCAAATACCTACGCTCAACCGCCTTATTCATACAACTAGATTCTTACTTTCAACAGCCTCAATATATACAACTTCCACCTAATTTGCACCCAATCATCCACTCACCAATTCATATTAAAGAAAGCTAATTACTCTTATACTGAATATCAGTCTACACAACTTCTCGTACCCCAACCACCCCAACCACCCAAACCTTATACTTTCTTCTTATCTTGACTCAATAGTTGCTCCTGAGTCACCCTCGTAATGTGGACACCGCTCACGTGCCGCGCCTCAAACCTACCCCCGGTTGTCCGATACACTCTGCGTGAGAATCTCTCATGTCACGTGACCGAATGCCAGGGTCGAGCTGAACGCCAACCCTCTTCTCCGCTCTGCAATCCTAAAGTGTCAACCCCCCTGTCCATCTCGCTGATGGCGTACAATTACAACACCAACCGTCACAATTCGGTAGGAGGCAGCTGGCAACTTCCTCCGCCGCCGCCACAACCTCCGGTTTCTTCGGGGGCATACTCCGATTCTCCGGCGATGATGAATCACGATTTTCGAAACCCATGGTTTTCCGGGGGTCGGCCCCAGGCTCAGCAGAATGTAGCTGGACAGATGCTGATGGCGAATAGTCCGACGAAAACCCCTCAGCTTCCATTATTACAAACTCAAGTGGGCCAGCAACCCAAACGGCTCTCCCTCGTAAATCAGTTACCCACCACTTATGAAGACGAAACTCAGAATTCCGGACCTTTTATACACCCGCCGACGAGGGTGGACAATCCCTTCAATCAATACTACACAAATCAAGACGTTACCTTGGACGACCGTCGAATGTCGGTTGCTGATGGGTCGTATCTCAAATCGGGCTACAATGGATTTGCAGAACCGGGAGGTGGTGGAGGAGTTGCTGGTGCAGGCATTGCTCCACCATATGGTCAGGCTTCGTTCAACAATCTTCGGCGGTCGTCATTGGCCGTTGGACCGTTTATGGATGGAGGTGTTGCTGGGTACCGCAAGCCTGGAAGATCTGCCTCTGTGGTTCAATATCAACAATATCAACAAAGTGTGCTGGAAAAACAACACAGCTACTTCAGATTACCTGCTCCTCGTGCCAAAAGAGTCCATTCGAAACTAGATTTGCATCCCAAGATTCACCACATACCCAAGTACCGTCGAGCCTCGGTCAATTCCGTCCACATTTCACCGGTCAATGCCCTTTCGATTTACTTGACCGAGACATACCGCATCTGCCAGCCCAAAAAATTTCAGTACTCCAAGCTGACAAACCCCAAAAGAGTGCTCACCAAACCGCTGGATCCAAAGTACAATAATGGCTACGATAACGAAGACAGTGATTATATCCTCTACGTCAACGATGTTTTGGGCACGGAGGAGGGCCGCAAGTACATTGTGTTGGACCTCTTGGGCTCGGGGACGTTTGGTCAGGTGGTAAAGTGCCAGAACTTGACCAACCAGTCGGTGTGTGCAATCAAAGTGATCAAGTCCAAACCCGCATACATGAACCAATCTTTAACCGAGGTGCGACTCCTCGAGTTTCTCAACTCCAACAGTGATGGTAACCACTTTATTCGATTACTTGACACTTTCATGCACAAGGAACATCTCTGTCTTGTGTTCGAGTTGCTAGCATCTAATCTTTACGAGCTCATCAAACAGAACCAGTTCCAAGGTCTCAATATGCGGTTAGTGAAACTCTTGACCAAGCAGCTATTAGAATCCATGGCCCAGCTCAAAAGTTTCCAGATTATTCATTGCGATCTAAAACCGGAAAATATCCTCTTATGCCAGCCAGATAAACCCGATATCAAAATCATAGATTTCGGTTCGGCTTGCTTCACACATCAAACCATCTACTCCTACATCCAGTCACGATTTTACCGGTCTCCTGAGGTCATCTTGGGCCTCCCGTATACTGAGTCCATAGATATGTGGTCCTTGGGTTGCATTGTGGGAGAGTTGTTTCTCGGCCTTCCAATGTTTCCCGGCACATCTGAGTACAATCAGATATGGAAAATTGTCGACATGCTCGGATATCCACCTCGCCATATGATCGATGTTGGTCGCAATTCTACAAACTTTTTCCACAAGGTGCCTGCTTCTACTCCAGAAGGAAAGCATTCTTACACCATAAAATCTTACGACGAATACGTTCAGTATTTGGCATCTACAAAGGGTAAAGAAGAACAGAGTCAGAAGGAGCAGAAAAATAAAAACTATTTCAAACATCGTCTGATGAAAGATATAATATTGAACTACAAATTCTCGTCCAAAATGACAAACACAATGATTGAAAAGGAATGTCAAGAACGGTTATTATTGGTCGATTTCCTCACCAAATGTCTCAATATGAACCCCCTTGAAAGACTAACACCTCAGGAAGCATTAAAGCATCCATTTGTGAATGACGTATTGCAGCCATTGACCCCAACTCCACAGCCAGAATCCACTCAGAACCACTTTGCACCTCGTCGTGCAAGCACCCTTGACAATCGTATACAAGCACAGTACTCGCGTACGTAGTAATGCATGCCACGAAGAGAAATAGAGAGTAGAAGTAGAGTAAGAAGTAGAGAGTAAGAAATAGAGAGAAGAAGTTGAGAGAAGAAGTTGAGAAGAAGAAAAAAAAGGAAAAGATCAAAGGATAGGTGTTCAAAGTAAAAGACAAACAGTCAAGATATTACTCAAACTAAGAGAAAAAAGCTCAGAGCTATATTTTAAGCTTTTAATAAAAGTAACTGCTTAGTATAGCGGGTGTTCTTCAGTTGGTTTTAGTGAGCATCCACTACGTTCTGGTGTCTGGGTGCAACCCCATCTTTGTCAACGAAAAATCTCGTTGTGATCGTGTGGTTCGTTTCGTCAGTTTTGGATCTTGTTTCGGAGATCCTTAGGCCATGAACGTGAGTACCAGTGCGCTTGGTGTGCGAAGAAGAAAACCCGCTTCTCAGAACATCGACGATGAAGAAAACGCAGCCACCTTGAAACTAGGACCCGAATTCCAACTCACACAAATCACCCATTCCGGAGAACCTGAGCAATTGATAGCACTAAACTTGTCGGAGGCGAGATTGCTCGTTCGTGCTGCGTTGAAAGAGCGGAAAAATAAGGGAAGACCCAACGATGACGACAATGATGAAGATGATAAAGAAGATGAGATTGCCAATATGGAGCTTGCAGGGCCAGAATCCAACGAGGTTATCCATAAGACTTTGAATTACTTGTCGACATTTTCACGCTTCCAGAACACTTCGTCCACAGAAACCGTAGAAAAATTATTGAACGATTTTAGCGCTCTGATAGCGGAACCATTGCATCCATTTGAATTTGCCCAGCTTGGAAATTTGGAGTTTGAAGACGCCGAGGAGGCCAAGTCGTTGATTCCCAGCTTGGCTAACAAGGTTTCTGATGTACAGTTGCAGACGTTGCTCAGTGAGTTGAGAAAGTACCAGACTTTGTCGTAAAATGTATAATATAGACAGTGATGTAGAGTAGCCGAAATTCAGCAAAAAATAGAAAATTAGAAAAATTAGAAAAATCGGCAAATGTCAGCAGACGCACTAATGTAGGTCATTGGTCTGTAAAGTCAACTTTTTCTGGTCCTTATTCATTATTTCGTTTAATTTGTGTTCTCACTTTCTTCAATTCTCACTATCTCTTCTCACTTTATCTCTTCGCATTTATCTTCAATTCGCATTCATTTATCGAATCTAACATGGATGATGACGACTACGACGAGTTTGGCAACTTGATAGGAGATCCCCTCGATTCCGATGCAGATTCGAGCTCTGATGCCGAAAGTATATCCCATATAGATTCTCGAGACCATTCTGGTGAAAATCCATTGAATTCTGTGCCAATTGACAAAGATGCCAAAACAGCTTCCCTGCGAGATAATGACAATTCTATGGCCATAACGCGTAACGAAGGTAAGCAGGTGGGACTCAAGTCGACTTTCGGGCCAGAAGTCGAAACAATCATTGTTAAACCTACAATGGAACAGAAAGACGAGCCCGTGATTCTTCCCGATATACAAAAAAAATTACGCCTTGTGCTTGACGAATCTCTACCCGAGGTTGTTTATTCAAGGGAGTATATGCTCCAAACTATGTCTTCGCTACCCGAAAGGATAAGGAATATTGCCGTTATTGGGAATTTTCACTCTGGTAAAACCAGCCTCATCGACCTATTCATCCACCAGACTCATCCCACCATTAAACCTTCTACCAGTCTCAAATCTTTCAAACCGCTTCGCTACCTCGATAACCACTTTCTCGAGCTCCATCGAGGGATGAGCATCAAACTGAGTCCTGTTACGCTTCTTCTTCCTGATCTGAACGACAAGTCGTACATTCTTATTATAGTTGACACTCCCTGGGTCATTTTGACTTTGCAGACGAAACCATAGCTGCTCTCGAAGCTACAGATGGTGCTGTTTTTGTCTTGGATGTTGTGGAAGGGTTGACTCCCAGAGACAAAGCTCTTATATCACAAGTCATGAAGCGTGATATGTCGATGACATTTGTTCTCAATAAAATCGACCGATTGATCCTTGAACTTCGCTTACCGCCGCTAGACACCTACTTGAAGCTACAGTACATCGTTGACGATGTGCTATCATTCATAGAGGAAAATGAGTTCTACTCGGCATATTCACACAAGTTTGAAATGAGTCCTGCTTCCGGTCATTTCTTGTTTGCTTCGGCAACCTACTGTTTCTGCTTCTCCTTGGAAACATTTGGGTCTCTCTACGCCAAAAATCACGAAAATCTCGATGTCGCTGACTTTTCTGAAAAGTTGTGGGGTGATTGGTACTATGATTCTACCACGAACAATCTCACTTCAAAACCACACCAAAGGTTGGAACGTACATTTGTCAAGTTGGTCTTGGGGCCAGTGTACAAATTGTTCACTGCTAGTTTGACTTCAAACTCAGCTGGTGAAAGCATTGCGTCTCTCCTTTGGCTGAACTTTGGTATTCAACTAGACAAGTCAAAGTACAAGCAGGACGTGCAAATCCTACTCAAGGATGTCTTTCACACCACCATTGGCACAGCGTCCTTTGTAGATCTGGTGTCTATTTGCATTGTCTCTCCTAAGAAAATACCTACTCGCCAGACCAACAGTCCGATTTTAACGCATATTGTCAAACTAATTGAACATGCTGATGGGCTGGGGTTCGACTCCTTGGTCAGAATAGTCAAGGGAACATTGACCAAGGGCCAGAAAGTGACTGTGTATGGAGACAATTATGTGGAAGACGATGAAAATTATAGAAGTGAAATCATAGATGCCATACTTGTGCCAGGAGGAAGGTATAACTTTGAGGTGGAAGAAGCAGGTGAAGGGTCTATTGTTCTAGTCAAAGGAATCGACTCCATAATTTCCAAATCAGGCACCTTGGCTCTTTCAGATGACTACATTTTTCCGAGCCAAAGCTATTCAAAAAATTCTGTGTTCAAGGTGGCTATCGAGCCGTTTGTTCCTAACGATTTACCAAAGATGTTGGATGGGCTCAGAAAGGTCAGCAAGTCGTATCTCGCTTGCTCTGTCAAAGTGGAAGACAGTGGAGAACACTTGGTATTTGGAAGTGGAGAGCTTTATTTGGACTGCGTTCTACATGATCTTCGGAACTTTTTCACGGACGACTTGGAGATCAAAGTCAGCGATCCAATGCCCAAATTTAGTGAAACCTGTAGCGAAACTTCGTTTACGGTGATTTCGACTCAATCTGGGGAGAACTCCATTTCCGTCATTGCTGAACCGGTAAATGATACAAAGTTGAGTCTTGCAATCGAGAATGGTAAGATCAATTTGAACGAAGACATAAAGACTCTTTCGAAAAAGTTGAGACTTGAGTACGGATGGGATGCCCTTGCTTCGCGATCAGTATGGTGCTTCGGTCCCGATGATATCCAGAGTCCCAGTATATTATTGGACGACACTTTGGAAGCTGAAACCGATAAGAAGTTGCTCTACTCAGCGAAACCTCATATTAATCTCGGTTTCAAATGGTCAGTGAATGAAGGACCATTGTGTGATGAACCTATACGAAATACCAAGTTCAAAATTCTCGATGCCACAATCAGTGGAGCAGAAATCAGCCGTGGAGGTGCTCGTTTAATTCCTCTCAGTCGCAAAGCATGCTATACTGGATTTTTAACCGCTTCTCCTCGACTCATGGAACCTTATTATCGTGTTCATGGAACATGTCCTCACCGAGCAATTGCTGTGTTCACAGCACTTTTGGGCAAGAGAAGAGGGTACTTGGAAAGCGAAACTCCAATTCCAGGAACTGGTTTATTTCAAGTTGTAGGACTTGTACCAGTAATTGAAGCGGTTGGACTTGAAACTGAAATAAGACTCAACACCCAAGGCCAAGCCATGTGCTTTTTGGTGTTTGACCTGTGGAACATAGTACCTGGAGATCCCTTGGATGAAACGGTTCCATTGCCTACCATGAAACCGGTTCCTGATGAATCTTTGGCAAGAGACTTTGTCCTCAAGACAAGACGAAGAAAAGGGTTGAGTGGAGAGCCCAGTCTTCAAAAATATGTTGACCAAGACCTCTATCATAGTCTTAAACATAATGGTTTGGTGCCTTAAGGCTAATGCATTTATTTACTATATACTAATCTATAGATAGCCTTTGGCGTTTCTTGGCACTAGTAGGTGATTCTGCTGGGCGTTTTTCAGGAGAATGTTTCATAATCGATTCGAAGCCTTTCTTCTCTCGTATGAGTTCTGCAAGTCCATTGAACTTGGTGATAAATCTGGTTTGCGATGTCAATGTGCATGCCATGGACAACGGTTTTTCCGATACAGTATTTTCAGCTAACCTTTCGAATGTCGATAAGAAATCGTTGAAGGTTACTTCTCTTGAATACACATTATCTTCAGTCAAGTGAAGTCCATCAAACTGGGGAAACAGTAACACAAGTTCTTCGTCGACAGAAAAGTTGTAGATTTCATTCAAGTCCTCATTATGTCTCATTAGTCCAAAAAACTCTTCAATAGGTAGTTCCAACACACTGCTAGAATCGAATAATGGTACAAGAAGAGATACGTCTATGGACGAATTTTCTGCTTTGAATGGTACCAATAGAAACTCCGTGTCTGCAACATCAATTATTATGGGCACAGTTGGTTGGTCTTCGTCTTTGGTCACTATACGGTTGTCTTCGTTGACCAAAGTCGCGTAATCTTCTTTAGAAAGCGAAGGTGAATTTGGATTGGAGGGTTCGTTTATCTGATTATAGTCATGCTCCTCGTGTGGATCTTCCTTGTATTCGGGATCGTTTCCCTGTGGATCGTCCGATACATCTCGTTCTTCCTCATCTTCTCCTTCATTTTCTTCTTTTTCTCGTTCTTCTTCGGCGTCTAGCTCCTCCTCTAGATTTTCATTTTCTTCCACATCTGAATATTCATTTGTTTCATTAATTGGTCCCGATTCTGCTCCAGACGCTTCTGCTTCATCTTCTTCAAAATCCTCTCTATACGTCCTGTCTGTGCCTTCTTTTTCGACGACCAGTTCTTCTTCATTCTCTCCTTCTTCTATTTCTTCTCTTTCTTCTGCTTCTTTTTCTTCTCCACTATCCGCCTCTTCCCCTTCCCCCTCTTCATTGTAATCTGTCCCGTTAGGCTCTGGAGACACTTCTTCGATTGAATCAGACTTCAGCTTGTCGTCTTCCATATCGCTTTCGATATTCTCAACATTTTCATCCAAAGTCAAAACCTCGTCTACTTCATCATTAGTTGTTGCTTCTTCTATACCATTTTCCTCTTCATTGGAACCTATTCGGGGTTCTGGCTCTGCTATTTCTTCTTGTACTTCTCGCTCTTCTACGATTTCAACGTCATCATCGAGCTCCAGATGCATTTCTTGGGAATAACTATCATGAGATTCCAGTTCTTGTTCACTTACCTGTTCGTTAATATCTACATCATCGTCAATTTCTATATCCACCGAACTTGGTGAATCGTCCATAGTACACTGTAGTTTGAAGTTGTCGCAGCTGCGAAACTTGGGCGGCTGGTGCAGGAAGTCTACATGGGACAGGCTAAAGTACTGTACATTTAAAATTAGGGCACCCACACCTTAAAGGTCTGTGGAGCTTCTAGAGACAAAGGTTTCTCGTTATCATCTCCCTTGGCATCAGACCCATTGCTATCTCCATTTTCCTTTGTGGATGATGCGGCCGCATTCAGTACCACCGAATGTTTCGTAGGCTTATACAATTGTGACTCCACTTCTGAAAGAAGCAGCTTGACTTTATCATCCACTTCCTGTTGTTTCAAAGTATCCAATACTTCGGCAAGCTTGGTGGTTATGGTGGTTGTAGACCGCGTAAAAGCCAACCTGTCGAGGAAAACTTCCTGTTGCTGCTTCGCCAAAAGCTTGCGTTCTTTCTCATACATCTTTTCCAATTCAGCAAGTTTTTGAAGCTTCAAGTCAACTTTGGTCAACTGTTGATTAATGATTGAATGCGCCAACTTGTGCATTTCACGATCCTCATAGGTAGCAAACAAATGACTGCGGGCACCGACAATGCCAAACGCAGCTACTGCAGCGTCACGCACCACGTCGGTAGATTCTTCTGTTGTGATGGCTCCATTCTCCTTCACCTCATCGCTCTTTTCTTCTTCCTTTATATCTTCTTGTTTAGCGGCTTCAACACTCACCTTTTCTATCTTTTCCTGAATCTTGGAATCCATTTCTTTGATTGCACGACCACTTGCAGCTTTGGCGACGTCACTATCCACCAATTGAGCCATGAAAGCCAAATTGTTTATCACGGGATGATCAACACCATTGACGGGGAAGTTGGAAGCATACTTCATTATACCAACATCACCCAACTTGTCGTAGCTATCTTCAATTGGAACCTGGAGAAATTTGAGTACACACTCCTGCGGAGTTTTGGTACCCACTTTTTTGGAGACCTTATACCAATCATTCTTGAACTCTTTTATTCCCGCCAACAAGTTTGAAGTTTCTTCTTCTGTCCAGTGGTGGGTCTTTTGCTTCTTTTGAGGAGGTGCGTCGTCATTGGAGTCTAAGTTGCTCTCCTTGAAGTCAGTGTGGACTTCCCCATTGCCGGAGCCGGTACCGACTAGTTCCCGCAATTTTGATACATCAACCTTATTGGAAGCTATATTATGAGTAGTGAAGGGAAAAAGGCCTCTAGGGCTGTCATAGGTAACATGGTAGTCACCCGTAAAAGGAAGGCCAGCCGTAGTTCCATTATTGAGTTTTTCGATCGGGTATCCAGGCTTAAAGTGAGGATTCACCTGATAGTTTATTAGACCCCATTTATTGAGGAAACGATGCACTCTCATCAAAGTTCCAACATCGCCAACCAAATTACGCCGACAAGAAGTCAACGTTAAGTATTCGTTTGGATTGAGTCTATAAGAGTTGATCATGAAGTTTCTGTAATTGAGGTAGATCGTAGGTGATTTTGACGGGTGTTTTGACTTAAAGAACTCGGGAAGACTCTCTTTCTCTATAGGGTGGATCGACTTCATTTTGAACCACCGCGAGTATGATGGCATTATGATGGTGTGGGTTTGTTTTACATTTGACAGGTGGTCCACATCGCCCTCGTCACCCACCTTTCGACTTTCCAGCGTCTCGTACTCGCTGGAGTCATCCTTCGAATCGGGTGCATTGGGCATGGTGGTCTCGTCCTCAATTTTGAGGCCCTTTTTTGCGTGGGGGCGATGGGCTACGATATCGTCGTCATCGTCGGGGGCAGTGGTTGCGTCTTTTGCGTCTTTGTCGATGTTTTCCTTTTCGTCGTTTTCGCCCATATCAACATCGGCGTCGGTATTAGCGATGGCGGTGGTGTTGGCATCAGCATTGGAATCGGCATTCGTGTCGGTATTGGTCTTCGGTTTGTCTTCACTCGACTCTTCATCTGCTTGGGGAAACTCATTGAAATCTTTCAAGTCTGCCGGTGTTTCGGTGGAACCATGATAGGTATTTCGCGTAGGTTCCATGTCTATGTTCATGTCGATGCCCAAATCAGGGTTATCTTGAGGCGAGGCTCCGCTCAAGTACGAGCCATCGTTGTCATTCAACAGCACCTCTGAGTTTATGGGATCGAATTCAGACGATGCTGGTTTGTCCTGCGGTGACGGAGAATCCGACAGGCTCATTGCACCAGTTGGTAGCACCGGGTGCGCAGTGTGTAACGCGTCCGGGTTTACGTTGTGGGAGTTAACACCGTCTGGGGTATTCGGTGCCGGGGTTCAATGCAGTCGTTTATTCGGGCCGACAAGCAATTGGAGGCGGGCCAGAACTATCAAGATGGATTCAGCTTACGACAACAAAAAATATGGGGTACACCACAATGTCGGCACTCGGAAATCTTGGGTGTGCAGTTCGGTTTGACTCGCGTATAATGACTCGCGTTTAATGTCTACCTTGGCAAGGCTGGTGTGTTTTTTGGGCTCAAATTCGGGAGCGGGTGAGGGGCGTGCAAAGTCCAGGCTCTCCCGCCTGTATATAGCCCAGGCCGGTGTTCCTGCCTCGGTGGCAAGGAGCGAGAGTGAGCAATAGGAGGAACATGAGTGAATAGTAAGAAGAAAAAAAATTGGGGTGCAGAATCGCTATTTAAACCAATGTGCAATCAGCCGCTCGTAAATAAGGTATCTGTGACCACAAGGACCGGAAACCTATATTCCGGCCTGGGGCATGCGTCTGCAAGGTTGCGCGCCACCGGCAGTGCGGCGCTGGCGGGAACAATTGCAGGAGGGGATCGCCGGGGTGGGGCGGTGGTGGTGATGGAATAAAGATGGGGGCATCAACTGTGGTACTATGACGTGGGGGATAGGGAAGAGATAGCTACCTAGGGCTTTTATTTTGTGGTGTATTGGATGTGTTCACTTTGTGTGGCATCTTTGCTCACGTGCGCGCGTCCAGGGCGCGGCCCCCGCTGCAGCTCAGAGTTCGCACCAAAAACAAAATTTTTCAAACCTCAATCTTCATCATAATGGTTAGATACGGTGTCAACTCAGCTAATCCAGCCAAGTCTGCTTCCGCTCGCGGCTCCTACTTGAGGGTGTCGTTCAAGAACACCCGTGAGACCGCCCAGGCCATCAACGGATGGAACTTGGAAAAGGCCCAAAAGTACTTGGACCAAGTTCTCGACCACCAAAGAGCCATTCCTTTCCGTCGTTTTAACTCTTCGATCGGTCGTACTGCTCAAGGTAAAGAATTCGGTGTCACCAAGGCCAGATGGCCCGTCAAGTCCGTCAACTTCATCAAGGACTTGTTGGTGAATGCTCAAGCCAATGCTGAGGCTAAAGGATTGGAAGTTTCCAAATTGAAGGTTTCTCACATCCAGGTGAACCAGGCTCCTAAGCAAAGAAGAAGAACTTACAGAGCCCACGGTAGAATCAATGCCTACCAGTCATCTCCTTGTCACATAGAATTGATCTTGACTGAAGAGCAAGACAATGTTGAGAAGGCTGAGGAGTCCAAGAAGCTCAGATTGAACTCGAGACAAAGAGGAAGATTGGCTACCCAAAAGCGTTTGACTGTTTAGTAGGGGATAATACAAACTGAGAAAGATAATGTAGAGCCGCGAAGCGAGAGCGACGAGCGAATAGAATCGGATGTAGAGATGTAAAAAGCGAAAAGAGCCAATTCCAATACTATCTAAAAAAAAGAGAAATATCTCAACAGAAATCAATAATTTCACCTGAAAGCTTATATGACACCTCCCTAAACTTATCCATTCATACATTCTTACCACTTTTCATTTTCTCACTCTTCACTTCGTTCTCATTTCCACTCACCTTCTTCTCCTGCACACACGCCATTCCTCCTCCAATGATCGCGCTTCATTTCTTTCATCACCAACACATATCATCATGGGAGGAGCTTCTGGACCAAAAACGTACATGGGATGGTGGGGATCCATGGGTGGACCCAAGCAAAAGTATATCTCTCAGTACACCGTCTCTCCATTTGCCACCAGACCTATGAAAGGAGCTGCTTATAATGCTGTTTTCAACACCTTCAGAAGAACTAAAAATCAGGCACTTTATGTCATTATTCCCGCTGTGATTGTGTGGAACGTGTGGGCTCGTGCCAGAGACTACAACGAGTACTTGTACACGAAGGAGGGTAGAGAGGATTTGGAGAAGGCCAATGCATAGTGAATAAACGAGAGTGAAAAAGTGAAGAAAGTAGATATTGAAAGGAAGTAAAGAACGAGTAAGTGAGAAGAAAGTAGGGAATGTAGAGGAAAACATGAATACGGAAAGAATTCAAGGAACACATTTTAATTATGATTACTCTAAATGGCTGTACGTAAATGGTATACAATAGGTTGTATGAAAAGTGTACGTATAGTCAGATCCTCATCTATCTATTTTTGTCTCTTGTACACCTTGTTCAAGAAAACAGTGAGTACGTCCTTCTTCAATCCTCTGGACTCGTCAATGGAAGCAATTTTTTGCGACAACATTTGGTACTGCTCCTCTTCATATTTCTCGTACACCTTGTCAATGGCCAAATCATGGTAGATTTTCTTCACTCTAGCCTCACATTCCGCATCCTGTTGGCCGTAACTTTCAGCCAAGATCTTTTTCTGTTCGGGAGAAGCAATCTTTAAAGCCTCGAGAATGAGCCATGAATTCTTGTTTTCCAAAATGTCCCTTCCAATCTTACCCAAAATTTCTGGAGGAGCATACACATCCAAGAAGTCGTCTTGGTTCTGGAAGTACAATCCAAGAGGAATCAAGACGTCATGGACCTGTTTCATGTCTTCGTCGGAGTCAATTCCAGCAACGTACATGGCCAAAGCAACAGGCAACAAAAATGAGTAATATGCCGTTTTGTAGATACAAACAAAGTCATGTTTATCCATGGAGAACTGGTCGAGCTTCTGGTGCTCGGCTTCCACAATCAAATCGAGGAATTGACCAAGTTCGGTCTTGAATGTGATATCATGGAACAACTCCAACAACTCAACGTAGTAAGGTTCTTTTTTGAAATATTTCTTCAATACCACGTAGATGGCTCCTTCCAACACGAACGAATCGTTGATGGCAATAAGACCCACTCCATCCTTTTTATACCAGCATGGATGACCACGTCTCTTTTCGGCCTTGTCCATAATGTCATCGGCAACCAAGAAAAATGCTTGCAACATTTCAACACACCAACCCAAGATAGTCACCTTCTTCAACTCGTCGCTTTCCAACTCATTGACCTTTTTTCCCTTCAAAATCGCATATGTATCAACAACTGACAATCCTCTGTTCAATTTTCCTCCAGGAACATTGTATGAAAAACTGTCACTAAACCACTTGATTGCCTCTTCTGGCATGCTGTACAGCTTGATAACATCCAAGAGGTCCTCGCGAAGAGGCTCAAACTCATTGAGAAATACTTTTCTGGTGGCGTCTTTGTCCATTGATACGAATGAGAAGTGATAAAGTTTCGTCGTTTCGCGCCGTTTCGCGCCGTATAAATCAGTCGCCGGTGCAGCGATGGAATGGCAGTCGTAAATAGGAAGTATATTAATGTACATGCAGATTATTTTCTTCTGGACCGCTTGCTCTTGCCCGGTCTGAACGTCTTACCCTTCTTGTTGGAGAACCCAGAAACATCTGCCGAAGAAGTGGCATCGTTTTTTCTCATCCCACGTTTCTTTCCGCCTTGGCCAAATTTGGCATCTTTGGCCAATCTTTTGCCATTGGGCTTAGCCCGCTTGTTCTCCCGCTGGTGCTCGTTGGTAGCCTCTTCGAGCGCAACCTGGAACTCATCGTCGTTGGTCAAACCACTTCCTCGCTTTCTCTTCAAAGACTTGATTTTGTCAAGAGTCTCCCGTTTTTGCTTGGCTCTCTCTTGTAACGTAGCAACTTGCACCTGCTTACCGAACTTCTTCAACAGTCTTTGTCTCTTGGCCTCTTCGGAAGCCTTCTTGTTGGCAGCCTCTTCCAATAACTTGGCCTTGAGTTTATCCATATGCTCATCGGTCTTTACCATTTCGGCAAAGTAGTCCATTGGACGAGAAAACGGTACTTTGAGTTTCAAGAGAGTTGCCTTGGCCTGCTTGGCGGCGTCCAAGCTCTGCTTGTAAAATGCAAGTTCACGTTCGGTGTCGTCATATATGTCTTTGATGGAAAGTTCAGTCTTCTCGGCACTGACAATCGATTGGTGTTCCTGGAACGAATGCTTGCTCCAGGGAAGCTCGATTCTCGCAAGAGCATCCCTCAATGCTGCTTTGTTGTTGATGGTTGTTTTTGTGTGAGGAACAACGTCGGCGTCGGAATCCACATCGACATCGGAAAGGGGAATGTCTTCCTCTTCTTCCTCTTCTTCCGCTTCTTCTTCATCTTCCTTTCCACTCTCCTCTTCCTCATCATTTTCGCTGTCCTCCCCTTCACTGTCGTCACTGTCTAGGTCGCTCTCGCTTTCAGATGCCGCCAACTTCTCTAAATCCACTTCGGATTCGACGTCTTCGTCATCAGACTCATCCTCTTGCTCGGCCCTTGTGATCTGCTCCTGGAGCTTCTTCAACTTGCGCTGGTCCTTCTTGGACAACGACTGGCTCTGGTAGTCGTCGGCGTCTACTTTTCCTCTGCTTCCTTTCGCCATTCTGTCGCAGTTCCAAAAAAAAATCGGTGATGAGATGAGGGTCTGGTGCAATGGATGCCCCAAAAGTCAAGAGCTCAATTTGCAGCCGTATAGTCGATTTCGTTCAAAAACCTTTTTCCCGACCCGTACCGCCACCATCTACTGAGACAACTATAGTAATCGACATCAATAGACATACGGCTCATTTTGTCCTCAAGATCTCTTGCCTGGCAGATACACCGTTTCGAAGCCCGAACGTCGAGAGATGCAGGACAAGCCATATACGGAGGATGGTAGTAGCCGATATCGTCAAAGTGGTGAATTTCGTTTTTGTCGAGAAGCAACGAGAGGCCAATTGTGTGAACTGGAGCGTCTCCCCATCTTTCGTAATAAAACCCACCGGCTTGATCCAAATGGTTAAAGTAGGCTTCGTAGGCTTCACCTCGAAAGAAGTCCAAGTTTCCGATTTCAAAGTTGGACCAAAAATGGCATAGGTTGTATTTGTTTTGTCCCACGAGCGGAATGCCGAGATTTAGCGACGTTTCGTGCGAAGTTATGAAGTTTAGGGCGTTATTGGGATGGAGATACTGTGGATACTTTTCCATAAATTCTTCAACTGTTTCCCACAAAGTTGGTATAGTGTCTTCATATTCCTGGATGGCTATGACAAAGCCGTATTTCTTGCCGTTCTTGCGCAAAAGTGTGAATGGGTCATACTGGAAATCACACATATACTCGACATCGGGCTCGACCCGAAAGTACCATTCAAATTCAAGCAATTTTTTTTGTTTGTAAAAATGGCCCGAGTTGAAATGACACATGTTTCTGTACGACCGCAAGCCACCATATATTACGCCATTGGCCTCTGCCGTTCTCAAATTATGCTGCAATTTATTTTCGTCAATAAATGCTGGTGGTTCCCAGTCCTCATCGGGGATCAATTCATAGTATGTTTTCCCACTTGCCATCAACGACGTGTGTTCTATAAAGTCGTCGTCGAACGGAACTTCGTTCATGAACACCCACGGGTACCTATAGTGGCGGTTGAACCTATCTTCCAACAGACGCATGGATTTGAGTGCACCTTCAAGATCCAGATTTCTTGCTAGCATCACCAAAGTTGCATTCTCTTTTCCAATCTGGTTTCTGTTGATCCTGGGAAACCTCACCTCAAGGTAGCTGTTTGAGGCTAGTTTGGGACTTCCGTCCAATGCTGCATCGTGGGCTTTTGCCAAAAGTTCTGGAGACTTTTTTGTGGAGCCAAATCGGCTTTTATATGATAAAGTTTCTGGGTAAAGGAGATACAATGCGACTGCTATTGCTGCTATGTAGAAGGTGGATCTCCAACCTGGCATTGCAATGAGATATTGAGGCTGAGTTTGAAATGATTTGCTAATTTTGCAATAATGCGAATATTTGAAAAATCGTGAGAATGGGTGCAAATGAGAGAGTGAGAGAAGTAGACAAAAGAAAGAAAAGGATTATAGAGGATATTCATGGTATAATTGACTTATTTATCGACGACTACTACAATTATCCAAAATTTTCATTCTTGCTTTGTAACACTTGAGCCAACATTGTGATATGACTAAAAGAATAACTACTACCATATTTTTGGTTTTCTTATGACAAGAGACCAGTTCAAGTGAAAGCTATAAAAGAATAGTCGAATATAACTGACTCTCATAAAAATTTCACGAAAATCTACAATCTTGCAAATTCTAGTAATTTGCAAATTCTCACATTTTGAAAACTAAACACTGTTTAGCCAACACTGAAAAATGACTAATGGACGAAGTACCACCGTCATCATCTAGTCTAATAAACCACTAACTTCATCTATTCTACCCTAGACCCATTTTCTCATTGCTCACTATGGCTGAAGGTATCCCACATAACTACCCACCCAAAACCCAAAATAAGCCCCAAATGAACCAGTGTCTTCCAAACCCCCCCAATAACCCAACTTACAGCCATTGACCCCCTCCCTCCACGCAAGCGTTCGTTCTCGTATCTCCTTGTCCCATTGGCAACGGTCCTCTATACAGTACGTCCAGCCAATCAGATGGCCGTAAATCGCATTACCAAAGAAAATCAAAAGTTGGTTTCAATCTCAACCTACTTTGTCGCTCACAACACTACTATGCTTCGTTTGAGCACTTTGAGGAGCCGTGCTCCGTTGCTGGGCACTGTACGTGCGTTGGCTACCTCAGCTGATGCAGCAGCTACCCCAAACAGAGTCCATGGTGGATTGAAAGATCAAGACAGAATCTTCCAAAATGTTTACGGAACCTATGGTCACGACTTGAAGTCTGCGCAAAAGATGGGAGACTGGTACAAAACCAAGGAGATCTTGCAAAAAGGAGACAAGTGGATCATTGATGAGGTGAAGAAGAGTGGTTTGAGAGGAAGAGGTGGTGCTGGATTTCCGTCCGGTCTCAAGTGGTCATTCATGAATCCTCCTGGATGGGAAAAAAATGTGGGACCTCGTTATTTGGTGGTGAATGCTGATGAGGGAGAGCCTGGAACCTGTAAGGACCGTGAAATCATTCGTAAAGATCCCCACAAGTTGGTGGAGGGATGCTTGGTTACCGGTAGAGCCATGAATGCAACTGCTGCCTACATTTATATCCGTGGAGAATTCTACAACGAGGCCAACATTTTGCAAGGAGCAATCAACGAGGCATACAAGGCGGGACTCTTGGGCAAAAACGCCTGTGGCTCAGGTTACGACTTTGACGTCTACATCCATAGAGGTATGGGAGCCTACGTTTGTGGTGAAGAAACCGCGTTGATCGAGTCTCTCGAGGGTAAAGCCGGCAAGCCCAGATTGAAGCCTCCATTCCCTGCTGCCGTGGGTTTGTTTGGTAGACCTTCGACCGTGACCAATGTCGAGACGGTGGCCGTTGCACCCACCATTTGTAGAAGAGGAGGTGAGTGGTTTGCGTCGTTTGGTCGTGAAAGAAACTCGGGAACCAAGTTGTTCTGTATTTCTGGGCCACGTCAATGAGCCATGTACCGTCGAAGAAGAGATGTCCATACCTTTGAAAGAGTTGTTGGAGAAACACTGTGGAGGTGTTAAAGGTGGCTGGGATAACTTGTTGGGAGTTATTCCTGGTGGCTCGTCGGTGCCTGTTATGCCAAAGCATGTGTGTGACAACGTGCTCATGGATTACGACGCTTTGAAGGACGTTGGTTCCGGGTTGGGTACCGCCGCCGTCATTGTTATGAACAAGCAAACAGACATGATCAGAGCCATCCAAAGATTTGCACACTTCTACAAGCACGAGTCGTGTGGCCAGTGTACGCCTTGTCGTGAAGGAACCACTTGGTTGCAAAGAATGATGGACAGATTTGTCAAGGGCCAAGCAACAGAAAAGGAAATCGACATGATTTTCGAGTTGACAAAGGAGATCGAGGGCCACACCATTTGTGCCTTGGGAGACGCTGCCGCGTGGCCCGTTCAAGGTTTAATCAAATCTTTCAGACCTTTGATGGTGGAGAGAATGCAACAGTACCACGACAAAGACAATAGTACTGTTCTGTATGGTGGATGGGTAGAAGGCGGCCATGTCCAAGAAGGAGTGGTTGCGGAAAACCCCGTCCCTGGACACCATTAAATAGCATAGATCACTTACGAAATAACAAAATTGTTCGGTTTGTCTCTTCCCCACGTCTTATCTGCAGCGATTCTTAGTACGCGATTTCGGAGTTGAAAATTTATTCTTCGCCGACTCACCGAACCTTGTATCATTAATAACCGGAACCCTTCTACACCATGAGGGCCCCCCGGATATTGCTCACATCACTTCTAGCGGTGTCTGTACTCGCTGGTTTGATCCACAATGAACAGGACTCTTCGATAGAGGAAATTGGTGCCGCCGACGCTTCGGTGGAGTCGCCCAAAAAGTCCCATCATCTCAATATTCACCACGTGGAAACAGACGACAACGTTCCTTCGCAGTTACAAATGAACCAGTTGAACCAAAACCAGGATGTGGACGAAAAACCATCATATAATGCATTTCTCATGTCGATCTCGATGATTGTGGTTTCAGAAATCGGTGATAAAACCTTTTTGATTGCGGCGTTGATGGCCATGAAACACAACCGGATCCTCGTGTTTGCCGCTGCATTCTCCTCGTTGGCAGTAATGACGGTTTTGTCCGGAATTGTGGGCCATGCGTTGCCGACGTTGATCTCGCAACGTCTTACCCAATTTTTGGCGTCGATTCTTTTCGTGGTTTTCGGCGCCAAGTTGCTCAGAGAGGGCTTGGCAATGTCCAAGGACGTGGGAGTGGACGAGGAGTTGGCCGAGGTGGAGGAGGAAATACAATCCAGTGACCTCAACAACCGGTTGGACTCTGCGGAATCGGGCGCTCCTTTCGATCCCAGACCCAACACAAAAAAATGGTACCAAGAGTACGCCAGCCAAATGAAGGATTTGGCGTCGTTTGTGTTGTCTCCCATCTTTATCCAGGTGTTCGTAATGACATTTTTGGGCGAATGGGGAGACAGATCCCAGATAGCCACCATTGCCATGGCAGCTGGATCCGAGTACTGGTACGTCATTATGGGTGCCATAGTGGGCCACGGGCTTTGCACCGCTGCTGCCTGTGTTGGTGGAAAGTTGTTGGCCAAGCGCATATCCATGAGAACCATTACCCTTGGTGGTGCCATTGCATTTTTCGTGTTTGCGATTCTCTACTTTTACGACGCCTACTACAACACCGGCGCAGCCTAATACACTTCTAGAAATACTTGTATTAGCTATGATACACTTTAGCTATCGTCCAAAACCCCTTGGTACATGAATTTCAATACCTTATTAGGATGGAGCGGTTGCTTTCCACCAGTAGTTCTCATTTTTTCCTCTTCTTGCTCAAGCTCAAGATCCCGCTTGCGCTGTGCTTCCTTCTTGCCCTCTTCTGTCTCCAAGAACTCCAACTCTTGCTGCGAATGGAACCCATAAAACTGAAATTCGTCTCGGAGATCTTGGACTGTTTCCGCACACCATTTGACAAATGCTTCGTCTTTTTCAAGGTCGGATTCCTGCAATGCTCCCCGTCCTATGGCATCTTTCATCCAGCCCTCAACCTCGGGAAGCGGTTTCTTTCGTAATAAAGTGGTCACCAATGCTTCTTGTTCGGTGGTGGGAAAGTTGGGCAATGGATACGCATTGGTCCGTTTGAGTATATCGTCGTCGTTGGTCAATATCGATGCAATTGATTGTAGTTGTGTGATGAGCACATGGAATTGGTTCTGGAACTGAGCATAGTTGGGAAGTTTCGCCTTGTTGGGGTTTCGAATATTGTGGTTCACTTGATCTGCTAATTTTCGGAGCGAGAGATGCACTTGGTTGAGCCGGTTTCTAAGCGACTCTAGGGACTCCACCGGCACTTTGGAGTAGTCGAATTCGCTCATACTGAGAAAACTATCTGGTGGATATTCGAATTCAGTATTCTTCTTCGTTAATGAGTGTTCTTTTTAGTGTGAGATTTGAGATTAAGAATTGAGATTGAGATTGAGAAATACTTCTCAAAATTGACTCTCATCTCAATGCTCCATGATCCGAAAAAACTATAATTTAGCCGAAGATCTCCGGAAACAGGAAAAACGCAAGCAGGGTGCCATCCAGAAGCGCCAGAAACACCAGCTACAGCTTGAGAGAGCTCAAAACACAGATCCTTTCAGACTTTATAGCCGAATACAACGACTAAAAGATGACAAAAACAGCGACAAGAAGCTAATTGCTCGTCTAGAAGACGACTGGGACTTCATCAGGAAGAACGGGATACACAAGGATAAGTTGGAGCCGTTTTTGGCTCGAATAAATGAAAAAAATGAACGTCTCGAACAACAAAAATCCAAATTGTGGGGTATGAAGTCTGTGTATTTCAACCCTGAATTGAACCCGTTGGGAAAGGTTCCTCAGATATCTCAAAACGAGGCATTGCCTAATTCCACTATTCCTTTAGATTCGAAATTTAACCATCCTAAAGACCCACGAATACTCTCCATGGCCATACCTCTACCTCCAGGCGAGCCTCCAAAATACTACAAATTAGTGCAAAATTTTGGAGACAATCACAAAAGTGTCATTGAGTCTTCAAGTACAACTTCCGAAATGTTTGTTCCAACCCAAACTTTAAAGCGAAGTCGAACTTCGAACGAGATGGCACCAGAGGAAGAGGAGTACAAACGACAAAAAGACTCTTTTTGAAAACTACAAAACTCCAAACTAACCCGTTTCATCTACCCATATGCATCTATTTACAAGCTATGTACAACATCTTCAAGACAACAATCTCACCACTATTTCCCACGTTCCAAACATGATGATCGAATTGGGCACAGTACGCAACAAATGAGGTGTTAAACCTCCATACATGCTAACGAGACCCTCTTCCTTGACAACGAGCTTGAAACATTGGACAAGACCGGTATATTTGGGCTTTCCAGTAGATTCCAAAGGCGCCTGTCTCAATCTTGTTCTTACTACTTCATGTGGGTAAGTGATAAGAGAAGCCACGAATTTTGCAGCTCCGGCGGCCCCCGACCTAGCAGACCACTCCAAAATGTGGTCCTTAGTAGTCTTAGTAGCGCCATGAGCACCGTGAGCTTCAATAGATCTTTTGTTAATGAAGGACTTCATTTGCTCATATAAAACCCACTGTAAAGTAGACTCCACTCCTCCCAAATACGACGCACTGAGTCCTTTGTATAGGCTTCGGAACCCTTCATACTTGATGATATGTTTGAAGCAGTCCCACGAATTTTTGTAGTGTCTACCTTTAGTTTTATCCAATTGCAATCTTGTCTTGATAAGCCATATTGGGTTAGTTGCTGTAGATGTCACAAAACCAGCATTAATTCCGGAAACCAAGTGGATCCAGGTAGCTTCGTGACCATCATTAAAATGAGATGAGACCAATTCTTTCGTGGTTCCGTAAGTGAAAAAGTTGATAGAACGAGCAGGAATCACTCCTACCAAATTCGGTCCGAGACCCTTGAATAATGCTCTACTTCCTTCCGTAGCATATAGCTGGTGTATCACAGATCCCGTTTCCTTAAAGTGCTGGGCTGCTTTGATCAATGGATTGGTTGATTTTGGGGATTTGTTGTAAAGTGATTGATACGCATCTGACTGAAGCCTCGTCTTCACCACGTCAAGTGGACAAGTAATGACGGCACCGACCATCCCACCAATGCCTCCTGCAACGAAATGAACCCATTTCTTGGTTTGGGGTACTTCCACTTGGTTCTTTATTTGTGTTTCTTGAATGGACCCTTCGAAATCTGAGAGAGTTTGAGCATTTCTGTTAGTTGAAGATTGTTCATCCGATGCCAAATACGGGAACGATTGTTCCATTTGTCGCTCTAGCTCCTCGAGCTTATCTGGATTCCCCATCTTCGGCCCACAAGATGGCGGTAGCGTGGTTGTATGTGAAGTTTTCAGTTTTCAATTTCGCACTCATCGCATTTTTCAGATAGTGCGAAGAGGTCTACGAAGAAGAGAGATTAGTTCAGTAGCTTCATTATGACGACTATTTCAAGGTTTTTATGAAATTGTCAAGGTTGTACTCATCCTCGTATTGCTGCTCGTCCCACAAGTCTCCCAACTCTCCGACGGCACCAGCTTCCTTTCCTGAAAGTCCACTCTTGACGTCCTCAGGCACGTAGTTCTCTCTTTCTGGGACCGAATTCTCGTTGGTGGATTTTGCAGCAGCCTCGTCAACATCAAACAAGTCCAAAAGTTGGTTTGTATCCATCGACGCCAACCCAGAATTTTGTTGATTTACCACTGTAGATGCAATGTTCATCTTGAACTTTTGTAATCCCATTATTTTCTCTTCCAAAGTATGCTTCGTTATCAAACGATAAACATTCACAACCTTTTTCTGGCCCAATCGGTGGGCACGATCCATAGCCTGGAGATCGTTCATTGGGTTCCAGTCGTGCTCCACAAATATGACAGTATCTGCACCAGTCAAGTTGAGCCCCAATCCTCCAACTTTGGTGGTGAGAAGCAACACATCGATAGATGGATCCTCGTTGAATTTACGCACAATTGATTGTCTGTCTCTGGGGTCGGTGCTTCCATCTAGACGCATGTAGGTCACTGATGGGAGATGTTTCTTCAAAAGTTCATTCTCGACTATGTCAAGCATATCTTTTAGTTGACAGAAAATCAATGCTCGATGGTCGGATATCACTCCTTCTGCGGTGATTTGCTGTTGCAGTTTTTTATTCTTGCCCTTACCAATGTAATCACTATCGTCAACACCAATACCACATTCCAATAGTAAGGTTCTCAACGACAACAATTTTGGAGCATGATTTATGCTGCGGATGTCACTCTTATTGATTCGAAGATATTCGTTGACTTCGTTGAACTTGGGATGCTCAGGCGAAACCACCAAGGCAGGATGGTTGCAAAGCTTTCTCATGTACTGGAGAGCCTGGAACACATGGGTGTTTGATTCTCCACCTTCTTTTCCATCCAGTCGATGGTTGATCTCCTCTTGCACTGTATTCTTTTGCTTTTGAGCAAAGTCCTTATACAAGGTTTTTTGAAGCTCACTGAGCTCACAGTAGTAGTCCTGGATGATCTTTGGAGGTAAATCGGACAACACATCTTCCTTCAATCTACGCAACATAAACGGTAACACTTGCTTGTGAAGAGACTCGAGCGCCAATGCTCCGGCTTCTTGTTCCTTTGAGGAGGTCTTGCTATTTCTGCTGGCAGCAATGGGCTTGGCAAACTTTTCATGGAACACTTTTTCGGTACCTAAGAAACCTGGCATCAAAAAGTCGAACAAAGACCACAATTCTAACACATTATTCTGGATTGGAGTGCCCGATAAAATGAGTCTGTGTTCTGCTCTCACTTGTTTGACTGATTTGGTCAATTTTGAGGACGAGTTCTTGATGATATGTCCTTCATCAAGTACACAATAGTTGAAATCGTGTGCCAAAAGATGGTCGATATCGTTTCTGCAGACGTCATAAGAAGTTATAACTATATCCGCTGAAGAGATCTGTGAGCGAATCGCTGCTCTAGCAGATGGTCCCCCCGCGTAAACCAAGGGTTTCAAAAACGGCGAGTATTGAAGAATTTCCTGCTCCCAGTGACCAGTCAATGAAGGAGGGCAGATAATTATCGAAGCCAATTTGCGGAATTCGGGCGAGTTTGTTTCCTTGAACTTTTCGGCCCTAAGGTAGTGATCTGAAGCAACAATACATAACGTTTGCAAAGTCTTCCCAAGCCCCATATCATCACACAAAATACCATGCAAGTGATACTTGTTCAAGAATGCTAACCAGTTGACACCCTCTTGCTGATACTTCCTCAACGTGGCTTTGATGGACACAGGCAAATCAAAAGGCTTTATCTTTGAAGGATCCATCATTTGTTGAATGAACTCTCTTTCCTTATCTCTACCCTCAAGTAATTCCTGCGGCATACCCTCTGGATCAGGAATTCCAGCTTCAAGAGGAACCAACTTGATAATGGATGCAAACGTTGTCGTTGCAAGTACTCGAACATCATGGTCAGAATCACTCATTCTTCCGAGCACTGGGACAATCAAAAACACAATATATGGAAGAATATCGGCACCCATTGTCGCTGATACATGGTAAATACTTTCAATTGCTCCCTGGCGCTCTTCTGTAACACCAGAGCTGTTGACCATTGGGAGCACCGACTTGACCAAAAATGTGAAAGCCTTGGTGGGACACACCGAGCAAATTGTTGCCAAGGCTTTAGCGGAAGAATATCGAAACACTGAGTAGGCTGAACATAAACCAGGCTTCAAATAAGGAACACACTCGAGAACTTGATCATGAAGAGAGGGATCAAGTTTGGGCAAGAGAGCACGCAAGATACCCAAAGCATCAATAACAACTTGTCCCTTCTGTTGGTCTTCGATGAGTGCATCTCCCGTAGTGTTCTCGAGGAGAGCAATAGGGTCAAGCATAAGTTCCTTGAGTTTTGGAACTTCATCAAAGAGCGCTGTAGAGTACAGGTTAATAAGTGCTTCCATCGCCAACATAGCTCCCGTACGTTTAATTCTGGCTTCCTGAACAGCCCGTTCATGAGCTGCGATATCCACAGGATCAGTCTTAGCTTCCTCCTTCATCAAGCTGAGAATATTGGTTTTGAATTTGACATTATGTTGCACCTCAGGGATTTCCGAAGTATCAACACATAAGAATGCACACAAGTTCTTGACAATCTTGTCGCTGGCATTTTTCTTGCCTCCTTCGTTCAACTGCTTCACCAATACAGACACCGATGCGGCAGCTCTTCTTTGAAGGGTTTCAGACTCTTCTTGCTTGATACTATCCATCAAAGATCTGATAATAGGATTTAACTTTTTGGGGATACCAGTTGCGGCAAGAACTGAAGCAGAATAAGCGCTTAGAATGCTTACGATTCTGTTGGATCTTGCCATTTTAGCTTCATCAATGGCAACCTGGACTCTGTGCTTGGAATCTTCAAGGGCCAGATTTGCAGCCAATCGATTGTTAGCCAGCATCGACTTTGTTAATTTCTCATAAGTTTCATTAATCAACTTTTCAGCATTTTCGATTCCAAAGGCACCAGGACCAGCATCAACTTCGCCTTGAACAAGAACAGGTAGTTGTGGTAATTTTGACTGTGAAACCTTACCAAGCGTTACAAAAGTGTCGAATAGTTGGAGGCACGAAGTTCGAACCGACTTCAACGTTGGTACTAATTCCCTGAAGTAAGGCAAGTCCACCAGGCTCGAAAGCATTTCCATAAGGGCAGAACTATACAGCTGTAAGATTTCATGGGCATCAACGTTTCTTTGCAAAGCAGCGTCGGCATACTCTTGGATAATCATAGCACCTAGGAGACGAGGAGTTGCGTGAGGTGACTTTAAATGCCCACATATCACATCTTTGAGTTCGAGTAAAAGATCGTCATCTTCAACATAAGACATTAGGAGACCAAAAGCATTCGAAGCAGCGGCTCTTGTGCGGATAAAGGATTCGTATCCAAGAAGCATGACATCTCCCTTGATGATTGGGGCATCTATATTCACTCGAAGATCATCGGTAGGTATGTCCAACTTATTCTTTTCCTCCTGCTTTCTTTTTCGTCCACGTTTGGAATCCACATCGATAATTTCACTAGCATCAAGTGTATGTCCCGAGGGACGCATTATAAGATCGGTGTTCATATTGTAGTTGTGACGAGCAATTCCAATCGGAGTCATCAAGAGAGACAAAAGCGGTTGGTAATGATTGAGAAAAATGGCGGTAATCTTTGACGGTTGCAGCGAGGAAAGAACATCAAGGGTCGTCTTGAACACTTTCATGGAGAGATCAAGAACCTCGCGGTTCTGCTCCACCAATAAATTTTGAAATATCAATCGTAATGTTTTTGCATCTATCCATACTTTTGGTCCTTCTATGTTGAGAAATTCCAAGATGGTCCTTAATACTGCCTTCCTTACATTGGTGATGGAATGGCGAAGAAATGGAAATAATCTGGGAACAAGATTCTCAAATGCTTTTTCTTTGTCCTGAGCAGCATCTTTCTGCATTATGTCTATAATTTGTGTATGGGTGCACAAACGGGCTAACAAGTCCATGACAGCTCCAATAGAGGCAGATAAATCGTCTCGTAGATTTGTAAGACAATCCCATATGACAGACAACAATGTATGGACAAGTGCTGATTTTGTTTCGACAAATTCGGAAGCAATTGGTGTCAATGTTAATGCTGCGACCGCTTGAACGTCGTCGTCACTTTCTTTCAATCCAAAAAGAACCATGTCAATGACTTTGTCCAATAGATCGGGACGGGATAAGAATATTTCTGGCTTGACACTCACAAAGTATCGTAATCCCAACATTCCTCCATGCTTTGCTTCCCAGCATTTTGGGAGATTGAGGCTGTCTGCAAATGGCTGAAGCACCAAATCGTAGAGCGAGTCGAAAGTTTTTAAGACAATAGGTTCATCGAGATGAATCAAAAGCGCCGCCAACGTTTGAGCAGCCGATTCTCTCACTGGTGCAATTACAGTGTCTGAAACATAATCGCCAAATCTGTCGAGTGCAAAAAGAGTACAAAGCCGTACCGCCAAGTCCTCTAGGGTGGCCGAGTTATTGCGATCGTTGTCTGCCCTCAGCTTCTTAGCAAGCCGTCCCGCACCCTTTCCGTGCTTTTTCATGAGTTCACGCAACCCCAAAGCTGCGCCGTGCCGAGATTCCCATTTGGGGTCGAACAAGTCGCCGAGAAGCAACTCGTATACGCCTTGAAACTGCCACACCAAACCCGACACTTTGGCTTGCTGAGAAAGCAACGGAGAGAGTTCCGAGTCCTTCGTTTCCATAACCAACTTCAGGCCGCCCTGTTGCGACGTGAGGTCAAACTGGGGCTCCGGCACGGCATCGTCAGTGGTATCGGGGTCTTCAGCCAACTTGCGAGACATGGAGCTTTGCGACAAATCGACGGGTTTTATTCGACCAGACGACGATTTGGCATTGACTTTAGCTCGTCTTTTCTGCATGGCTTTGAGTCTGGCACTGGCAGCAGCAGACATGGGTGGAGGAGTGGGCGATACTGTTTCTGTTTTTACTGATTCCGTCTCAGACTTGATATTATCCACGGTGTGGCCGAGCGAAGCTGGTGCCACCAACAGCGACCTTGATTCCACCGTTGGTTCGGGCTTGATGCGGGCTCGCTTGATTTTTTTGAGCAATAAGTTGTCGGATTCGAAATCTTCAATCTCGATGTCGACACCAGAGTCCGAAGCGCTCAGCGACAAAAGCTTGTGGCCCGACTTGAGAATGGCATGGAGGTCCCACGACCGGAAGTCTACGAGATTCGACAAGTTGTCGTCGAATTTTTGGAGTTCTTCGTCTTGTTCTTGTTTGATTCGTTCGCTATCATCTTCAATTTTCACGGTGGGATCATTCATTTCCATATCATGAAACTCACTTTCTCGCTTCATTACGTCGGAATCGTTGGGGTCCCAGGTATCGCAATGGTTGACAATTCCCCCAAACGCCCGGGCAGCCGCTATACGGGTTTCCCATTTCTCTGACTTTAAATATGGAAACACTCGCCCAAGTAAATTTATGGCATCTTCTGGATGGCCCTTTGCTAGATCAGATAGTTGGTCTGCAGCTGTGTTGCGGATGAACACGGTGGAGCCTGTCTCTAGAAGTACAACCAATCGGTCTAGACGAGACATGAAACCTAAGATTGAGCAGCCGGATTTTTCGCGTGGAGCGAACCGGGCCTTTTATAGGCGATGCGCGAACGTGGAGAGAGCCAACGGAGACAGCCAAAGAGAGAGAACAGATAAAAGAAGGAAGGGGTATAGAGAACAAAACAGATAGTAGAGATCACGGAGAATAGGTGGCAGAGAAAAGAGATCAAAGATAATGAGAGCAATGAAATAGATTGGGGAAGAGGGAAGAGGAGACAAGACCAAAGTGTAATACCTTTGAAATATCTTCAGCCTTGGTTTCTGACTCTATTCTCTGAGATTTGCCTCAGTATGAATTTCTGACCTCTTTCCTTTTTGATTTCTGTATTTTTCCGTTTGTTTTCGTATTTAAGCAAACTTCTTTTCCCGGCTCTGGCGCACCTCTTGCTTCTTGGATGCGACAGCCTCCTGGCTGGCATTGTAGTCGATGTTGGTTTCTTGGTTCATAGGGTTCAATGGCGACTTCTGGAACTCTTTGTGGATCAAATTCTTGATCTGCTGGAGCCTTAACCCGGGGTTTTCCTTCTTGAGCTCGGGGATCCGTTGCTCTTCGAATGCTGCGTACGCTGCCTTCATTCTTCTTTCCGGATGTCTATCGATATCTTTCGACGAAACTCCGCCATCCTTGCTCGTGAGCGCCAACGCATCCAACGCATTGTCAATTCCACTGGCACTGACCTCGGGAGTATCTTTGTTAAAGTCCAAAAAGTCATCGATCTTGCCTGCTCTTCTAGCAGCAACTTTGGCGGCACCACGTTGTTTCGAACTTTGCGGTTTCGAGGGAAGAGCTTGCTCCTCCGCTGCTAAGAGAGCATCACGTTCAGCCTTTTTTCTAGCTGCTTCTTCTTTTTTAAACTGAGCGTCATCCTTCTTCTTATTACCCTTCTTGGCCCCATCTTCCCATTGAGCGGCCTCAGCAGCCTCAGCAGCCTGGTTTTCGGCCTGCTTTTTCTTGCTGGCGTTCTCTGCCTTCTTGGCGTTTCCAGCAGCCTTCTTTGTATTTTCACCTTTTTTTGCCATTAGGTTCCGTAGTCGTCGATCGTGAGTTCCTACATCGGCGATGATGTAAGCGGCGAAAACCACAACGACTAACTAGTGAGACACTAATTTGCTTTAACTTCATTGTTTGTATTCATTCGATTTTGATTTCTTATTTATGTTCATTCTTATCTTCATTTATAGCTCACAACTTTGACGGGCGGAACACAACACGGCCCTTAACCTCGCCTTTGGCAAGCCGCTTCAAGTACTGAGGAAGCTCAGCAAAATCACCATTGGTCACCATTGGCTTGACCAAACCCTTTGTGACCCACTGAAGCAGCTGTTCCTGGCTCGAGGCGGTGCCACCAAACGAAAAAATCACCTGGAGACTGCGACGGGCCGAGTCGTAGTTGCGCAACATCAACTTTGATCTTCCTAAACCCACCACCACAATCTTGCCTCCACTTTGAGCGTATTTTTGACACGAGTCGAAGGTTTCCTGGAACCCACAAAAGTCAAAGCACACGTCGAACAGTTCTGGTTTGTGTGGGCTGGAATTGATGTCTGTATAAAACTCATCGGCTCCACATTGGCGTGCGAACTCCTCCAACTCTGGCTTGACATCGCACGCTACCACATGGCATCCGTAGTTTTTTATGATTTGCACGGCATTGGATCCCAACCCGCCGAGCCCCATAACAAGGATCTTGGCCGTGGGAACCAAATCTGGCTTCACCTTGTGCACAGCATGGAGCGGGGTCAAGACTGAGTCACTGGAAACAGCTGCCATTTCGTAGCTGAGTCCATCAGGAAGTGGAAGCAAAGTGTTGAGGTCTGTGACCAACAAGTACTGCTGGAACCCACCGTCACGATTCAAGCCATAAGCACCGGGAAACTTGCCGTTGCCCGTACAGCAATTGTCATGGCCATTTCGACAATTGGCACAGCGGCCGCAGGTGAGCCCGATACAAACCGTAAACCGATTTCCCACTTTATACCGTGGATCCAGCTCCAATTTCCCACCCACAGCAGCAATCAGCCCTGCGATTTCGTGCCCCATGACAAACGTTTCAGGAACATGGGTTTCTTGCGCCATGAGTATGTGCACATCCGACATGCAGAGACCAACGGCTTCCACCTTGAGGAGCACTTGGTTGTCTTCTGGGTGCGGAACGGGCCAGTCGTCCCTTCTGACAATCTCACGGCTGCCTCGTTTGAAGGTGTAGGCGGTTTGAATGGAGGGAAGCATTGAGTGAAAAAAGTGTGGGGAAATGAAAATCCGGGGAAGCAAATTAGGCTGAAGTTGTCAAAGTAGATGAAACTTGCCTTGATTTAGACTAAATAAGACGGAATGTGAATGTCTGATTCGAGTTAACAAAAAACTTGCAAACAAGGCAATTCCATATCTTTATATTCCCTTCCCCATACGGAGTTGCGCCGAGGCACTCCCCCGCATTTTCGCGAACGGCCAACTACAGCAAAAAAAAAACCAATCAACTACTTTTCTACTCTATGTGCTTTTTTGCTTCTTGGAAATGGGCTCCTCACTCACATCTCTGTCGCCGAGCACAGGCTTCAACGCAGGGGTTCCCAACTCGGCATGGAAATCTTTGATGATGGAATCAACATCGTCAATGTTCAATTGTCTGACATCTCCCAACAACTTGATCTTGGCGGTCACTTCCTTGCACTGTTCGTCGGTCAAGTTCAAGTTCAACTGGTCCACTCTCGACTTGATGGCATTCCATCCAGTCAAACGATTGGCAAAGTGAATATAACGAGTCAATCCGAAATCAGATGGATTGAGAATCTCGTATGTAGAAGGATTGGCCAAAATGGCTTTGGCATGAATACCAGCCTTGTGGGTGAAAGCACAGAAACCGGTGATGGGGTTGTTGAAAGGAATGTTCACCTGAACAGCATCGGCCACCAAATTCTCCAAATCTCTCAACTTATGCAATTTGTACTTGGACAAGACATAGTCCCTGTCGGCGGTGATCATTCTGGCCATCAAAGCTCCCAAAGGAGTGATACCGTTTCTCTCACCAATTCCCAACACAGATACATCAATCAACTTGGCACCGGCTTCCAAAGCAGTGTAAGCATTGGCAATGGCACAGCCTGTATCGTTGTGGAAATGGCATTCGATGTCACAGGTGACTACCGACTTCAAGGTCTTGACCAACTCGTAAACCTGACGAGGGTTGGCACATCCAACGGTGTCGGCAATACCAACACGGTTCACACCAATCTTGTCGACAGTACGGTAGATGTTGAGCAAATCAACGATATCGGATCTGAACGAATCTTCTGACGAAAATCTGATTTCAATACCCTTGGACTTGACAAACTCAATCACCTCGATGGCAGACTGGGCAATGTAGTTCATATCCTTACCGTGGGAATATTGTCTGAGAAACTGAGAAGTTCCAATAACCACATCCACACCATCGACTCCGGTCTCCACCGCAACTCTAGCATCGTCCATATGGCATCTGATATGGGTCAAAATCTTGGCCTTGAGTCCGAGCTTGCAGATGGCTTCACAGTCCTTTCTACTCTGCTCACTGGCAACTGGAGAGGTTAATTCGATGTAATCGACACCAAAATCATCCAAAGCCTTGGCTATTTCGATCTTCTTTTCAGTGGAAAAAAAGGCGTTGGCAAACTGTTCTCCTTCTCTCAAAGTGGACTCTATAACTTCAAACTTGCCGACATTCGACAAGAAGTCGGACGGATTGGGACCATAAGGGTTGGGCATCGACATTATGGGAACAGAATTTTCTGCTGAATAATATATTTCACTTGCTTGTGACTCATGCAGAGAACGGTGTAGCGGGTGTGAGTGACTCATAGGAAAATCGCATTTCTATACTATACAAGCTAATATACCGTAGACACCATTCGAACAAATCTGTAGAGTTCCAGCTTCATCCGGAGCACCTCTGTGTCTTTAATGGACACTTTGCCGTTCATACGTGAAATTATCTTTCTTGTCACTGCACTAATCTCTTGGTTGGAGAGACCGGTGATTTGAGGAAAGTCGCGCACGATACGGTCTCTGGTTAAAGCAAGCTTGAAACAGCCCACGATGAGTTTCCGCAAAGTAAAGTCCATACCATTGTAGTTGGCCATGTTGTTGCACTGGTTCAAGTAGCGGAGCAAATAGACAATATCCATGTAACGGAAAAGGTAGATTATACTCTTCATGAACTCCACTAACGACACCTGAAGTCTACTAGTTAGTATGAGAAGAAACTTGTCCAAGGGCAACGACCCGTCGATCCGTGAAGCCTGTTCAGGAGGGAACGAATTTTTGATCTTGGCAGCGATGTACTTGACGATAACCGTCATCACCTGGTCTCTTTCCTGTTTCAAGCGAGTGCTGTTCTTTTCGTTATTCTCGTTTTCAACGCCACTTTTAGTTACTTCGTTTTCGGCTTCGTCTTCCTCCGAATCCGAAACGAGCAACGGAACATCATCCACCAATTCACTCATCACCGAGCCCTGCGACTCGGGCGCAGACTCGTCACACGAGTCAAAATCCATTTTGCTGACTAGCACGGCATCGGCCGGCGGTTTCACTGCACTGGGACACACACTGGGGAAGGCTAGACCCGACTCTGGGCGGTAATTTATGATCATTATTTTATGTGGTTTCTCCTGATCAAAAGCTCGAAATTGTTCCGATCCTGTTGTACAAAACTAGACACGTGGATCCAGCTTAGCACTTCATTGTGATGTGAATAAAACGGCCTGGAGAAAAAACTAAAAAGAAATCGGCGTATCAGTTGATGATAGCACTAAAATTCAGTTGATGAACCACAAGAATACAAGAGAAGAGGAATCCGCGCGCGAAGAGACCTGAGTCATTGGCCGCGGCACCCAAACACCACCAGAAAAAACTGTGGCGGTGCGCGCACGCCCCCTCCGCTCTCAAAAATTTCCTTAACCTCTCACTCAGCCTGTCAAAAATTGGTGCTCTGGTGTTTCTGCTGAGTGTTCTATTATCCCCCATGGAACCCATGAACAGCCGTGCCCGTGGCTACAAGGATGCTGTCAAGGCGCTCAATTCGTTGCAGTCCAACTTTGCCACCATAGAAGCCACGAAAAAATTGGGTCCTAGTGTCAATCGAAATGAGGTTTCGCTCAGGGAGGTTTATGAATATACTCGTCGTTTAGGTTACAAACCAGAAGATTTCAACAAACTCAACTTGATCCATGTGACCGGCACGAAGGGCAAGGGGCTGACGTGTGCGTTCACAGAGTCGATTTTGTCACAATATCAGGGAAGTAATGGACCCATAGGAAAGATTGGACTTTTCACTTCGCCCCATTTAAAGTCTGTTCGAGAGCGGATTCGGATCAATGGCCAGCCCATTAACGAGCTCAAGTTTGCCAAGTACTTTTTCGATGTTTGGGACCGGTTATCTTCAACCGAATCGTCGCCCGATGAGTTTCCGCACTTGCAGCCATGCAACGAGGTTAAGCCAATGTACTTCAAGTATTTGACCATTATGTCGTTCCATGTGTTTATGAGCGAGGGTGTGGACACAGCCATCTACGAGGTGGGCATTGGGGGCCACTACGACTCCACAAATATAATAGACACCCCGGTGGTGACTGGTATATCTAGCTTGGGTATCGACCACACTTTTATGCTTGGAAACACCATTGAGTCTATCACGTGGAACAAGACGGGAATCTTCAAGAAGGGTGTTCCTGCGGTGGTTAGCGAGCAGGTAGAACACCCGGAGGCGATTGAATTTATTAAAGAACGAGCAAAAGAGCGCCAAGTTTCGTCTTTGGAAATAGTGTCACCAAACATCTTGCCCACCCACCAGAAGTTGGGATTAGCTGGAGACTTCCAACGCCAGAATGCAGCGTTGGCGGTGAAATTGGCAGCAATTCGGTTGGAGAAACTCGGCGTGCCTCTGGATGAGTTGCCAAATTATGAGGAAGCACTTCTTCCCGACAAGTTCATCAGCGGGTTGGAGAAAACTCAATGGCCCGGTCGGTGTCAGATCATCAAGGATAAGCCAGGATTCGAAAAAATCACCTGGTACATTGACGGCGCGCACACCATTGAGTCTATGGCTGTGGCTTCAAAGTGGTTTGCCCAACAAATGGAAACAAGTAAACCGGCTGCAAATAACATCAAGGTTCTTCTTTTTAATCAACAGAATAGAGAAAATGCCGGGGATTTGCTCGTCAAGCTTTATGAAGTGATGGCGTCTTCCAAATTCAGATTCAACCACGTTATTTTCACCACCAATGTCACCTGGTCAAGTGGTGACTACAACGCCGATCTCGTCTCCATGAACACCTCCAAAGACCTTGTCGACAAGCTCGTGGTCCAGAAAATGCTTGCTGGAATATGGAGCGAGCTAGACCAGAAGAATAATGCCAGCACTCGCAAACACATTCTCCATGAGATAGAAACCAGTGCAAACTTTATCAAGAGTTTGACCAACGAGGCCGACGTCGATGTGTTCGTTTGTGGCTCCTTGCATTTGGTCGGAGGTGTTCTTGTAGTTCTCGACAACGAGCACGATTGAGCGACCATCCTACATAATTTTCTATTATACGGTGTATATTATTTCCCGTCGTACATCTCCATTAAGCGTTATTATTGTTGACGATACTTTCTCTCGAAGCATTCACAATCTCATCTATGTTTTCCAATGCGTTCTTCCACTCGTTCAAGATCCTTCTCACGGCATCCCAGTTCTTACTGTTGTCATGGCCAGCCAAGATTAACCGGTTAACTCGAGTCAAGTAAAACTTTTGGTCCGATTGACTCAATCTGCCGTCAACTACTCCTGCTTTGAGCGAGTTCACCACCAACATCTCAAACTGTTCAGGAGACTCACTCAAGGTGGAAGGAAAGTCGCTGTAGTTGAAAACGAGCTTGTCGTCGTTATCAATCAAAAATTTGGCCAACACCAAAATTTTTGATTTTTGAACAATGGGCTCAAGCGGAAGTGTAGATGGAACGGTTGTGAGAAGCTTTCCGGAAGTATAGTCGACGAAAATTTGCACCACACTATCGCTGGAATTTGCTTGGATGGCCTGAGCCACGTTGTTGTTGACCAAAAACGACACATCGACAACCTCCGACACCAACGCAAACTTGATCAAAGTGTGTAATTGTTCAAGGTTTAAAGTGTATTGCGATGTGAACTTTTTTATGAGTTGCAAAGACCCCAAGCTGGCCTTTTTGTCCAAGGTGATAAACTTCCAGAACAAAGCCTTGATCTCGTCAGACGAAGCTCCAGTTTTGGCGAGCCATTGTACGAGGTTGTCTCCAATCGACGATTCCATCAACAGGAAATCCAACGACGAGTTCTCATATATGTATAATATTTTCTCCAAGACTGTAATTCTGGTTCTGGATGTCTCAGGAATGAAGTTGAAAATGGTGTTCAATACTGAAAGAATGCTGGTGGACTTGATAGACTTACGGTCTCTCAACGATGGCGCCTGTTTGGGATTGCAGTCTAACAAATTCTGGACAACCTGAGAATTTCCACCAACCACTTTTTCGATAGAGCCTTCAAGTTGTAACAAAATGTACACGATCAAGTTGAACGCAGGTTCAAACTCCTTGTCCGACAACTGAGCCAAATTTTTGGGCGAAGATGATTCAACAATTTTGGTTTTCAATTCGGACGTGTTGATGATTTCGTTAGTGTAGGGTTTTATGAATGGTTGCAATGACTCAGAAAACAGGACGGACTCGTTGACCGAGTCGATGATCTGCCCATACTCCTTGAGGCATCCAGCCAAGTCGTTGTCTACGACGATTACTGAAGTCATGGTGTCTCTAAACTAGAATGCTGAAAAATTTTCGATACCGTGCGACATCCTGTTTTGGGAGGTGCGCGAGCAATGTGAGTCCTGATAGTAGAGGTCTCCATATCTTAGTCCTCATCTTCCTCGTCAATAATGACAAATTTGGTTTCGTATAGATTGCCTCCCGTGGGAGTTGCGCCTCGATGCTTTTCTGCCAGAGAATCGATGTTTTTCATTGGCTTGGGTTTGGAATATGTTTTGGTGGTTAATGGAGGTGACTGAGAACGAGGCACTACTGGGGCAGAACCATTAGAACTGACATCCAAAAAGTTGAAACCGGTCGGGGCATTATATGCGTTTCCGTTCAGACTGAGATCTGGGGTTCCTGGCCGAAAAACGCTGGCCGCAGTCACCTGGGGAGTATTGGCAAGACGAGAGAAAGAACCGTTGTCTGCCTTTTTCAGTCTCTGGCCTTCATCCGACGAGTTACTCGAGAGCCGTGACATGGAAGACCGCTTGCGGTGACCGGAATGGTGTCTAAGTCTCGGAACAGAATTTTGAGAGGTCAATTGAGGTCCAGTAGCATTGGTGGAAGTGGACAAAATCGACATATCTGACGACATGTTTCGTCTGTAACTTGGTCGTCTCTTCTGAGGTACTAAGGCTCCAGCCGAGCCACGATTATGCTGTAACTCGTGCTGTGAGGCATTGATGGAAGACTCATATGCTCCATCTTCGTCGTATTCGGCGTACTCGTCCATGGAATCACTCATTTCTGTCTCGTCCATATCCAATTCCGATTCAGATATCATCGTCAGAAGCTGACTCAAATGGCTCAATTGACTCTGCTGTGAGATTACAGAGGAGGGTCGAGTCCGATAAGTTCTGGTCCCGTTCAACAAGGTATTGCCGTTCTCGAGGTTCTCCACTGGTGGAACACCCGATCGAGGTGAAGGCGAGTTTACGTCGGCATGATCTTCAATGTAGTTGATAGTGGGGATTTTTTCAGATGGAGCCAAAATTGCACCGTCGTCCATCTCAGATTTGTTGCTGAACTGTTCGAGAGTTTGCAGCTCCGGAGACCTATCGTCTGTATTTTTGGTTCGTTTCCAGAATTGAAGCTTGTTGAGGATCTTTGAGTTTTTGGGTCTTTTACTGGTGCTTTCTTCAGAATAGAGACTCATTCCCGTTCCTTTGGATGACTGCTTTTCGGTATCGGGATAAAAAGAAACGGTTCTGTTCAAAACGTTCCCGTTTTCTATTCCTTGTGCTGATCTATTATTCAATTTTTCGTTCATAGAATAGTGTTTTTTTGTCCCATCTAGTCGACTGTCAGTTGAGAGTCGAGGAGACGCCATTTTCGAAATGTTCGTTCGGCTGTTGTTGCGGTTGGATCCTATGCTCAACGAGGATATAATGCGCTCCAAGGGCTGGGTTCCACCTTGTTCTGAAAGCGAAAGTGCGCTCTTAAATCTGTCTCTGGACCGTCTCAAAGACATTCTTGCGTCGTTATACTTTTTCTTCTTTTCTTTGTAGTAGCGTTTTTTGGCAAATTCATGTTTGAGAGAAAGCTCGTAGAATGCTGTCAACGAGTTCATCTGACGGTTTTGTACGCTGCTTTTGAGATGGTCGACATCGATGTTCAACTTGCGAAACCGCTTCAAAAGATGGCGCTCAACCTTTGACTCGAAAGGCTGACCCGGGTCGTTGTACCACTGGGTGATGGACACGATGGAACCGGCGTCGGTGTGGATGGAGGACCGCGATCTTCGGTGATGGTTGTGATCCATGAGAAGAGATGAGTTTTGCACTTCACTCAAGGAAGCTCTTTGACGGGGATCTTTGCAAAGCATGCGCTGAATGAGCAATATAACTTCATTAGGAACTCCACTTCTGTATTCGGGCTCGTCGTGGATGATTTTAAACTTGGTTCGAAGGTCGTCATCCTCATCAAACGGCATCACTCCATAGAACATGGTGTACAAAATCACCCCAAGAGCCCATATATCGGCGGCGAAGCCCGAGTAGTTTTCGTTCTTGAGCAATTCTGGCGCCATATATACGGTGGTGCCGCAAACAGTCGAGAGCAATTTCCGTTGGCGTGGGTCGTACTCTCTAACAAAGCCAAAATCCGTCAACTTGACCACGGTCTTTTTCTTGTCAGCAAGAAGGATATTTTCGAGCTTGAGGTCTCGGTGAGAAAGGTTGAGCTTATGCACATACGATATACCCATCACGATCTGGCTGAATATTCTCTGGCACTCTTCATATGTGAGTCGTCGTTTTTCGTAGATATAATAAAAAAGCTCATTGCCTTCACAGTATTCCATTACTAGCCAAAGATGGCTCTCTGTTTTAATTACCTCGTAGAGTTTGACGATATTTTTGTGTTTGAGTTGTCTATGGTAGAACACCTCTCGTACTATATTGGGGTCGTCAATCAAGCCACATTTAAGCACAACCTTCACATTGAGGATTATATGCATGGCTAGGTACACTTTACCGAAAGCACCTTCTCCTATCTCATCGATAATACGATAACATCCGATCTGATTGACTGCTGGTGACGTGATGTGGATGTAGAAATCGTTGAATTGTGCGGCTAGTTGCGCCTTTTGCTGGGTTTGTTTTCGTTCCATAAGAAACCCCGAGGTCGGAAACCCACTACTAGTTGTTTAAATTGGCCGAAACTTGCAAAATGATAGAGTTTCTATGCCCTGTAACTGTCGTGTAGTTGTAACGCAACTGATTCCAGCTGCAGGATACTTCAATTTCGCTGCGAAAAATGTCGCTTCGGCATCGAGTTGCATGTATGGAATAACAAGGTTATACCGACCGTGGTCGACTTGCGGACATGTAAATGCTTTGCTGGTGTTCCAAAAGCTGGTGAGGTCAGCAGTGAGTCCTGTAAAGTTGCCAAATCGTTTATATCTGTCGAAATCAAGCGAAACTCTCCACTCGATAGCATCCCAGCTGATCCAAAATGTGGCCAAAACTTTACAAAAACGAGCATTTGCGCCTCCTCTCGCATACTTGAACACACTCAATCACGAAGATTCCAAAACCCTAGTATCGGAACTCTCACAAAAAGTTGAAAAGCAACTTGAGTCTTTTCGCAGCAATGACCATCAGCCAGTAGCTCCAGTTAGTTTCATCAATCCTCGACTACAGAACGTCGCTGGCATCATCCAGGATGTTGCCGATGGCAGGAGTTCCAGACGAGATACTTCAGATCTACAATTTTCGAAACCACGAAGAAACATTGGATTCTATCATGGCCAAGCTACTCTACAAAGAATACATTGAACAGAACCTCTACACTATTCAGCCTCAGAATTCGCTGGTAGATCTTTCGAGCCCAGCGTCGTGGTTTCCGGAAGCCAGGAAAATGAAGCGTAAGTTGGTTCTTCATGTGGGACCAACCAATAGTGGTAAGACCTACAACTCACTCCAAGAGCTCGCCAAGTCAAAGTCAGGTTACTATGCGGGGCCCCTCCGGTTGCTCGCGAGAGAGATCTACGAGAGATTCAACCAGCAGGGAATCCGGTGCAATCTTATCACTGGAGAAGAGGTGGTTCCATCGATCGACGAAGTGGGTAAAGTCAGTGACATTTCGTCCGGAACAATCGAGATGATTCCTCTTCACAAACCGATGGATACATGTGTCATAGATGAGATTCAGATGATTGCCGACGACAGACGAGGCTCAGCATGGACAGGTGCCGTTTTAGGGGTTCAGGCCAAAGTAATTCACATGTGTGGAGAGCAGAGTGCAGTTCCTTTGATCAAGAAACTAGCCAATATAACAGGAGATGAACTTGAAATTAAAACCTACGAGAGGCTTGGAAAGTTGACTGTGGCTCAAAAAGAGCTTCATCTGTTGAAAAAGTTGGCCAAAGGTGATTGTGTTATTGCATTTTCAAAGCGGAAGATTCTTGAGCTCAAGTGCGAGATTGAGAAAATGACAAAGTTTCGTGTGGGGGTTATTTATGGAGCACTTCCACCTGAAATTCGGTCTAAGGAAGCCAATGGGTTCAACAGTGGCCAGTATGATATTCTAGTAGCCTCAGATGCCGTTGGAATGGGTCTTAATTTGAAAATCAAGCGGGTGGTATTTTTCACAACTACAAAATTCAACGGCAGTGAGACGGTTCCGCTTACAGCATCTGCTACAAAGCAGATAGCCGGGAGAGCTGGGCGGTTTAGTGCTGGGAAAGGTCAACTGGAAGGATTTGTCACGGCATTGAAAGCCAAAGACTTGAGACATGTACGCAAGATGATGGCCGAACCCAATCAAGATCTCGTGAAAGCATGTATTTGGCCCACCAACAAAATATGGATGCTTTATATGAGCAAGTTCCCACAAGGAACGTCGTTCTATGAGATCTTGAGTCAATTTGCCCACGAGACCGCCGATGTCAAAATGTCCGATTTCTTCGTTACCGAGCTTGATGAACGATTTGACATTTTGAAACTTTTTTTGAAAAAAGATTTGTTCAAAAAGACAATGATCGAGGACCAACTCACACTCAGTTTGGCACCAATCAACATTCGCATGGCTTCAAAATTGATTGTGGATACCGCCTTTGATTTCTTCGAGACCATCTCCAAGTGTGAGACAAAGACTATATTTGACTTTCATTTTTTGCACACAAAGTTGCTCGAACAAGAACCTCGCAAATCCACAACCGCAGAGGAAACCGTGGAGCGACTTCGTCTCCTTGAAGAAAATCACAAATTGGTATTAATTTTCTTGTGGCTCAGTCAACGGTGGCCGACTCTTTTCGTGGATAAAGAGAGTGCTACAGACGTGAAGACATTGATCGAAAAGAGAATTAGCGAAGAACTTATCAACCTCCGCCAAACTATGAAGAAGACTCGGCGGAGGAGATAAATTGTAGATAGCATAAACGTGGAAATAGCAATTTGTAGATAGTTTTGTTAATGGTTGCAAATAGCATTGTAGGTTAGTCGTGGTTCCCCACAATTTGTGCGCGCCCCCACGCCAACCCCCACGCTCGCCGTTTTGCCAATACTAAGATTGTTACACCGACTATTATTCTGCCCGCCATGACCCAAAACACAGTAATTGTTGTCGGAGGACCCGCTGGGACCGGCAAAACTACCATAGCAGAGCTCTTGAGTGCTCAATTTGCGTGTCCATTTATTGAAGGAGATTCGCTTCATCCTCCGGAAAATATTGAAAAAATGTCCAAAGGCATTCCACTTACGGACGAAGATCGATGGGGTTGGTTAAGACAGTTAAGTGAGGAGGCGTCAGAGAAGGCTATTTCGCCCGAGAACAAGTCCAAGATTTGCATTGTGCTGTGTTCTATGTTGAAGAGGGTGTACAGAAGCTACATCAAAAAATCGAGCAGTGAAAAATTTCCTCACAACGAATTGAAGTTTCGGTTTTTGTTCCTCCACACCACGTTTGAGGATCTCATGAAGCGTGTGAGTGGAAGGAAGGGCCATTACATGAAATCGGACATGGTCAAGTCGCAATATGATATTATGGAGATTCCCAATGGGGACGAGTTGGTTGCGAATGGAGGAGAGTGTTTGGCAGTGGACACCACGAACAAGACACCAGAGGAGATTTTACGGGATATTATAAACCAAATAAACTAATTGAATATCAACAGTTCCAAATTCCTTGGTTTCAGCCACGTCTCACACCAGTATGGCAAGTAATGGCTGCGGCGGTTTCCGCATTGGGCATCTCAGCTCTAAATTACCGTTCAAGCATTGATACCAAGAATTGGTTCTCTTTCTCTCAAAAACACGTTGTATGCTCTTCTCGTATCGCTCATCAACCCTATCTCTTCAACGGCCAATTTAACTCATCATACCGCCCACCATGTGAATTCTCCAATGCATAGCTTCCTATTTAAGCTTTCGCAATCTGCAGTTCTCACGTAAAAAGATTGCCGTAAATTGTGCAGGTACCCCGAGTCTACGCCATGTCTCCCCCAGGCTTCGATCCCCTGTCTCTCCCATATTACGACCCGGAGATCGACAGAAGGGTAGCTTTCATAACCGGTGGAAACAGTGGCATCGGATGGTACACCGTTCTTGAGCTTTTCCTTCATGGATATGTGGTTTACATTGCTGGCCGAAGCAAGAACCGAGTGTTAAAATCGATCAAAGAAATCAGGGAACGAGCCGCCACGATTCGGGAATCGTACACGGACGAGGAGCGTGAGACTCGGTTCTTGGGCGAGGTTTTTTTCTTGGAAGCAGACTTGTTGAATCTCAAGTCGGTGACTGCTGCTGTGGATACGTTCAAATCGGTAGAAAATTACCTTAATATTCTTGTCAACAATGCCGGGGTGATGGCGCTTCCATATGCCATGACCGAGGACGGGTTCGAGATCCAAATGCAAACTAATTATGTGGCTCCTTTCTTGCTCACCACAAGACTACTTTCTCACCTCGAAAACACAACCCACCTATTTCCCCCATCTGATCCTCCGCGGATCGTCTACGTCAGTTCCATCGGCCACCAGTTTGCCTTCTACTACTTCAACATGAACCTGACGTTCAACTACTTCCCCAACATAATTTTCACCTGGTTCCGATATGGCCTCGCCAAAACCGCCGGTATCCACTTTATGAAAATGCTAGCTTTGCGTAACCCGCTGGTCCTCTGTATGTCTGTCCACCCTGGGTTTGTCATGAACACCAACCTATTCTCATACTGGACTCGTCTTCCAATAATAGGCATCATGTTCTGGTGTTTTTTCCAAGTTTTTGGCTACTTTTTTGGCGTGTCGGTTCCTGATGGCGCCAATGCCACCGTCAAGTGCTGTCTTGATCCCAACCTTTCTCTCGAGAAGGACAATGGCAAGTACTATGCCGTGGATGGTGTGGAATCTACCCCGTCAAAGATCGCATCGAACATGGATTACGCTGCTCGAACGTGGATTTGGACCGTCCACAGCCTCAGTGAGAGAAACATATCCATCGATTGTTAGCATACCCTTCTCCCGCAAACTACATTGTCTCTAGTTTAGCTTAATATTTAATGTCACTGAACTGTAGCCTCTAGACATTTCTAGCCTTAGCCATTCAGTCTGACTTCTATACATTAGTCTGAGTCACTCCTATAGTCGCTGTCGTCGTTGTACTCCCGTTTTCTCCGCTCTTTGGCGACAAACTCTTGTATTTGTTCATCGGACAATTTGAGCTCGTGCTTGCAAAAGTACTCAAAAAAGTCGTCGAGATCGGGCTCGTCCAAGTCCGGTTCGTCCAGATCCGGTTCGTCTTCATTCAATTCCTGGTCACTGAGCTCCCCTGTCGTCTCGAGCATTTCCCGTAGATGTGTGGCAATCTCTTCATGTTCAATTGGAGCCTCGTAGTTTTCGTCGTTGAACAATTCGAATTTTTCAGGCACAATTTCCTTTAGTCGACCTCTCAGCACCAACTCTTTCTGGTAAGATGATCTACTTAGATCAATGCTACTTGCCCCTTGCTTTTCGTTTGGTTTCTGGTCGCCCACCACTCCCCGATCGACCAAAATCTGGTATCCATAAGTGAGCCACTGTGATACCATTTCGGATAGAGAACCAGTATTATGAAACTTCACCATTTCAATTGTAAGCGCCGGCAAGCCCACAGTATACGGCAGCTCTCCCGAATCGATATCCATGGACTCAACCACACTTTTCGACTCCGAAGCTGCTAAAATGGCTCTACTTGCTAGCCATGGCTGGAGATGAAAATGACTAGCCAATTCTTTTGTCAAGCTTATATCTGGAATATCGTGAACTAGTTCGAGATAGTAGTTCGATATCAGACTCATTTGCTTTATAAAAGCGCCACTAAGCTGCTTTTCTTCACCGAAAAGACCAACCTTTATCATCTTGATAGACTCTTCCAACAGCAACCTGGCAGAGTCCTCTTGACTCAAATATAGCTTTCCATGGTGCAACCAGCACCTATTTCTCGAGTTCAGAGGCTCGAGCCATTCTGGCTTTGTTTCGTAGTGTTCTACTAGCACAAATTCTCCATCGGTGGAATCCCACAAATAAATATACGAATCTACCGTTTGCAGAAATTCCCATAAAAGTCTCACTAAAAGCCATTCATCGTTAACATTTGCGTCGTAGACAAGATTCCCGTACAAGTACCGGTTAGAATTGTACGAATGCAATGCAAAATTAGGTGGAGAATGGAACCACGGATACCTTGAAAAAGGCACCATATATTTTTGGAGTTGATCAAATACGGCTGAAATGTTATCATCCACTATCCAGAACGCCATAGTGGCTTGCTCAAACACCCCGGGATCATCGTCCTCTAGCCAAATATGGGCGGAATCGAGACCCTTGGAATGGGTCATAAGACATGCGAGAAGTGAGAAAGAAGTGAGAAGCGAAACGCGAAGAGTGAGATGAGATGAGAAGTGAGCGAGCAATGAGAAAGGAGAATTAGATTGAGAGAGATGTGAGAAAGAAGAATTGAGAGAGAATTGATAAAACAAAGATACCTCAATTGATCTACCTAGAGCTTGTAATCCTTGTCGAGCTTCTCTATGACGACGGCAGATGCTCCACCACCTCCGTTACACACAGCAGCCAAACCAATCTTTCCTCCTTCTTGGTTCAACACCGACAACAAGGTGACGACAATTCTGGCACCCGAGCATCCCAATGGGTGGCCCAAGGCGACGGCTCCTCCGTAGACATTGAGTTTTTCTTGTGGAATATCACAGATCTTGGCATTGGCAATTCCAACAACAGAGAAAGCCTCGTTCAACTCAAAGAAGTCAATGTCCAGTTGAGATAACTTGGCATGCTTCAAAGCCTTTGGGATGGCCAACGATGGAGCCACGGTGAAGTCCAAAGGAGCACGAGCAGCCTCACCCCAGCCGGAGATTCTGGCCAAGGGAGTCAACTTCAATTCCTTCAACTTGGATTCGGAAACCAAGATCACGGCAGCTCCACCATCGTTCAACTTGGAGGCATTGGGGGCGGTCACAGTACCGTTTTCCTTCTGGAACACGGTTCTGGCTGACTTGAGTCTCGCCTCGTTGAAGTTTTTCACCTCTTCGTCCTCCGACACCACCACATCTGGTTTTCCACGAACACCTTTGATGGTAATTGGGGCCAATTCCAGGTCAAATTTTCCGGATTTTTGGGCACTGGCGGCCTTGGAGTAAGACGAGGTGGCAAAAGCATCCTGGTCTTCTCTGGTCACACTGTAATCCAGAGCACATTTTTCGGCTGCAACACCCATCAATTTTTGCGAGTAGACGTCCAACAATCCATCTTTCTGGACTCCGTCCACCATGGTGGAATCTCCATAGCGAGCTCCGCCTCTGGCAGAAGGCAAGTAGTATGGTGTGTTAGACATGGATTCGGCACCTCCAGTAATAACGATATCAGCACTTCCTGTCAAAATCGACTGAGCTCCCAAGATGATAGACTTCATTCCTGAAGCACAAACCTTATTAATGGTGGTAGCAACGATGGATTCAGGTAACCCAGCCTTGAGAGCGACCTGGCGTGCGGGCGCCTGGCCCACATTGGCCTGTAAAACTCCTCCAAACAAGATTTCATCAACCTCTTCTGGCTTGATTTGTGGCACTTTTTCAAGTGCAGCTTTGACGGCGTGGCTTCCCAAGTCGGTGTAAGTCAAGGACGATAATCCGCCCTGGAAGGACCCAATGGGAGTACGTGCGGTGGAAACAATGTAGACTGACATATTTGTGGATTGGGACAAATGCAACGGTTTTATACGTTTGCAGACTGTCGCGCCGAGGCTACGAAGGAACGAGCCTCGGTTATATGCAGGACTCGCACCGGTACCACATTAGTGAGCAAAAGCGGTTTATTATTTTTGGCTGCGAAATTTATTACTATCCAGAATACTTGGACTTTGCTCTAATGCGTGGTCCCAAAGTATAAAATGTTACGGGAATGGCTATCATGCCAACACAGATCAATGCCAAGATTGTACTTCCCCAAGCAACTGGAAACTTGTTGGTTTTAAGATTGTTGAAGAGCGGTGCTCCGAAGAGCGGAAAGCAACCAGCCATTACAGATCTCAAAAGCGCACTTCCACCAAATGCAGAAGCGATATAGCGTGGGAACGACATTGCCATGTAGTTGAATAGGGCCTGGATCACAATAAATCCTCCTGCTCCGAACAAGGCAGCTCCAATTAAACAGCCAATCCAATGTTGGTTGGCGCTGGCACTCCAGCCAAAAATAAAGATTCCAATTGGCATCACCACACTTGCTACGATTGTAGGTGGTAGGAACAATTCTGGGGTCAAGTTTTGGGTTTTTCCTTCAAGGTGTTTTTTGGTGTACACTTTGTACATGTATGCAATGTAAAACCAAGCTGAGATGAACATTCCAATGGGTACACTTGAGTAGGTGACACCCAACTCGACCAATGTGAACCCATAGGTGTCCAAAAACACTGTGGGAAATGCCTCGAACCACAAGAAAATGATGGAGTAGATCAAGGCTATGTACAAGTCTATCAGAAGAGCCACTGGTTCGAACACCATGATCTCAATTGGTCTCCACAAGGTGTCAATTGCAACTTCCCTTGGAGTCATACTTTGGTTCTCCAATTCTCCCTCACTGACGATATTTGGGTTTCCTGTGAGTGCTCTAAGTCTCTGAGCCTTTCGGCGCAAGATGGCCTTTGCCAGAGTTTCAGGTAAAGTGAACCCGAAAAAGAGAAACGAAGCTCCAGATATTATCATCATGAACCTGAGAGTCCAGAGCCACAGACCATTCGCAGCGTTAATGATGGCTGAACCAACTAATGGTCCAAGGGTAGGACCACATATACCTGCCATACTCCAGGCAATAATTCCCATTGGCATATAAGGCACCGTCACCACATCACTGGCACTAGCACCACCGGTTCCCAAGGCTGGAGAAGCAAAAATTCCAGCGATAAATCTAAGCACAGTAAGTGAAGCTAGGGAATGAGTTGCTGGTCCAAAACTCTGGGGAATCAGAAGAATGAAAAAGAAGAAGACCGTGACAATATAAATGGAGGTTCGACCAAGAGCAGCATTTTCTGACATAGGAGAAAAGATCATTGGTCCGATTCCATATCCTATGACGAACATTGCCAATGGTAACGTCGCTTTCACTCGGGTTATATCAAGATCCGCCATCATGTACTCGATTCCTGGAGTGTAAATCGCCGAACCCATGTACACCGAGTCGGTCATAATGCCAATTCCCAGGATGAAAAGAATTTTTTTGTATATCGGCCAATTGTAAGGATTATCTGGGTCATTTGGTCCATCATAGTCTACTATAATTGGAGCATCTTCTGCTTTGGCTTCGGGCTTGCCTTCACAGATTTTGGCTCCAGTAACTTCATTGCCTAGAGTCAGCGAACTTTGAACCTCTTGATCCAAGAACTCCAAGCTCCGGCCATTGAGATACTTTTCAGGTATGACATAGTCTGGCTTTTCTTCCTTGTATCCCAAGATTTTGTGCCCAGATGCATGGTACAACAACCGACCGAAAAAACTGTCTCTGACGAACCTCATGATCCCAAAGGATACTTGGTCCTAGTTGGATGTTTAATGCTCTTTTAAGCTTATGTTGCTCGCTTAGAGACCCGTTTCTTGACTCGTTCACATTGTCAATTAGTAATCCCAAGGCGATTGAATTCATCCTACAATTTGCTCATAAGCTGGTGAAGCCAAGCATATACATGATGCAATCCCGATATCTCCTTCTGGACCAATCATTCCCGATACAGTATTTTCGTGGTGCGAACGGCTGAACGAGCGGCGGCTGCAAAAAGAGAACGAAATCACCTTTTTGAGATTTGAGGAAATTTTTCACTTGAAAAAAAATTTTGAGTCTCGCCCAAAAAAAGCCTAAATCCTTGTCGAAACTGAGCATGAGTCTTAATTAATGTAGTGGTTCCGCAGTCTCCATTATAGTAGATGGCGTTACTGTTAATGCTTCTTACTGGAGGTCGATTTTTCACCGCTTTTATAATTTTGTGGTATGGTTAAGAACTGTACTGATTGATGAGGTAATTCTTTTGATAGCACTATCTATCGAGCTTCATTGTAGCTAATCTGAACTAGTTGAGGACTTAGGACCTGTTACAAAACGATTATGCCTTCTTGTCTTTCAAGCTGGTATCTTTTAGCAGCTTTGTTTGAATGCAGGATTGCTCGCTCAAACCAATGAAAAACTAACCTGGAACACCTTATACCATGTTGATGCTTACCCCTGTTCGTTTTCGGGTTTTCCTGCCTCGTATACCATTGTTGGGCCGTGCCCTGTTGCATTCCTCTCCATTATTGTCACAAAAGTTACCTCCTAATACTCCTGTCACTCCTCCTTCTGGGTCCAAGATTCTCGACAAAATTCCCCGATTTCTTCATCCTTGGACAAAACAGTTTGTAAACGCCCCCATTTCCCACGTCACGTCTTTCTTGATCCTTCATGAAATCACCGCCATCGTGCCGCTCGTAGGAATATGGTATTTGTTTCACCATTACAATTGGATGATTCCAATGGATTTACCCCATTGGGCAATTCAGAAGGGAACCGCTGTAATTGACAAATCCATGGCTCGGTTCGACTTCGGCGACTACTCATTGCAAGAAAAAGCTCGGTTTATAATGGAAGGGGCATATTCGTACGTTCTTGTCAAAGCAATGTTTCCTGTGCGACTTTTCTTCAGCTTGACCATGATGCCGTTTTTCGCCAAATACGTTGTTATCCCATCTACTGGCATATTCAGACGCTTGTTCAAGAAAAAGCCAACCGCTGCATCGAGTCCAGTGCCAGCCGAGCCTCAACTTAAACCTAAGAAAGTCAACAAACCTCGGTTGTAGTACATAGTATACCGAATGAATAATGATCATGCAATCTATTTGTATCTCGATACTTAGTGTACATAGTGCTCGTAGCCTCGTTACTCAAGAGTCACCGCCAACTGCTCTTCCGTCATTGGCGTAAACCCGTCCAAAGTATGGGCACCACTCAGCAACCTCAACCGCCCATAAGCAAACTCTGGAATCAATTGCCTGTTCAACAGAGGATTCACCGACAACTCTCTATCGTCAAAGTCGAACAACTCTGGCAAGTCTTTTATGTCGGGCTGACTCGAATACAATTGGTAGTTCGCATTGTTTTGATGACTGTGCGAAGACACCGACGCCGAGCTATGATACTGCTGTGAAAACAACTTTCTATAATTCGGAAGTTTTGTTTGAGGGTTGCGGAGCTCATCAAAGTATGGATCCACCAATGCCTCGATACACGACACACGATCCACTGGTGAATACTGCAACACTTTGGTCAAGAATTGAATACAATCGTTGGACATTTTCTTAAATATCTTCGATAATGGGATAGGTTTTATCTGGGGGAACTTGTGCTCCATGTAATTAGGGTTCATGTTGCGAATTTGTTCCTTAGATGGAGTTCCCAAAATCTTGATAATCTCCACCAATTGGTCGATACCGGATTCTCCAGGGAACAACGGCTGTCCCAAAATTAGCTCGGCCATTACACAACCAGCAGACCACACGTCGATCTTGGTGGTGTAAATTGTAGCGCCAAAGATAAGCTCGGGAGCACGGTAGTACCGAGAGCAAATGTACGACACATTAGGTTCGCTAGGGTTCAAGATTTTTGCAGAACCAAAGTCACAAAGCTTGAGTTCACCAGTGTCAGCGTTGACAAGCAAATTTTGAGGCTTGATGTCTCTATGACAAATACCCTGCGAGTGGATAAAGCTGAGAGCTCTGAGCATTTGATAAGTGTAGAGCTTTACCTCCAAAGGAGGCATAGATAAACGCTTGGATACATAGTAATGCAGTGCACGATAGAGGGTTTCCGGCACAAATTCCAAGATCAAATTGAGGTACAACTCGTTTTTTTCATTGTGTTTGTAGAAGTAATACTTCATGTCAACAACGTTGCGATGATGAACCAACTTCATAATCTGAAGCTCTCTATTTTTGAACCGCTTATCTTGCAATATCCGCTTAATAGCCGCAATTTCGTTGGTGGGCAAAATCTGCGTCTGGAACACCACTCCAAAAGAGCCGTGTCCCACCATTTGAGATTGAGTATATTGAATATCTCTAATCTCGCCATTATGGCCGTCTGTTACCCGCTCGGTAATGACTTCTATTTTGGACATGTTAGTACAACAATATAAGAATTTTTTGGTTCCTCAGCAACAAATCAAGCAGAGTTTGAAAAAAAGATATAAAAGGAATGAATGGATTGTATGCCGACCAGAAACAACTTTAAGGCTTGAAAAAAGAAAATGACTGTTCAAAGAGTGGTGAGATTAAAAGATGCCTTCAAATTGTCTGGCTTTTAACAATTGCAGGTCCTTCTTCCATCCACTGATTCCAAGATCAAATCACCACTGGCGCGAAATCGAACTTTATAAGTTGAACGCTGGTCACGCACAGGGTTATTGATCGGGACACGAATGCCCCCGCACAAGCCATATGCAGGGGACTGGTCAATGCCTGGGGTAGTGGAGAAGGACCATCAAGTACCATTTGTCAAGGAACCAGAAAAATAAAAAAAAAAGTAACTTACCAATTTGCTCGCTCATTCTTCTGCGAGGATCGAGCTTGAGTTTCAATAAATTAGTCTTCTTGCTTCGAGAAGAGGTCATATTAGACTTTGTAGCATCGTAACTGGACGACACATGTAATTCGTTGTCATCATTAGAGCCTGGGGTTTCCTCACCTGAGCTCAAATTACCCATTAAAATGTTGACAAACTTGCTAGCAATTGAATTGTGTCTCTTGTTACTAGACTGGGTACTTGAACGGCGCATCCGTGTGGAAATTACCAGGGACCGATTCGTGCCAGACGACTCCTTGGCCAGAAGCTGAGACTCTTCGAAAGTGGGCGGTTTGGACCCGAAAGGGTTTCTGAACGTAAGCTCGTCAGCCTCGTCGATTTTGGGCGCCATGACGTTGACGTTGATGTGGTTGTGGATGTGAACGTCTTTGGATCTAGCAGCATTGGAATTGCCATTTGAACTGGAAGCATGGGAAGCACCATCGTTTAGATGGGCATTTGCGCCGTTCAAGTTGGCTCCGTTTGAGTTAGCAGCATTACCGTTTGAGTTACCGTTCAAGTTCGGATTGGTGATGTGTCGTGGGTATGCCTGCTGCTGCTTCGAACGAACCTGTTGTTCTTGGCGCAATTCCCGTCTTTCTTGCCTTTGTTGCTGGCGAAGATCCCGTTTTTCCTCGCGATTATGCTTGCGTTCTTCTTTCTTTTCTTCACGCAACGCCCGCTTCTCCTCTCTACGTTCGTGTTTTTGTTCCTGGCGCTGCTTTTTCTTGACGTGGCGATTTGCCTGGGCATAGATCGGCTTATCAGATATCAAATCCTTGATCATGGGGGTTGGCGCCTCGACATTATGGATATATTGTGGGTAATACTTGTAGACACAAAATTTGCGTTCGAGTTCTTCGTAGTTGAGATGGTCGATGAAGTCTCGATCCGACGGAACCTTGTCGCTTCCATTGAGAGACAACTTATTGAGGCCCTTTGTAAGCATGGTAGCAGTCATAATGTATCAAAAATGATTGTTTGGGAAGGTTCAATATGAGGTATTAGCAGGTTTTTGTACTTTTAGTTGTGGCGGATGCAAATGGGATATGGTGGAAAAGCAAGCTTTATTGAAATTAACCAGCAACGTCAAAAAGTATAACCATGAACTCGTGTCACTCTTTTTAGGACCCTGGCATGTAAAATAGTAATCGGACAGCACGGTGCCTGCACTACCTGGGGTGTCGAGAAATGAGGGGAAAATCATCCCGCATCGACCCCTCATTTTATGTCGATTATAGGCAAGCGAACATTGGGGAACAATGGCGGATAAAAACTAGAGATTTCTGTACTGATTTGGGAAACGAGAACTGGTCAGAGACATGATTTGATGGCTGGACACGATGCTGATAGCGCATGTCAACCACGAGGCTTGTTGAGCTATCGGAGCGCAAGTTGGGCGATTACGTCATGGTCTGGGGAAATGCGCCGTGATGGGAATGTGCAGCGCGGGCTCGCAACCGGAACCGTTTTTCAGTTTAAACAGCCTATTAGTTCCGGTTAAGCCATGCTAATAATTTTGCAGCCAGAAGACGTTTTGTCGGCTCGTACACCGCCACCGATTGAAATGCAGTTTTTATGATGGGATCATTGCATCGCGGAAGCAATTTTTCAATGGGTAGCGAGTCGTAACTTTCGAACCGAAAAGACTTGAAATGGTATCGATCGTTATTCATTACCGGCCAATATCGAGAATGTTTTGGGTCTAGGGACGGTGTGCCCAAGGCTTTAAACATAGAATTGATCAATACAATATCGGAGTCTCCCAGTTTTATTGGCGGCAGACCATCGGCAGAATAGAGAGCAGTGAACAATATGCCTAAAGACCACATATCGACTTCGTAGCTGTAATTGGATACACCGAAGCAAACCTCTGGCGGCTTGTAACTTCCAGAACAAATATCGAGGTATTTTTCGTGTTCGGGTTCGTCCGAGTATCCTGTCTCGTACGAGATGCCAAAGTCACCAAGTATAGGTTCGCTTTCTGGAGAAGAAAAGTAGATGTTGGCTGGTTTCACATCTCGGTGGATGATCTTGTTGGCATGAACATACTCAAGGGCTTTTGTAATACCCAAAATGATTGACTTTGCCAAATTCAATGGAAGTTCATTTTTGTGCACCGTTGAAGGACCGGTATTCAAATCGAATTTTGTTTGCTTTCTGGCATAATGACTAATCAATTGGTTTAAGTCGAACTGGTACAACGGCGTGACAAGCACACGGTCTTCCCCAGAACGATACAGATCCAAATAAAGAAGAACATTTGGATGCGATAACTTTTTCACAAGTGCTATTTCGTGCTCAATGTCATGTGGTTTGAAACAAAGATCAATATCCACAATCTTAAGTGCCACAGCTTTGCCATTTGAATCTCTGGCTCTCAAAATGTCGCTGTGGGGACCACGATATATGGCTTCTTCGTGTACGTAACTCATGGTGGATGGATACTTTTGCGAGTACAAGATTGCGAGGACTGCATAATAGAGGGAGGGTACAATAGAGAACAAGAAACAGAAATAGTAGATGGAAAGGTAGTAGGATAGGTCGTATGTCATTTTCTATTTATGCCTCTTTCGACCAGCGCCGTCTTCAAAATTCAGTCGTTTTGCAGGCGCCTGATTGGACATAATATCATTATCATCGGTGTAGATTCGTCTTTTTGGGTAGGTTACGTTTAGGCCTTCGAATGCATTTTGGGTCACCTTGGGAGCTTCTAGAAAGAACTCGTGCACAAGGGCATTATCTGCACTGAGTCGGGACATTGGTTCGTACTCGAGTAAACTCAAAAGAAGATTTAAACACCGCTTATTGGTTCTTCCTATAGCCTTATACCAGCTCACCAAATTGGGTGGATACTTGTGGGTAATTTGTTGTTGGAATGCAGGATACTCGGGGTATTTATCGAGCGAGGGCCACTGTGCTAGCGTGGGAGTACCCAAGATTTCGACGATTTTTTGGATTTGGTTTTTCTGAAATGGAACCAGTTTCTTATTGTTCATATCAATTTTCGCCTCTTCGCCTTTAAATATAGGCCGCAAGCTCAAAAGCTCGGCCAAAATGCATCCTATGGCCCAGAGGTCTATAGCTGGCGAATAATGACGAGCCCCCAAGAGCAATTCGGGTGCTCTATACCAGATAGTCACCACCACTTTATCGCCCGAGTACAAGCTTTGAAGAGGATTATTGAACTTTCGAGCAAGACCCAAATCGCCAATTTTCACCACTCCGTTGCTCAGAACCATAATATTGGCCGGTTTCAAGTCGCGATGAAAAATCCAGTTTTTATGAAGAAACGTTACTCCGTTCAAAATTTGCCAGGTGAGCGACTTGATGGTGGCTTCGGGGATGGGTTTGATTTCCGGGTGCGAGTGGAAGTGGATGATCTGGAGCAAGTCGTGCTCACAGAATTCAAAAATAAGGTAAATAGACTTGTTCTCTAAAATCACATCCACCACCTTGATGATATTCTTGTGAGATAATTCTCGACAAAGTGACATTTCTCGGATAGCCGATTGCGAGATCCCCGTATATAGCATCACCTCTTTTCCATTCATGTCGTGACCGTGACTTTTAGCCGACAGATGATTTTCACTTTTGAACTTTTTTATCGCAAATAATTGAGGCTCAGCAGTGTGTTCTTGTTGATTGGTTTTCGATCTGGCCTTGTAAACCTTACCGTAGGTACCAGCAGCAATGTACCCAATGGTCTGGTACCGAGATAGTACCGATTCTCGTGTCAAATCTTTGCGGTGCTTATATGGACCAATTGTGAGTATGGTATTCAGAGCCATCAATGATGGCTGAGGAACAGAGGGTATGCTATTTCGAGGACGTGTGTTTGAGTATACGTTGTACCCGTAGCTCATGGTGGCTCAGAAGTGGATAATGGTGGCAGAAATGGAGGGTGGAATGAGTAGATGTTCGGTAGATAGCGGTGATTCGGAGTGCACAGAGTGCGAACGAGTCAACTAGTCGCTACCACTTTACTAATTCACCACAACTACGTCTCAACTTCACTGTTCACTTCCTCTCGACTTGAGTACTCCTTTCGGCTTCAGTAATCACTTCTTTCCACTTCTCCAACTTCAGTAATCCACTTCTTCCACTATTCCTTTTTTTTCTCTATTCTTCTAGCATACATTAATCTACATAAAACACGATCGTCTTCCTTTCCCTCCAATTCATTGCGAATAACCTCCATTTTCTTCACCTGGTCCTTCCACATTTTCTTTTCTTCCTCCGCCTTGTTTTTCTCAAACAACTTGTCATCTGGCCTTCGGTACGACCGACCAAGTCTGTCCCACAAAGTGGTGAACTGACCATAGTTGTAATTAAAGTACAAATGATGGACAGTATGACAAGCAGTACCGTTCACAACGGGGTCATTCGAGAGGTACTGGCCGTCGTGGATCATTACCGTCCAGAAATTAACAAAAGTGAACAAAAGCAAGTACAGCACCTTGTGGAGTGGGAAAAGCATAGGGTAGATGTGGTAAGGAAGAGACTGAGCCCATCCGTCCACTGGGTGGAAAGCATGCGAGGCAAATGGAGTACACACGATCCACTTGTGGTGAGGTTTGTGGAGACGCTTGTAGACGGCAGGGTAGTGGAGACCTCTATGGATGAAATAGGATACCACAATCGGTGAACAAAATGAAGGTGATGATTTGCATGAAAATGGCTTTCCCAGCCTCCGGTCAGCTCGTCAATGTTCATATAAAGCTTGGAGAACCCGTGGATCTCCATCATGAAAAATGGAAGCGTGAGAGCCACCATCACGGGAATGGCGGTGGTTGCTTGGTGGATTTCAAGTGCCATTTGGTTCTTCAAATAACGAGGATGGTTGAATATTTTCTTGTCAAAGACAGTCAAGTACGAAATCCCTGCCACAGAAAAGTATAATACCAATCCAAATATAATCGTAACGATAAGCATACTTGATGCTTGCCGAGCCACGTTGGCTCTCAACATAGATGTCTCATTAGTAAATGAGTTTAAAGGTAAAAACCGTCCATCGTTTCCATACACTTCGCTAGCGTCCTGGAACTTGCTGATCTGGCCCCAAACAGTACTCAACGTAGTTTGAAGTGGTTTCGGAAATTTTAACGAATTCATCGATGTGGAACTCGAATTGTATTGTGCCCACGAATTTGCAAGATCAGCTCCCATGTGCCCAACAGCCAGCTCTGGGCCCTTTGGGAATGCCCAGGCGTAGAACCGGTCAAACACAAAGTAGTCGGAGATTTCAAGAACGATATCCATTCTTGTTTACCAGGGAAGTTCGGGACTCTTTTATGATGCGAGAAAAAGAAAATATACGACGGAACGAGGTGCAGGCGCGAGCAGCGAGCGAAAGCGAGCAGCGAGCGAAAGCGAGCAGCGAGCAGAGCAGCAAGCGGAGGTCCTGCAGGTACTGTAACTGTCATAGCTACGGTTTTCGAAAACCAAAATAAAGCTAAATACTGACAGCCCTGAAATCATCCCAAGCTACTTCTGTCTCCACTTTCCATTGCAGCTTTCTGTTTCTTTAACTCTGTTTCTCCTGTCTCTTCACGTGACATCTCCGACTCGCTGAACGTCACATGACGAGCTAAACGAGTCAGTTCACCAATGGCGCCATTACCGTTATATCTGACAATTTTATTTGCGTAGCGTCATACATTATACATATCTTTGGGCGCCACTCATCCGATCTTCTCCGAATTTCTCCTTTTCTTCATCCGAACTGGATACGATAATCTCCGATGGTGCAGGCGATGGAACCACCACTGGTGGTTGGTTGATTCGGTCAAAATTGATTGCAGCCAAGATTTCCTTTGCACCTTTGGCTATCAATTTGTCGCCCAATTGTTGACCCAAAGCATCGGCTTCACTTTTAGTAGTAACCTTCATTTCTATCTTATCTTCGACAAACTCATTTCCATCGGGACTAACGACGATGGCATTGAATTTCAACACTTGTGTAGTTTTGTCGTAGTCGGTGTGCACACCAATGGGCACTGAACATCCTCCTTCCAAGTAACGCATGAGCGATCTTTCGGCATGACAGCAGAGTGAAGTAGGAACATCTTCAATCGCTTGTAAAAGTTGTTTAATTTGTTCATCTCCCTTTCTGATTTCCACTCCTAAGGCTCCCTGGCCCACTGCGTAATACATATCGGGAGCATCCAAATAGGTGGTGATTCGATGGTCCAAACCTACTCTCTGTAATCCGGCAGCAGCCAATAAAAGACATTCGAAAGGCGAGTCTTCAGCGTCGAGTTTTTGCACTCTGGTGTTAATATTTCCTCTAGCAGAGTCGAACCGCAAGTGGGGGTAGTTCTTCATAAGCTGCGATGACCTTCTTACCGAGGAAGTTCCAACCATGGTTCCGGCCGGCAATTCCGCCAAAGATTTGTATTTCGAGCCCTTTCTCATCACAAGGACATCACGCGGGTCCAGTCTGTCCAAAATACAACCCAATTCGAACTCCTCAGGGAGATTTGTGGGGACATCTTTGAGCGAATGGACAATCATGTCGAGCTGCGGAAGACCTCCGATGGCTTGCATCAAAAGTGTTTCTAATTCCTTGGTCCAAAGCGCCTTGCCTCCGAACAGGTAGAGTGGTTGCGACTGGATTTGGTCTCCCAAAGTGCTCAACGCCAAAATCGAACACTTGAGTTGTGGGAACTTCGCAACCAAATGTTTCTTGACAATGTTGGATTGAGCCACCGCTAGTGTCAGTTTTCTTCCGCCAATCTGGATATGCTTGGTTGTGTTAGGATCAAAGTTTGTCATGTTATTGATAAGTTTTTCAATCGGATCATAAATTTCCCCGGATGAATGTCTAAGATGAGCTGGAAGTTCGCTCGAGAAATACCGCCAAAAACCTGTTGAATAATAAAGTGGGATGCCTATAGGTGATTCTCGTAGCTAGTCTTGTGCCACGAATACTATATACAAGTTGCTGGGTCGGCCGCACTTTCTACTTGTGTCGATAAAAACGATCGAAATGCTTGTGAAAAATGGGTGTCATGAAGTGACACAAAGTGTGTCGGATGCGCCGCACATACCCGAACCGGCATGAAATCGCGAGTAATGGATATTCGCATTTTTGTCATTGGCTGCAAATTGGAGCGAATAGCTAATACGTCAATTAACACCTTTTCTTCCATATATTATTTTTTTGTCCCTAAAACGTGCTGTCGCCGTCGCTGAGCGTATCATCCAGTGACTCAAGCAGGTCCATCAGCGTCTCGGCTATATCGTACATTCCATTGGCATCGGCTAGCTGGTACTCTTCGTCGGCTGCGCTCGGCTTGGGTTCTGTAGACGTCATCGAAGCAAGCATCGCTTCCAAGTTTTGTAGCTTATCGAGGATCTTGGCATCTTCGTCACGGCGCTTTTTCCGCAGTTTGAACCTCTGGTATGTCTCGAGTGGTCCAGCACTACTGAGACTGGTGGATCGATATTGTGCTTGCTCATTCGGTTTCGATTCCACCACATTATTATTGTTCGTTCCACTGCCATATTTCTTATTCAAGACTTCATCGATGAATAACGAGTCGGTAGAGGCCGTTCTCAACAATCCTAACGTCGCTATGGATTGAACTGGCATGAGCGCATTGGCTGGAGTAGACGGTCCAGCACCAATATTGCTTGCAAAATTCTGGTTGGCAGCGAAGTTGTCCACTTGGCTGTACCTCCGACCTCCACCTATCGAGGGAGCAACTCCAGAATAAAAGACCGAATTCTGCCTCGATTTGAGCATCATTAAACTGACATCGTCATCATTGTCCTGTAGTCCAACGAGATCACTATCTTGCCAGA